CCACCAGATCCACACAGAGAGCACCTGTGCCCGCCAGATCAACACAGGAAGCACCTGTGCCCGCCAGATCAACACAGGGAGCACCTGTGCCCGCCAGATCAACACAGAGAGCACCTGTGCCCGCCAGATTCACACAGGAAGCACCTGTGCCCACCAGATCAACACAGGAAGCACCTTTGCCCGCCAGATCAACACAGGAAGCACCTGTGCCCGCCAGATCCACACAGAGAGCACCTGTGCCCGCCAGATCCACAGAGGGAGCACCTGTGCCCGCCAGATCCACAGAGGGAGCACCTGTGCCCGCCAGATCCACACAGGGAGCACCTGTGCCCATAGGGTCCAAACAAAGAGGAATACTCAGGATCCCATTACATTTGACTAAACACCTGATACATGCCTCTTTTGAAACACCCATGCCCATCCAGTCTCTACAGAGGGCACCAGTGGCGTCCTCAAAGGTGCTCACATACTCCTCAGATGGAGCACCCATGCAGGACAAGATGGGACCTAGGCCCAAACTTAAGATCCCTGAGCCATTAAGGCAGGAGCTGCTGCAGAAGAAGCCTTACACTTTTCTGCAGGGACCACCCATGCCCATCCAGTCTCTACAGAGGGCACCAGTGGCGTCCTCAAAGGTGCTCACATACTCCTCAGATGGAGCACCCATGCAGGACAAGATGGGACCTAGGCCCAAACTTAAGATCCCTGAGCCATTAAGGCAGGAGCTGCTGCAGCAGAAGCCTTACACTTTTCTGCAGGGACCACCCATGCCTGACAACATCACAAAGAGATCAAAAGAACAAAGAGAACAAAATCAAAAGATCCCTGAGCCTGAGATAGCGCCTGTTTGTTGCACACAGGGAGTACTTGTTATTGACAAGATCTCCGAGAAGAGAGATGCTAAAAACCCTGAGCTACTGAGGCAGCATTCGCAAAATGTGTCTTCTGCAAAACTCAGGATCCCTAGGAAGCAGAGGGAGAAGTTGAGGGATTGGTGGGGGCATCAGCAGAAGAATGTGCAAAAGGGAGTGTCTGTGCCTGCCAAGACCCCACAGAGAACACTTGCTCCACCGTGTTCCCCACTGCAACCACCCAGGTCTCCCGAGAGAGCACCCATGTCCAGATGGAGTAAGAGCGTGTGTCTATGGAGCACAGAAGCTTCTGTAAGTCCCTTATATTGCTAGTTTTTACTTATTTTAAAATGTATTCAAACAAGTAAACGTTGCCTTTAACTATGCTATTTAAATTTTCTTTCGATTTTCTTTAAGAATCACTCATTAAATCTGGTCAGCGTTACATGATTATGTCTGTTCCTTCAACAGGACAGTGCAGGAGTGGACAGATCAGCCCCACAAAAAAAGCAGCGGACGGCTATCAAAGTCAACAACCAACAGTCGGATCCAGGCAGCTTAGACCAAATGGACTATTTATGTAGCATATTTGCTAAATTTTGTGTAATTTCCAATATTTAATATTTATATTGTAATTGTATATGAGTACATGTCTTATGTGAATACATACAGACAGTATAATAAAATATATATATACAAACTGTGTATATTTATTTGTCAATGACAACACACATTCATTAGTGTTATATAAACAGATATTTTCATCTGTGTCACTGAGCTGATTAAATTCACACACTAAGCCAGAGAATAGCATTGTAACAACATATATTCATATTTACCACAATTTATGGCTAAAGACAATGGCTATGTAATACAACTGATTCACTATTTCAGTATACATTTTCTTGCAACAATAGCCTGACATCATCAGATAAAGGTTTGTTTTATTTTTATGACAGATTTAAGTCCAAATACTTTTTCTATACTTTACTTTTATCAGTGGTATTTTTGTATACAAAAAAAACAAAACATATATTTTAGGAAGCTTCTGGTGCATTTATTTGGTGCATGTTTCACTAGATTCGCTTTTGCTATGTATACTTAAAGATTCAGTTTTTCTGGAAATTGTACTTCATACTTCATTCATAAGTATTTATTTCGTTTATGCCATATATTTACATGAACTGACTTTCTGATGCATGGCCCTGCAAAAGAAACAATATATGAATGAATCAGAATGCATGAAAAAGTTGCAGAATGTAACTGCACATTTCTATGATATATATCAAGAAGTGTTCAATTTGTGTCAAAGCTCTTTGGTGGTTCCCCTTGATTGCATAACATTTTAAATATAGAAAACCAAGCGCACAGACATGCCTGAGATTAGGGGTGTGCCGGTTTCAGAATTGGTGATGACGGTTATGACGCGAGTCAAATGTGACGGTTCGTAACATAACCGTCGTTGTCGTCGTCGTGGCATTGGGGGAAGGGGGTTATAGGATGGTCGGTTGAATAACTGTTCATTAGTTATAGGTCAACTTAATTTGAATAAACAAGCAGACACTGATTAGCAACTCGCTTTACGTTCATTTAAAATGAACAGCAAGACAACCAGAAGTGAATGTGCTTTCCATTAAATGAATCACACACAGTAAACAAATCCTTAACAAAAACAAAAAAACAAACGTTGCAATGAACGTGCTTTGTTTTAAAGGTGCTAAATGTAACTTTTCTTTTAAAATGAATCCTTTTTTTTATTGCCCGTGTGTGAAGGGGTTGTAATCACACATTATAATGATCCACTTGTCGGGTTTTGCTATTACCTCTGAAGGCCAGTATTCCTATTTATATGTGAAGTCTCCGGGTCGGATTTCCTGTGAAATCCATCGGATGTGACGTGCATGCGCGCTCCCGAGCCTCTCTCCTTTTTATATACAGTCTATGCGACGGCACTGCAGCTGACGACATGGAGTCTGATAACACCAAACAACAACCTGCCTCCAGCACAACACACACTCCAACACAAACTCCACATAAATATAAAAAACAAAACAAAACAAACATTTATCTGCTGAAGCTCGTCAGGCCAAACGCGAATCGGATCGACTTAGGACGAAAACACGGATCAACATCGGCAGAGCGTTTGAATTATGGAGAGACCTCCGCTATTTTTATTGTGATAAATTACAAGTTTTCAGATATGCTGAAATAATGGTAAACTGTAATGAAATAGCAAGGTAAACTACAACATATATGAGACATGAAATGAATACAAAAGACTGTTCCAAGATAACAAAAAGTAGGTGCTTTAGGATGTAACTTTTATTTTATGTACTAGATCTACTGTCTAACGTCACTCATCCCACTACTACCATATTGTTTATAATACACATTTCCAGACACGTTCAGTACAGTAATGTTACATCCTACGATCTTACTGTTACACTGAAATTGTTCAGTCTAGTCACTAACCGTTTTCGTTATCATATTATACATTCACCTATGTTGACATTGCTGATTGTGAAAGATACACGAATAGTTAGTGAAATGCCTTAACACCACAAATGTAACATTATCATGGTACGAGCATGGAGCATTAGTTCAACGTCAAGCTGATAAAAGTAGCCTATTATTGTAACGTTGCAGTGGGAGTTTACATGAGTTTCCAGCATGTTGTGTGACGCTTTCTCCGGTGTGTTGAAAGTCTCCGTGTGGCCGGTACCATGAGTGCCCGCTCTTGTGTTCGAGCACGTGCAAGAGCACGAGCGCTCTTGTAAAAATTGGTTGCAATCTGAATCTGACGTAGTAGCCTACATGCTCGGACAGATTCGGCTTTAAGTCGTTCATCCTCGGATGCGGCGTCGCACGCGCTGTTACAAAAATAGCCGTGCACACAGCCAAGCGAAATGGGGTCTTGCGCACCCAACGCATCATTTTTGCTGGGCGCACCTTCGTGCTCGTGCGGACGCGTCGAGGATAAACAAGGCTTTACTCCGTGTCAGCGCACGCTCTGATCGGTAAAGGTGCACAGACCTCTCCTGAATCATCTCCAGCAGTAGCAGCCTCCGAAGCACCACTAACTCCGCCTCCGTTTCCCTCGTAAGCTGATATTAGTATTTAAACATTCTCTTTGATAAAAAAATTTAAAAAAAAAAAAAAATTGTAATAGCACGGTTTTGGCGGTTATAGAGTTCTAATGACAGTGTTCAACTAACCATCGATTTCACGGTTATATAATAACCGTCACAACCCTACCTGTGATTGGCTACAATATTCAGCGCTGCAAAAACACGTTGTATGGAAACATTTGTGATAGAAACCAAGAGCTCACACACAAATACAAGCAGGACTGTTTGAAAGCAATTTTAAAAACCCATCGGATCTACACAAATCACACAAATGACCTATTCGGTGGCAAGGTGACAAGTTTGCATCCCTGATTCTGAATATGGTAAAAATGACAGCATTACAGTAATGATTTCAAGGAGAATAACAATAAACGCTAAAGTAAAACATCTGTTAGAGTTAATGAGACTTTTGGGGGGAAAATGTCATACAAAAAAAATGTCACATTATAAAAATATCATAAAATTCTTACAGGTTTGATATACTGCCTTTTTTCTTGTAATATTGGGATGAAATGTATGGAAGCTTGTTTCCGCCTTGGAATAAAAATTTTAAATGTCATTGCGACTTTTTCTCTCAAAATTGTGAGATATAAAGTTGCAATTGCGAGTTATGAAGTCAGAATTGCATGATATAAAGTGTTTTTCTCTCAGAATTGTCAGTTTATATCTCACGATTCTGACTTTCTAACTCAAAACTCTTTATTACTTTATATCGCACAATTGTAAGAAAAAAAGTCAGAATTGTGATTTAAAAAGTTGCAATTGTCTTTTCTAAAATTTGATTCCGTGGCGGAAACAAGCTTCCATAGAAATGTGACCTGGGGCCAGTTGCATAAACAGCCATTAACTGTGTCTTAAGAACTAGTATGACCAACTAGGAGTTAGTTAGGGGTAATCGAGTCTTACTTTTTGGTATCAAATTAGACAAATCTATGTTTCATGTAACAGACTTGTATGAACAGTCTAAGAGAAAATAAATGGATAGTGTAATGGATACTTACAAAAAATTGTAAGACTAGTCTTAGTGTTTTATGAAAGCAGCCCCAGGACATGTTTTCATGAGATTCACCTGTCTGTATACAACACAAATCCTCCTCACCTTCAGGACATATTGCCAGGCTCGATCCACATCTCCATCAGAGCTGAAGCGCCTCATTATCATTGCATGTAGCTCAGGAAACTAAACAGTGATAAAGAGTGAAACTGGTTGGGAGATCTTTAGAAAATCCAAACTGTTTTACAATTACGTTTCTGTAATAAACCAAGTCAACCATTAGACCTGAGTCCCCTTTCTGCACTTCAGGGAAGTGACATCATGTTGTGAGAGCACAGATGCGTTCAGCTGTCGTACCTGTTGGCAAGCAAACAGAACGGGCCCGGTGGCCAGACCCAGTTTGAGATCGGCAGCTGACGGCTTCCCCAGGCGGTTTGCGCAGGACGTGAAGTCCAGAACGTCATCCACAAGCTGAAAAAGACAACCAACTTCTATTTTACCTAACTTTAAACATAAGAATTCAAGATAAAACCAATGTGGCCTGTAATGAATCATTTGTAATGAAAGAATTCAACTATAACAGCACAGATTTATTAAAATATGCGGCCACAACCTAAAAGTAACAGAACTGCAATCTATCAGACTAGATGTTTGAGCGAGCAATGACAGGGTGAAGTGAGACTTAGATGCCTCTATTTCTAGTGTTGCTAGTGAAAGAAATGACACACTGCAGCTTTAACTGGAAGAACCAGACGATTTTTTGCCGAAACAGCAATTTTCAGTTTCTCGATTTTCAAATTCTGTCAATTTTATCACGAAATTAAAACAAAAAAAATTAGCCAGAGTTAGCTTAAAAAATAACTCTAGAGAGCGGCATTTTCTTAATGCATGCACTGCATTACATATTAAATATATATTTAATTAACCTGTTGTCTTCATTATTTTAATATATGTTTGAATAAATCTGTCATGAAAAGAAATTACAATCATTTAAATGTTTATATTTCACCAGCAAATTTGAGTAGAAACAATTTATTGAATTTAAAATTTGATATAAAAACCGCCTTATGTACAATTTAAATGTCTGTACAACTCAGTTTTATTATTAAACAAATCTGATTAATTTTAAATAAAATCTTCGGTTTACGGGCAATTTAAAAAAAAAAAAAATTGCCAAGTGCATCGTGAATTTTCAGTTTTGGCCCAGAATTTTCATTCTGGTGCATCACTAACCAGAAGATACTTCTACTGCTGAAGTTTCTGTTATAATTAATAATTAACTACAATTACTTCCTGCATTTGTAACTGCAACAAAAGAACCATTGTTAACTTGGTGATCACAGACCACTGCATTACAAATAACATGCAAACAACGACAGATTCGATTTACACTGTGTAGATTAAATGCTTTATAAATGCTATTATAGCAAGTGTGAATAGTGATAGACTAGATGCTATTTAAACCAAGTGAAAACATATAAATGAAAAAATTACCTGGAATGCAATGCCAACGTTTCGTCCATATTGATAGGCTATCTCATGCACCTCAGGATCAGAATTCACCAAAATTGACACCTAAAATTCAAAAGAAATAATGCTGGTGTTCCACTTCTCTTCCAGCTCTGAACTTCATCTTATTATTGTTAAAAGGGAACGTACATACTGCCTTACAACTGTTTGCAATGAGACTTGCAGTCTTCTTGAAGGTTTTCTCAAGGTAGTGCTTGAATCTCTCGTTTTCATTCTCTTTAGACCCTAGCTGCATGAATTCACCTGGAATTGATCAATGAAAAATATAAATAGCAGGTCCACTGTATAAAACAAGTCTCATTCATAAATCTGTAGAGGCTTACCTCGTACGAGGTCTTCTATAACTTGTGACAGCACAGAAACTACTGTATTGTTCCCAATACGCGCTAATGCCATGGAGGCCGCAGACAGAATGAAATCTCCAGCCAGGATAGCCTAACAATTACAGATACAAATATTATTATTTTCATTTCATAACAACATTATTCAATTCTCTATAGAAGCTTGTTTCTGCCAAGAAATGTACAAAATAAAGGTAAGTGCAACTTTTTTGACAATTTTGAACTTTTTCTCTCTCAACTGCGAGTTTATATTTCACAACTATGAGGGAGAAAAAGCCAACTGTGAGATATAAACACAACTGCAAGAAAAAAGTCAGAATTGTGTTTTCATATCTCGCAATGCTCGCTTTTCTAGAAATTGAGAGATTTAAACTTGCAATTGCAAAAAATAAAATCAGAATGCCTCTCAGAATTGCAACTGTATTTCTAAGAATTGTGAGAAACTTGCAATTGCGAGTTATAAAGTCCGAATTGCGAGATATAAACTTGCAATTTTGAGAGAAAAAAAAGTCAGAATTGCGAGATATAAACTCACAATTGCAAGAAGGAAAGTCAGAATCGTGAGATAAAAAGTCGCAATTACGTTTAGTTTTTTTATTTATTGCCTGATGGAAACAAGCTTCCATATTCTCAAATGATTTTCCTTCAGATTTCAAATTAGACATCAACACAGAACCAAAATGTGTGACCAACAGTTGAAAACCACCGATCTGCCAATCACAGAAATGCGACTGTTTCTCTCAGTAGCCTATCGTAAGATTCACATTGCGAGTTATACAAAGTAATAAAAGCTCAAACAAGCATTTTAGTCTGGGACTAGACTTAAACCGTGTTTGTGAAAACAGGTGTTAAACTTTCAATCTTGAAGAAAAAAAAATTCGCTTTCGCAAATACGTTTTTTTTTTATTACCTATTATTATTGCCTGGCGGAAACAAGATTCCATAGTTCCAACTGATTTTCCTTCAGATTTCAAATTAGACATCAACACAGTACCAAAATGTGCGATCAACAGCTGAAAATCACAGTTACTCACTTTTTTCTCTCCCCACAATTTATTAATGGTGTTTTTCCCACGTCTTGTGTCCGAGTCATCGATAACTTCATCGTGCACCAGGCTGGCAGTGTGGATCATCTCAGAGATCATAGCGATAGAGCGCTGCGCCGGCAGCAAAACCCTGAGGACATCAGATGTGCCTTATTAACACTGACTGACGCATCACATTATGAATTCACACACACAGCACTGAAGTGCTTTCTCACCCCTCTTTATTGCTGTGGACGTTACAAGCTCGAGCCATCAAGATCACAATCATCGGTCGAAAGGCTTTTCCCTTCCCATCAAAGTAATAATCACAGAGTGCTTTGAGCTCTGCTTTAGAGACGAGCAGCTGCTGAACACACGTTTAACAAGGTCAGTTTGAGCGCATAGAAGAGCATAAAACATCTCAGAGAAGTGGTGGAAAGTGTTTGGGCATTAATAATTATTAAATATAATACTTCATAAAACAACAGTGGACAAGAAAAACAATGTTTAGTGGTAAACGCTATGTAGAACTATGCAGTATTCTTGCTGTACCTTTTTTATGTCTTCATATAAATCTTGCAAGTCCTTTTGTGCAAGTGAGAAAGGATCTTTTAACTTTGCATCACTGTGTATACTGCAACAGACCCGTGGAGTTGAGAACAGACATCTAGAGCTGTGCCTGAAACACAAACATGGAAAAAAGATTCAATAAACACAATAAAAAACATATTTTTCTAGTTATAAAAAAAAAAAAAAAAATGTGCATGTATGAATGCATCTATAAATAAGGGAGAGCAGGGCTAGCTGACAAATTGACACTTAGGTTTGGTTTATTTTTGAAAATCAATATATTTATGTATTTAAAATGTACAAATAAAATGATGTAATGTACTTAAAATCACATATATTATACATTTGTAATATTAAAGGCTGTTTAAAGGCTTTGCAACTTTGAATGGGGTCGTATAAACACATTTTACCAAATCACCCATTTAAATATATTTGTATTAGTGCTGGGCAACGATTAATCGCGAATAATCGTATCCAAAATAAAAGTTTGTGTTTACATAATAATATATGGGTGTACTGTGTGTAATTATTTTGTATATATATAAATACACACACATGCATGTATATATTTTTGAAAAATGTATTATTTATATATAAAATATTTATAATATAAATTATGTATAAACGTATGTATTTACGTGCAAGTATTTCTTACATATATACATGTATGCGTGTGCATTTATATATACAAAATACCTGCACACAGCACACACAAATATGTAAACACAAACTTGTATCTTGGATGCCCAGCACATAATATATATGCAAAAAAAATTTTTGGGGGGGATATATATATGGAGACTGGAGAGAGATCATTTATATAATAATATGAAGTTATTTTATGTATATAATAACATTTTTCGACTTGAATATATATTTATAATAAATGAACATATTTCAGTAGAATGTAATTAATTTAATTACTCCAGTCTTCTGTCTTACATGATCCTTCAGAAAATAATTAATATGCTGATTTGCTGCTCAAGAAACATTTTGAATTACTATCAATATTGAAATGTTGTGCAGCTTAATTTTTGTGGGAAACATGATTATGAAACAAATCTTTTGTAAGATTTTAAATGCATTTACTGTAACAAACTATGTATATCTTTAAAGAGAAATATATCCTGCTAACCTCAAACTTCTGAACTAATTAAATAGTTTTGTTTAAATTATTATTATTTTTTTTTTTTAAACACACAACTGCTTTGGCTACCTGAAACTGTCATAAGTTATACTCATAACATTATACAACTAGACTTTGAACCTAATAGTTTTTTTTGGAATAGTCCATGTTACACGTTCCCTGAGTGACAACTAGCCCCAGTGTACCTATACACATTTGTACTAACTAGTGGTACACATTTACACCATAAACTACTAGGTAAGGTACGAGTGCCAATTTTCTATTTTACACGTTGACTATGTTTAATCACTTCCTGTGTGTTTTACAGATGCTCTCCCTCTTGATGAGGTTGATGGTAATTGTATTCGTACTGTGAAGAGATGTGTGTTTTCAGAGTCTCAGCCCTCTCCTCTGAAAGAGCCCCTGACACTGGCTGCTGTGGCACAGGTCAATAAACCCATACACTCATCATCATTTACAGAAAACCTATGTTTCACTGCAGTTAAACCCTTTACTGTCTATGGTTAAACCTGGGGATATTGTTGCAGTGACTGTGTATGTAATTTAAGAAACAGAAAAATACAATGGACGTTGTTACAAAGAATTACACTTCAGCATACAGAGAAATTATGAAAATAATATAGGCAATTTAAAAGAATATACTTAGGTGCAAACTGAATATAATGTTTCGGATACTTAATTGCATCATAAATGAACATTTATTATGGTTTTTAATTTATATGAAATTTAGTTAGTTGAACTTAAGTGTGCTTCTTTTGACCCACTTAAGCAGGACTTATAGTCTACGTCTTTGTGTGAAATTGGTTAGTACATGGTAAACTAACATTAATATGATTTCTATTTAAACGTTGACATTTAAATCATGGAATTTAATACATATTTGTAATTCCACATTTGTTATAATGAAGTTGCAATTTAGTACAATATTTAAATGGAACATTAATCAATTACAGTTAAAATTATAGTACTTTTTATGCACTTTGGTATGTTAGTCAACACATCAAAATAAGTGTCATGTTTTAAAGCACAACAATATATTATTATATAACAATTTAAAACATAATGATTTAAAATGTACTTTAAAAGGAAGTTTTTAATTTGACATTATTAAAAAGTGCACTTTTTAAAAGTGTACTTAAGTTTGTTAAGAAACGGTCATGAAAGTATACTCATTAGCTTTTTATTTGATTAATATTGTATTATCTGCAAAAACAGTTTTTTTTTAAAGAAACATAGTTTTCCATTTTTTATTTTAACACTTTTACAAGGGTGTGGCAGATCAATTTAAAGAAAACAAATATGAACCACTCAACTCCTCAAATAAACTTCTACTTTAGGTAGTGGACAAATTATTTTTAGCTATTAAAAAAATTCTATTTTTTTTAAATGTTGTTTCTGCATATATTCAGACTCTTTTGTGTATTTCAGGATGTGTTATATATTTTGGATCTGAATGAGTCTGTGATTCAGAATGAAGAGTTTGTCCGTTGTGTCAGCGGTGGGAAACTGTTTCCTGGCTCTGTTCCACTGGCACACAGATACGGGGGCCATCAGGTAAAACTGACAGTCATTTCACACCCGACAGCGATGGCATAAGACAACCAGAGCAAACATGTCAACCATGTGTTATTATTATTATAGTTTGGTTATTGGGCCGGACAGCTGGGCGATGGAAGAGCACATTTGCTGGGTGAATACACAAACAGGTAAAATCATCCTTTTCCATCAGCGTTCAACAGAAATCATCAGTTGTTATTGTCATATGGGACTTTTCTGTTGTAATGCATGTCAACTTTCTCATAATGTTGTTTAATATTAAAGAATGGAAAGTGTGATCTATACTTCTTGGTTTTTCAGCAAATAGATGATTCTGTCTTTTTTTTAAATCTAATTCTCACTTAATGCTTAAACATGTGTCTGGACAATGACATCTCTCAGTTTAGAACTGTGACAAGTGTTAACCGTTATACAATCTCTTTTTTTATCCAGAAAAGGTGAAAGATGGGAACTCCAGTTGAAAGGCTCAGGAAAGACACCATACTCAAGGCGAATATCAGTTCCTGCTGCTCAATATTTTTGATATGCTTTTTAAGTAATTCTGAGATATATTTAGTTGTGAATGATCTTAAATTGTCTGTCTGTCAGTAGTGTAATGGTTCTGCTGTTTACTGTACATGATGTTGTGTGTGCAGGGCTGGTGATGGACGGGCTGTGATTCGCTCCTCTGTGAGGGAGTTCCTGTGCAGTGAAGCCATGCACTTTCTGGGAGTTCCTACCAGCAGAGCCCTCAGGTACATATGGACATGCACAAGAAGAGGAATATATGTATTTATCACATTCAAATGTCTGGTGTTGAATATTATTATTATTTTTATTTATACTTTTTCCCATTTTTTGCCTTTATTGTTTGTCAGTCTGGTTGTGAGTGAGGAACCTGTTTGGAGGGATCCGTTTTATAATGGCAGTGTCATAAAAGAAAGAGGTAAAATACGATCAGATTTGGAAAAATAGAGTAACTAAGTTCTTTATCTGTCCTCAGCTTTTTGTGATTGTTCTCTGTATCTTTCAGGAGCGGTTGTTCTGCGTCTGGCCAAGTCCTGGTTTCGTATCGGTTCACTGGAGATATTAACTAGAACTGGAGAGTTAGATGTCCTACGGTATATTAACTTTAACTTGGGATGGTAATATTTTTTTCTCACTCTTATTTGCTTTTTCATTTCTTTTAAATTTTTATTTTCAGGACATTGTTGGACTTTGTAATTAAAGAGCATTTTAAATCTATAGCAACAAATGACCCTGACAAGTATGTGGTGAGTATCTGTGTCTCTCTGCTGTTCAGCTCTAATACTAGATTATTTTATATTGTCTGATCAGTCTCACTATATTTGAATGGTTTTCATGTTGTGTGAAGGTGTTTTTCTCCAGAGTGGTGAATGAAACCGCACATTTAATCGCCCACTGGATGTCGGTTGGTTTTGCTCATGGTTAGTTCACTCTGTCCTCATAGTCTATTTAGAGCGTTCTGCCCCCTTCAGGCAGTCAGAACAGCTCTTCGTATGCTTCGGCAGCCGCACCAAAGGTCTCGCGGTCAAGAAGCAGAGACTGTCAGGTTGGATGGTTGATGCTATCTCGCTGGCTTATGAGTCTAAGGGCCTCCGTTGTCCCATAGGCATCAGCTTTCACAGTAAGACATCGTTTTATTTTTTGTTGGTATTGGTCTGGAATAAAACAGGTGATTCATGTCAATTCATTTACTTCAGATCTCAGCAAATATTGAGAGAATATCCACAAATCTACCACCAAAGGTGAGCATGTCATTAGACAATATAGAACACTGTATTCATCTCTGAGTCATTCCTGATCTCCTTTTACTGTTTCTGTTATAGATTTCAGGAGCTGTTCAAAGCAAAGTTGGGCTTTCTGGGAAATGAAGAAAAGGATTCATATGTGATTGCATTTCTTTTAACGGTAAATATTAGCTGGATTGTTTTTTTTCTCTCTAATTGTACTATAATTAATTCATGTGATAACGTTTGTTGGCCATTCTCAGGAAATGGTGTCATTTGTGACAGAAAATTGTATTTTATTTTTATGAAAAAAGTAAGGAATCAGCAAACCGTTATAGAAAGACGCACACACACACACACACACACACACATACACACTTTCATTATAAACTTTTTTAATTAGATGTTTTTTTTATTTGTTTTAAAACCTGTCAAAGTAAAAACCAAACTGTTCAGTATGGAGTTAAATCAGTAGTAGATCACACAAATGGCAGCATTTCCTGAGAATGACCCATATATTGTTGTATGATGTGTTGAGCTGATGGAGGACACTGGAGCAGACTTCACTATGACTTTCAGACAGCTGAGTGAAGTAACCCTGTCCCAGCTTCAGAAGGGATCCATTGATCCGGTGCGTTTCCTCTCCATTCGCTCCCACAGCAGCTGCAAACTCCATAATCATGATTTCAGTCCGTTAACTGTGACTGTGTCTCTCTTGACAGTCATTGTGGGCTCTTTCAGACCTCTCGTCACACAAGCATTTCAGAGACTGGGTTCAGCTGTATTTACAGCGTCTGTCAAGGTAATGTTGCTGTAATGTAAACTCGAACTCTTTAGAGGATTAAAATGAACATCACTAGATGTTTTAATGATCTTCTACAGGCTAAGAAGTGACTCAGATGCAGCACGGCAGCACAGAATGCAAGGTATGTTGTTGTATATGTTATATGATGCAATGTTATGTATTATGTGGTTATATATTGTTACACTACCGTTGAAATGTTCAGGATTGGTAAGATTTGTTTTTGAAAGAAGTTTCTTAAGCTCACCAAGGCTGCATTTATTTAATCAAAAATACAATTAAAACAGTTACTACAAGGTATTATTATACTATGAGATATCATTACAATATAAAATAAACTATTCTATTGGAATATACAGTATTTGTGTAATTAATATATTTGTTCAGTTGAATGTAATTTATTCCTGTGGTCATTTCTCCAGTCTTCAGTGTCACATGATCCTTTAGAAATCATTCTTATATGCTTATTTGCTGCTCAAGAAACATTTGAAAACAGTTGGGCCGCTTAATATTTTTGTGGAAACCCTGATACATGTTTTGATTAATATAAAGTTATAAAGAACAGCGTTTATTTGACATATAAATCTTTTGTAATATTATAGATGTCTTTATTGTCCCTTTTAATGCATCCTTGCTGAATAATATTATTAATTTCTTTTTTTAAAAGCTTTACTGACCGTACATTTTTAAACGGTAGTGTATGTTTTTTTACGATGTGTTTTGTTGTATTTAATGTTATTTGTAATGTTTCTATTGTTCAGGAGTAAACCCACGGTATGTGTTGAGGAACTGGATGGCTGAATCTGCTATCAGAAAAGCAGAGAAAAATGACTTTTCAGAGGTATTATTACATGTGATGACAAACTAATATGCTGTCATGATCATGCTTATCATATATCTTAGAGTATTTGCTTTAATATATTACTGTGAAATGAAGACTTGACAATTATACATACAATGTAACACCTTCAGACAGACCATTATGGCTCGTCTTTTTCTTAGGTGACAGTATTTTTGATGTATCTCTAGGTGGCGCTGTTGCAGAAGACTTTAATGGAGCCGTTTATGGAGCAGGAAGAGGCTGAGAGAGCCGGATATGCCAGTAAACCTCCATCCTGGGCTCAGCAGCTGAGGGTCAGCTGTTCCTCCTAACTCAGGGTCGAATGGGAAAAAAAAATCACAAATTTCAGCATCATTTGAACCAAAAATATTGTTTATGACATTGTAATCACACTTCCTAATGGATGATTTGATTGGAGGATGAGCCATGTTCGACGTTATATACGTATGTACATATATGCCCGTTATATATGGACAATGGACATGGATGTCTTTTGTAATATTGCTTTCACTATTAGTTCATGCTTTGCTAATATTAGTTTTTCTCCAAATGGACAGTTGTTGATATTAACATTGTTTTGATTACATATTTGATTGAGCTGCAGTTGCATAGCAGAGACAGTGGATGGCACACTAAAATCACAATTTGATTACCAATGCCCCTCTAGTGCCACACTTTAGGATGAGTCCTAAATATTGCTAAAATGAACCACAAAAATCTTGTGCTTTATAATTTAGAATTATTGCATCCATGCAAAGAATGCATGTCCCTTTTCTGTTGGAGTCAGGCTTTAATTGTGCATTTATTGCATTTTTTTTTGCGTTTTATTTCCCAATTGCTTGACAAACATAAAACACAGCACACCCTAACCTTAACATAGCCTGAAACACCCTTGATGATTTGTCATGCTTTCTTAGCAAGGCATCAACATGTCAGTGGACCTGCTTTTGCTATAATCCTTAAGGTATTTTATTTCCTATGGGTTGATGGTAAAATAGCTTTTTACAGTTATAATTTTCTTTGTCCAAAATTAGTTTTTAGCTAGTGATATCCTTTCCATGCCTTGTTTTTAATTTGGTAGAACAATAACCCAGTATAAACACTTTCATCACATATTCATATTCTTAGAGGTGAGGATGGACTTGAAAAAAACAAGTTGAGGTATTTTGAATTGTGTGCAAAGACTTTAATTAAAGGAAGGCTCTGTCAACTGAAAAATAACCAGAAAAAAAAGTTTTGACCTTTTACAACTTGTGGCAGGCTGGCTACTGGTCCCTTTATCACTAAGCAAGTCGGGCTTTTACAGTCGCTACATCCTCGTTCCAAAGAAATATGGCGGCCTCAGGCCCATCTTATATCACAAATTCACCCTGGGGATTGTTTTTTCTCAGTGGATCTGGAAGATGCTTACTTTCACATTCAGATAACACCCCATCACAGGCCATTCTTGAGATTCGCATTCGAGGGGCAGGCTTATCAGTACACAGTCCTACCATTCAGTCTATCCCTAGCACCCCGTACGTTTTACGAAGTGCATTGACGCAGCTTTCACCCCCCCTGAGACAACGGGGAGCGCGAGTGTTGAACTACCTTGACGATTGGCTGGTTATAGCCCAATCGGAGGCGCAGTTAATAACTCACAGACCCTGGCTCCTCAGCTGTCTAGAATGCCTAGGTCTCAGGATCAATGCTTCCAAAAGCGCACTGTCTCCCAGCCAGAGTATTTCTTTTCTGGGGACAGTCATAAATTCTATACAGATGAGAGCGCAGCTTACGTCAGAGCGCGTGCTCACCATCCAGCATCTTGCACGCCTCTCAAGAGATTTCAGAGGATGTTAGGCGTCATGGCCTCAGCATCATCAGTACTCCAACTGGGTCTACTGTATATGCGTCCCCTCCAGCGCTGGTTAAAACCCTGTGTACCGGCTCACACGTGGTGATCTGGCCACTTACACATCAAAGTGAACTACAGCTGTGTCAGAGCCCTGGTTCCTAGGAAAGCTCCAGAGTCGTCCTTAAGCAAAGGCACAGGTATGTTCCTAAAGTGCTCTCTACTCTGTTTAGAGCACAGGTCATTTCGCTGTCAGCTCTTCCCTCGTCAGAAGACGAAAGAGACGTGAATCTACTCTGCCCTGTGAGAGCTCTCAGAGTCTATTTAGAGCGTTCTGCCCCCTTCAGGCAGTCAGAACAGCTCTTCGTATGCTTCGGCAGCCGCACCAAAGGTCTCGCGGTCAAGAAGCAGAGACTGTCAGGTTGGATGGTTGATGCTATCTCGCTGGCTTATGAGTCTAAGGGCCTCCGTTGTCCCATAGGCATCAGAGCTCATTCCACGAGAGGCATGGCCTCGTCATGGGCATGGTCCAGTGGAAAACCAATTGAAGATAATTGTTCCCGCTTTACAAGCAAGGGTTCTTTCCGTATAAATAGTGTCTAAGCACAATTCTTTACAACTATAGGGCCCGACGTCTGTCTTGTCCTGGGTGAACCTGAACCACAGTTCTATATACCATATAAAAAGGAGCTTGGCCCATTCCTATATTTTCCTATTTGAGGCTCATTACTGATCTGGCCTCTATTAGGACTCATAACTTTACTCTTCTATGAGCCTCAGGCGCCAAGGCAATAGTTTGGGGTGAAGTTTTTAAGCACGCACTGCGTTTTGAAAGGGGTTCCCATAGCGTAAGCTAACCAATACAAGAGACCCCTCGAAAGGGAACGTCTCGGTTACTAACGTAACCTCGGTTCCCTGAGAGTAGGGAACGAGTATTGCGTAACCCGCCGGCTACTGTGCTTAGATCAGGGGATCGCTTCAGTCGACTTAACCTGAATTCTATGGCGAAAATGGGGGCTTATATAGCTATAAGCCCGCCAGTAAAACGTTGTTGGACTTTGGATAGTTTTTTTTTTTTTTAAGGATACAATTTTATAGGTCATGATATAAAAAAAAATAATAATAAAAAAAAATTAACGTTTGATGAAATCATCTTCGTCACTATTTGCCGTTGACATATTCATTTAAAATACTTCTATTACTCTTCTATAATCCCATTCTTGTAAATCTATAAACTCTAAACTCTGTCACCTTTTCCTAAATAATAAATTACTAATATACACCGTCTATATCTTGTTTAAAATAATCTAATTGTCATTGAATATTGGAAGTTACACCATCAACATTGTAATCAAGCAGTGCGATATCTAATTAATAACAAAGCAATTTTCAGCACATTTTACATTTACATGTGATCATTTACCAGACACTTTTATCCAAAGCGACATACAAATGAGGAGAGCAATAAAACCAACAATATGGCAGTGATGTGACCATTCCCAGTTTAGTCTACAAAAAGATGCGTCTTCAGCAGTTTGGGTCATCACAAATAGAAGAATCTTACATTATTTATTAGTGAGTTCAAGTCCTCTATTAGATCATTGTGGTAATCTGATGTCATCTGTGATATAAAAAAAAAAATCAGACCCACAAAAAGATCCAAACAAGAAACTGCTGTGAAGTCACACACACACACGAGAGTGAGATCGCTGTGACGTCTCTGTGTCTTCAGTCTCTGTTGACTGTGACGTCTCTGTAGCGGCTCCTTATTCACCATCAGCTCACCCTGAGGAAAATACATTTAAACACACAGACAGTCATATATGGAGTACGAGACATTACTGCGGTCACATCACACCAGTAGATTCATTTCAGAACAAACACAGGCAGAGATACATACAGAGTACATTAATATTACAGCCAGAGATGTAAAGGTGAGGAGAACATCAGAGCTGTTGTGCCGCACGCGGGGAACGACAAGCTGCGACAGTCAGAGATTCTGGTCAAGACCATTGTGAAAAGATCATCGTGTCAGGAACACTTCCCACTTACCCTCGTGGAAACGAAAGGTTCAGTAGATTATTCGCATTATATGAATGATGTGATGAACAGAAACTACTCTCTCAATTAATTGTAATCTTGTAATTGTAAGATTCTTCTGTGAGAATGGCCTGCAGCCCAGAGTCAGAGCAGACCTGCTGTCGGACATCATCTATGTACTGATTAAATGATAATAGCACATGTAGTCCATTCCATAGAGACTGTGTCTGTTCTCAGAATAATGAGAACAAATATTGTTTATTACAGGATCCAGGAAAAATAACTGAGCAGTGAACCTGCCCGCTGTTCTTCAGAAAAATCCTCCAGGTATTGCACATTTTTAAGTTTTCCAGCATCTTCTGCATATTTGACACCTTTCCAACAATGACTATGATTTTGAGATTCATCTTTTTACATCAAGGACAATTGAGTGACTCATACACAACTATTACAAAAGGTGAAAACATTTACTGATGCTCAAGAAGGAAACAATGCATTACGAGCAGGTGGTGTAAACTTTAAACAGGATTATGATGATGTGTACATTTTGTTTAAAGATCATCTTTTTTTCATTTAGTACTGCCCTTCAGAAGCGAATAATTCCCTGTTTCGCAGAAGACAAAATAATTACAATTTATATTGTTCATGCAATTTAAAAAGTGTACACACCCCAGCTTTTAATGCATTGTGTTGTATCAGTAAAAAAAAAAAAAAAAAAGTTATCATTTTTTTCTAAAAATATATATTTCTTCAAGAAATACTCTGTAAAACTGATGTTGTTAAAAATAATATGCAGGGGAAACCAAGTCCTATGTTTGGTGGACCCTGTGTGTTACAAACCTTATTAGTATTCCAAAGTATTCTAAATTATTTAGATTAGGTTACAAAGCTTGTGTAATCTAACGAAAAATGTTACAAATTACCATGTTTTGTAATCTGTAGTAAATAATCCACTTACAATATAGTGTCTCCAGTTTATAATGTGGATCATTCTTTAGATCAGAGAGAAGCTTTATGTCTGAATCTCCTAGTTTATTCCCAGTCAGATCCAGTAGTCTCAGGTGTGAGGGGTTTGATCTCAGAGCTGAAGTCAGAGCAGCAAAACCTTCATCTGTGACTCCACAATTACTCAACCTGTAGAGAACAATGACACTGTGTAAACGGTGTGTAAAATTACCATTTTATTAAAGATTGCAATGTGTGATGTGATTTGAATGTAGTGACAAGCAATGAATGCCACTATATTCTACACTGTTTTATAAAGGATGTCGGTTTTCCGTGTACTTGAGGTAAAACTGAGGGACAAATACCATGCAGTAAAATTGAATGAATTAATCCAGTTAGGGAACCATATTAAAATCACTTTAAAACTTCTTAATTATGTTACTTGGAAATGACTTGATTCCATGATGTTGACATTATGTGAACAAATGATCTTTGTCTTTGTCTTGTTTGTGATGTGGAGTATATATATATATATATATATATGCTGGGAATAACATTTATGTTTTAGGATTAGCATGTTTAATCAAGCATTGGCTCACCGGTGATGTTCACTGATTTAACTGAATATTTATTTAATGTGCATTTGGACTGATGTAAGTATCACTCACTTGTAATTTATTGTTTAACTGAGCGTCTATGAATCACACATAAAACTACTGGTTTTGGTTTTCCTGGTAAAACTATAATTGTACAGAAAATGAGCTCTCAATAAAATGTATTCAATTGTCTCTCATTTGTGTTGTGTGGATGTGTAATTGTTTGGTTGCACTCCTTCTTCAGACCCGAAACAAGCAAAGTTGGTGATCAATGAGTAAAAAAGTTTAAACTATTACATTACTAATAAAGAATATATTTAGCAAGGACAAATATATATGTGTTTATCAGAGAGTTCATCTTACCACAGCCTCTCCAGTTTACAGTGAGGATCCTCCAGTACAGCAGAGAGCAGAGGAACGGAATCTCCTAGTTTATTCCCAGTCAGATCCAGTAGTCTCAGGTGTGAGGGGTTTGATCTCAGAGCTGAAGTCAGAGCAGCAAAACCTTCATCTGTGACTCCACAATAACTCAACCTGTAGAGAACAATGACACACTCTTCACTCTCTCAGTTCAGATCAGTTTAACACAAGTGTCCGCAGCCGTACTGCAGGGCGTCTGTCAATTAATGCTTGATCACAAATAATTTTTTGTTAAATTAAAACATGGGTAAAAACACCAAGTCAAATTTATGTCAAATTTAAATATAAGCACTCTCAAATGAATGCAAGAGCACCCTCAGTTGATTCTGTAATAATATCATACCAGCAAACTCTCAAGTGTGTTTTTGTGTTTGAACTCTGGAGAACGTCAAATGTTTCTATTTTACAATGTGTTTTTACAGCGGTGAGAAATGTAGCCAATCACAGTCATGTTTGTTGGTCTATTGAACGCAGTGGCCAATCAGAGGCGTTTCATTTAGTCAGAATCCACTCACCGAGATATAAAGGCCCTGTCCCAAATGGCACACTTCATATGCACTTTCAGTCTTGAAGACTTACAATGGCTTCCGCATCCCGTTAAGTCCATGAGACTGTAGGGTGTCCATTTAGTAATTTTAGGTTTCAGAAGGGGACTCACGAGCGCCGCTCAGCGGTCGATATGTGCCCTACATGTACACTTTTGCTGAGCCCACACTGAAGCGAGCTCCGCAGCAGACTTCTTCCCGACAGTCAAAGCGGCGTTTGTCACGAAAGTGCGGACTCAGAGGAAGACCGCGAGTGTTTATGGTGCCATTTGTGACAGGGCCAAACTCACAATTAAGTGACATAAATAACAATTGCAAGAAAAAGTCAGAATTGCGAGATAAAAAGTCACAATTATCTTTTAAATTGTTTTATACCGTGGCGGAAACAAGCTTCCATAAATTCGAGGCAACCAGTGGCGAATTAGTCTTCCAGGTTTTGATGTCATCCCTGAAGCTCTATTCATAGTCAGCTTTCCTTTCGCATCCCCCAAATGCCAACAAACCAATGAGAACGCGGAACAATGATGATGATGATGCATAATAACAGAACGTAGGCACCAACGTTGTGGATACACTTACCCAAAACCCTCCATAACTTTTCAATGAATTTCACATTTATTTGTATAGCGCTTTTCACAATACATGCTGTTTCAAAGCAGCTTTACAGAAAATGCACATCTACATTACAATTTAGAGTGATCTGTTATCAGAGGTGACTGTGTCCAAGTTATGTATTTCAGAAATGTACATATACAAATTACACATTTAGCTAATAATGTATTAAATTTAATTTAATTTATAACTGGCACTTATTTAAAAAAAAAAAAAAGTCGATTGGCAAATAAATAAATGACAGACTGAGAGTGAAGCCCAACTGAATATCTACAGAAAATTTAATCCGTGGAGATCTACACTGTAACGTTTATATTTAAATTAACAAAAAAACACAAAATTGTCAAGTCTATGGACGGGATATTAATGTGTAAGCGTCGATTTAATTATGTTATTTCGCAGTATATCCCTCTACTGGACGCATCAGGAACAACAGGGTCCTAAAACTGCCGGGGCGTAAAACTGCCAGGGGCGCCTCCCCATATAGGCTCTCTGTCGGGGCGTCATGGCGGTGCCGTGGAGCCTGTGCTGGAGGAGCAGTGCAGGAGCTGCTGTAGTGCTGGACTGGTGTTGTGGGCTCAGCAGAAGAGCTTTTACACACACGGCTTCAGCAGGCAGAAGAAGCGCGTCGTCCTCCGCTGTGACACAGGTAACGCGATCACACTGATGATGATGATGATGATGATGAAGGTCACCGGTGTGAGCCAATGAATGACAGATCACTGCCGTATTTTATCACATTAGGTTTGAAATGAGTGCGAACTGCGAATGTCATGCGCTGTAATAGTGAAAAAAAAGTCTTAGATCAGATGAATGCAGTCGTGTTTGTAAAGACCTCCTGCCTGAATGTGTTAAAGGTCAAGAACTCATTCATTAGAGACTCACTGCTCGGTATTGCATGCCATTCAATGTCACTGGTGGACAAGAATGTTGCACAGGAAGTCTTGTGTTGTGCTTGTGTAAGTTGTGTTGGCAAATGTTAAGACATATCCTGAGCACAGTTTGCACTATTGTTTTGATGGGTACTTTATGTTTTTATTAGGTTTTATTCCGACAGGGCCCTGTACATAATTTTAACAAACCAATGATCCTTGCAAGGTATGTCAATGTCATGGATGTGATAATGTCAGTGGTATTTCTCCACAGTGTTTCACATTGCTATAAAAGTGACTCTTATCGAACTCTCTTTCATTACAACTTCCATTCTCACAGAATTCTTGTTCGTCCTTAAATGTAGCGATGACGACGGCCGATAGAAATAAAAATAATGTGAAACCATGTTTTGTCATTACATCAAACGTACAGGCATATTATTTTTACTATTTGTCCTGTAACCTACTTCCTTACATCACGTAACTAGAGGAAAACATCAGAACTGTCACACAAACAATCCTTCAATATTCCACCAGAGGGCGCTCATCGGCTCAAAAACACGAATGCTCCATTTATGCCATATTCGGGATTTTTATGTCTTTTTGGAAATTTATACGCGTTATAAACCATAACTGATTAAATCTATTAATTGAATGGGTTCAGAAGCTGTCGTACAAATGGAAACTCTCGTAACTTTCTCACTATAATGACTAACTGTGGAGCCTGTGCTGGAGGAGCAGTGCAGGAGCTGCTGTAGTGCCGGACTGGTGTTGTGGGCTCAGTCAGCAGAAGAGCTTTTACACACACGGCTTCAGCAGGCAGAAGAAGCGCGTCGTCCTCCGCTGTGACACAGGTAACGCGATCACACTGATGATGATGATGATGATGATGACGATGAAGGTCACCGGTGTGAGCCAATGAATGACAGATCACATTAGGTTTGAAATGAGTGCGAATGTCATGCGCTGTAATAGTGAAAAAAAGTCTTAGATCAGATGATTGCAGTCGTGTTTGTAAAGACCTCCTGCCTGAACTGTGTGTTAAAGGTCAAGAACTCATTCATTAGAGACTCATGTTCCGTATTGCATGCCATTCAATGTCACTGGTGGACAAGAATGTTGCACAGGAAGTCTTGTGTTGTGCTTGTGTAAGTTGTGTTGGCAAATGTTAAGACACACTATATCCTGAGCACAGTTTGCACTATTGTTTTGATGGGTACTTTATGTTTTTCAGGCTTTATTCCTGCAGGGCCCTGTACATAATTTTAACAAACCAATGATCCTTGCAAGGTATGTCAATGTCATGGTGTAAATGTGTACCACTAGTTAGTGCTAATGTGTATAGGTACACTGGGGCTAGTTGTCACTCAGGGAACGTGTAACATGGACTATTACAAAAAAACTATTAGGTTCAAAGTCTAGTTGTATAATGTTATGAGTATAACTTATGACAGTTTCAGGTAGCCAAAGCAGTTGTGTGTTTTAAAAATAATAATAATAATAATTTAAACAAAACTATTTAATTAGTTCAGAAGTTTGAGGTTAGCAGGATATATTTCTCTTTAAAGATATACATAGTTTGTTACAGTAAATGCATTTAAAATCTTACAAAAGATTTGTTTCATAATCATGTTTCCCACAAAAATTAAGCTGCACAACATTTCAATATTGATAGTAATTCAAAATGTTTCTTGAGCAGCAAATCAGCATATTCATTATTTTCTGAAGGATCATGTAAGACAGAAGACTGGAGTAATTAAATTAATTACATTCTACTGAAATATGTTCATTTATTATAAATATATATTCAAGTCGAAAAATGTTATTATATACATAAAATAACTTCATATTATTATATAAATGATCTCTCTCCAGTCTCCATATATATTCCCCCCCCCCACAAAAAAAAATTGCATAGATATTATGTGCTGGGCATCCAAGATACAAGTTTGTGTTTACATATGTGTGTGTGCTGTGTGCAGGTATTTTGTATATATAAATGCACACGCATGCATGTATATAAGAAATACTTGCACGTAAATACATACGTTTATACATAATTTATATTATAAATATTTTATATATAAATAATACATTTTTCAAAAATATATACATGCATGTGTGTGTATTTATATATATACAAAATAATTACACACAGTACACCCATATATTATTATGTAAACACAAACTTTTATTTTGGATACGATTATTCGCGATTAATCGTTGCCCAGCACTAATATAAATATATTTAAATGGGTGATTTGGTAAAATGTGTTTATACGACCCCATTCAAAGTTGCAAAGCCTTTAAACAGCCTTTAATATTACAAATGTATAATATTAATATGTGATTTTAAGAACATTACATCATTTTAATTATACATTTTAAATACATAAATATATTGATTTTCAAAAATAAACCAAACCTAAGTGTCAATTTGTCAACTAGCCCTGCTCTCCCTTATTTATAGATTCATTCATACATGCACATTGTTTGATTTTTTGTTAATAACTAAAAAAATATGTTTTTTTTATTGTGTTTATTGAATCTTTTTTCCATGTTTGTGTTTCAGGCACAGCTCTAGATGTCTGTTCTCAACTCCACGGGTCTGTTGCAGTATACACAGTGATGCAAAGTTAAAAGATCCTTTCTCACTTGCACAAAAGGACTTGCAAGATTTATATGAAGACATAAAAAAGGTACAGCAAGAATACTGCATAGTTCTACATAGCGTTTACCACTAAACATTGTTTTTCTTGTCCACTGTTGTTTTATGAAGTGTTATATTTAGTAATTATTAATGCCCAAACACTTTCCACCACTTCTCTGAGATGTTTTATGCTCTTCTATGCGCTCAAACTGACCTTGTTAAACGTGTGTTCAGCAGCTGCTCGTCTCTAAAGCAGAGCTCAAAGCACTCTGTGATTATTACTTTGATGGGAAGGGGAAAGCCTTTCGACCGATGATTGTGATCTTGATGGCTCGAGCTTGTAACGTCCACAGCAATAAAGAGGGGTGAGAAAGCACTTCAGTGCTGTGTGTGTGTGTGTGTGAATTCCTAATGTGATGCGTCAGTCAGTGTTAATAAGGCACATCTGATGTCCTCAGGGTTTTGCTGCCGGCGCAGCGCTCTATCGCTATGATCTCTGAGATGATCCACACTGCCAGCCTGGTGCACGATGACGTTATCGATGACTCGGACACAAGACGTGGGAAAAACACCATTAATAAATTGTGGGGAGAGAAAAAAGTGAGTAACTGTGATTTTCTGCTGTTGATCGCACATTTTGGTACTTAGTTGGTGTCTAATTTGAAATCTGAAGGAAAATCAGTTGGAACTATGGAATCTTGTTTCCGCCAGGCAATAATAATAATAAAAAATTAAAGCTGCAAGCAGCATTTAGCGGTGTTCAAGCAGTTAAGCCCTTTTAGCACATAAGCATTAAAGACATTTAGCAAGCATGTAACCACTGACATAATAGATGGAAAACCGTTTACCATGATTTACCATGATACTAGCATGATTTACCATAATTTTACCATGATTAACCATGTTCTAGTATGATTTACCATAGCTTTACCATGATGTACCATAGTTTTACCATGATTTACCATGTTCTAGTATGATTTACCATGAATCTAGCATGATTCACAATGTTCTAGTATGCTTTACATGATTTACCCTGTTGTAGCATAATTTACCATCGTTTACGATGATTTACAATGCTCTGGTATGAATTACCATGAATCTAGCATGATTTACCATAATTTACCATGTTCTAGAATGATTTACCATGAATCTAGTATGATTTACCATAGTTTACCATGATTTACCATGTTCTAGTATGATTTACCATGAATCTAGCATGATTCACAATGTTCTAGTATGCTTTACATGATTTACCCTGTTGTAGCATAATTTACCATCGTTTACCATGATTTACCACGCTCTGGTATGAATTACCATGAATCTAGCATGATTTACCACAGTTTGACCATGATTTACCATGTTCTAGTATGAATTACCATGAATCTAGCATGATTCACCATAGTTTTACCATGATTTACCATGTTCTAGTATGATTTACCATGAATCTAGCATGATTCACAATGTTCTAGTATGCTTTACATGATTTACCCTGTTGTAGCATAATTTACCATCGTTTACCATGATTTACCACGCTCTGGTATGATTTACCATGATTCTAGCATGATTTACCATAGTTTTACCATGATTTACCATAGTTTTACCATGCTTTACCATACTTTTACCATGATTTACCATGTTCTAGTATGATTTACCATGAATCTAGCATGATTTACCATAGTTTTACCATGATATTCCATTTTGTAGTATGCTTTACATGATTTACCCTGTTCTAGCATGATTTGCTTTAGTTCAGAATGTTGTTGAAACTCAAGGCTGTTAAAATGAAAGTGAGCCAATAAGTGGTCTTCTACTGCCCTCTGCTGGCCACTCTACTTATTAATAAAGTCTTTTTGCATTCATATCTAGACACACACACACACACACACACACACACGTCATTATGAAAATATATGAAATGCTTATAGACCATTCAAATATGTCTTTGCAAGCTATTAATCAGATTATTCAGGATTTATTCAGAAACATGGGACTACACACACACATTCTGTTGTAGATAAAGTGATTTGAACTGTCTCTCATTCAGGATTAACATTTGTCTGTGACACGATGCTTCAATAGATGAATTTTGACAAAATGTGAGTGTAAATGTTAAAATAGTGATTTTATAAACTCTAAATAAGAATTATAGAATATTAGTAGTTAGTAGCATGACAAAATGACTATTTTAAACAGCAGAATCGTGAGATATAAACTGACAATTCTGAGAGAAAAATACTTTATATCATGCAATTCTGACTTCATAACTCGCAATTGCAACTTTATATCTCACAATTTTGAGAGAAAAAGTCGCAATGACATTTAAAATTTTTATTCCAAGGCGGAAACAAGCTTCCATACATTTCATCCCAATATTACAAGAAAAAAGGCAGTATATCAAACCTGTAAGAATTTTATGATATTTTTATGTGACATTTTTTTTGTATGACATTTTCCCCCCAAAAGTCTCATTAACTCTAACAGATGTTTTACTTAAGCGTTTATTGTTATTCTCCTTGAAATCATTACTGTAATGCTGTAATTTTTACCATATTCAGAATCAGGGATGCAAACTTGTCACCTTGCCACCGAATAGGTCATTTGTGTGATTTGTGTAGATCCGATGGGTTTTTAAAATTGCTTTCAAACAGTCCTGCTTGTATTTGTGTGTGAGCTCTTGGTTTCTATCACAAATGTTTCCATACAACGTGTTTTTGCAGCGCTGAATATTGTAGCCAATCACAGGTAGGGTTGTGACGGTTATTATATAACCGTGAAATCGATGGTTAGTTGAACACTGTCATTAGAACTCTATAACCGCCAAAACAGTGCTATTACAATTTTTTTTTTTTTTTTTTTTATCAAAGAGAATGTTTAAATACTAATATCAGCTTACGAGGGAAACGGAGGCGGAGTTAGTGGTGCTTCGGAGGCTGCTTCGGCTGGAGATGATTCGGGAGAGGTCTGTGCACCTTTACCGATCAGAGCGTGCGCTGACACGGAGTAAAGCCTTGTTTATCCTCGACGCGTCCGCACGAACACGAAGGTGCGCCCAGCAAAAATGATGCGTTGGGTGCGCAAGACCCCATTTCGCTTGGCTGTGTGCACGGCTCTTTTTGTAACAGCGCGTGCGACGCCGCATCCGAGGATGAACGACTTAAAGCCGAATCTGTCCGAGCATGTAGGCTACTACGTCTCACCGCACTGGCACCCAGTTTGCGCGTCTAAATTGCAACGTTTTTTTGTTAAGGTTTTGTTTACTGTGTGTGATTTATTTAAAGGTGCTATATGCATTTTTTAGCGGCCTCTATCGGTGATGTTTCAGATTGCAACCAATTATTACAAGAGCGCTCGTGCTCTTGCGTGTGCTCGAACACAAGAGCGAGCACGCATGGTACCGGCCACACTGAGACTTTCAACACACCGGAGAAAGCATCACACAACATGCTGGAAACTCATGTAAACTCCCACTGCAACGTTACAATAATAGGCTACTTTTATCAGCTTGACGTTGAACTAATGCTCCATGCTCGTACCATGATAATGTTACATTTGTGGTGTTAAGGCATTTCACTAACTATTCGTGTATCTTTCACAATCAGCAATGTCAACATAGGTGAATGTATAATATGATAACGAAAACGGTTAGTGACTAGACTGAACAATTTCAGTGTAACAGTAAGATCGTAGGATGTAACATTACTGTACTGAACGTGTCTGGAAATGTGTATTATAAACAATATGGTAGTAGTGGGATGAGTGACGTTAGACAGTAGATCTAGTACATAAAATAAAAGTTACATCCTAAAGCACCTACTTTTTGTTATCTTGGAACAGTCTTTTGTATTCATTTCATGTCTCATATATGTTGTAGTTTACCTTGCTATTTCATTACAGTTTACCATTATTTCAGCATATCTGAAAACTTGTAATTTATCACAATAAAAATAGCGGAGGTCTCTCCATAATTCAAACGCTCTGCCGATGTTGATCCGTGTTTTCGTCCTAAGTCGATCCGATTCACGTTTGGCCTGACGAGCTTCAGCAGATAAATGTTTGTTTTGTTTTGTTTTTTATATTTATGTGGAGTTTGTGTTGGAGTGTGTGTTGTGCTGGAGGCAGGTCGTTGTTTGGTGTTATCAGACTCCATGTCGTCAGCTGCAGTGCCGTCGCATAGACTGTATATAAAAAGGAGAGAGGCTCGGGAGCGCGCATGCACGTCACATCCGATGGATTTCACAGGAAATCCGACCCGGAGACTTCACATATAAATAGGAATACTGGCCTTCAGAGGTAATAGCAAAACCCGACAAGTGGATCATTATAATGTGTGATTACAACCCCTTCACACACAGGCAATAAAAAAAAGGATTCATTTTAAAAGAAAAGTTACATTTAGCACCTTTAAAACAAAGCACGTTCATTGCAACGTTTGTTTTTTTGTTTTTGTTAAGGATTTGTTTACTGTGTGTGATTCATTTAATGGAAAGCACATTCACTTCTGGTTGTCTTGCTGTTCATTTTAAATGAACGTAAAGCGAGTTGCTAATCAGTGTCTGCTTGTTTATTCAAATTAAGTTGACCTATAACTAATGAACAGTTATTCAACCGACCATCCTATAACCCCCTTCCCCCAATGCCACGACGACGACAACGACGGTTATGTTACGAACCGTCACATTTGACTCGCGTCATAACCGTCATCACCAATTCTGAAACCGGCACACCCCTAATCTCAGGCATGTCTGTGTAACGCAATGACCAATAAGAGGTGTTTACTGTAAGTTAGTCAGAATCTGCTCAATACCCTTCAAAACACTGTTTAACTAAGTTCTACACGCTTGCAAATCATCTCATTATAACAAAGCGTAGACATTATGTAAATAAGAGATTTATATATAATTTTTACAAAATAATTTTGAGACTGCGTAAGTCATTAAAAGTTGCATTTTCAGTTGAATTTCGGGAAACCACTTGAAACGTTTGTTGTGTTGAGCTATTTCTATGACTTTTGTTTTGATTTTTTCATTGCAAACAGCTGAAAGTCTGTACATTTTGCAAATAAACCTGATTTGTATTATATACAGTGTGTATTTAGATTCATTGATGATAACAGGAGTTTTTGCGTGAGTGAGCAAAGTCAGCCGCGTTATAAAGGGAGCGCTTGGTTTTCTATATTTAAAATGTTATGCAATCAAGGGGAACCACCAAAGAGCTTTGACACAAATTGAACACTTCTTGATATATATCATAGCAATGTGCAGTTACATTCTGCAACTTTTTCATGCATTCTGATTCATTCATATATTGTTTCTTTTGCAGGGCCATGCATCAGAAAGTCAGTTCATGTAAATATATGGCATAAACGAAATAAATACTTATGAATGAAGTATGAAGTACAATTTCCAGAAAAACTGAATCTTTAAGTATACATAGCAAAAGCGAATCTAGTGAAACATGCACCAAATAAATGCACCAGAAGCTTCCTAAAATATATGTTTGTTTTTTTTGTATACAAAAATACCACTGATAAAAGTATAGAAAAAGTATTTGGACTTAAATCTGTCATAAAAATAAAACAAACCTTTATCTGATGATGTCAGGCTATTGTTGCAAGAAAATGTATACTGAAATAGTGAATCAGTTGTATTACATAGCCATTGTCTTTAGCCATAAATTGTGGTAAATATGAATATATGTTGTTACAATGCTATTCTCTGGCTTAGTGTGTGAATTTAATCAGCTCAGTGACACAGATGAAAATATCTGTTTATATAACACTAATTAATGTGTGTTGTCATTGACAAATAAATATACACAGTTTGTATATATATATTTTATTATACTGTCTGTATGTATTCACATAAGACATGTACTCATATACAATTACAATATAAATATTAAATATTGGAAATTACACAAAATTTAGCAAATATGCTACATAAATAGTCCATTTGGTCTAAGCTGCCTGGATCCGACTGTTGGTTGTTGACTTTGATAGCCGTCCGCTGCTTTTTTTGTGGGGCTGATCTGTCCACTCCTGCACTGTCCTGTTGAAGGAACAGACATAATCATGTAACGCTGACCAGATTTAATGAGTGATTCTTAAAGAAAATCGAAAGAAAATTTAAATAGCATAGTTAAAGGCAACGTTTACTTGTTTGAATACATTTTAAAATAAGTAAAAACTAGCAATATAAGGGACTTACAGAAGCTTCTGTGCTCCATAGACACACGCTCTTACTCCATCTGGACATGGGTGCTCCCTCGGGAGACCTGGGTGGTTGCTGTGGGGAACACAGTGGAGCAAGTGTTCTCTGTGGGGTCTTGGCAGGCACAGACACTCCCTTTTGCACATTCTTCTGCTGATGCCCCCACCAATCCCTCAACTTCTCCCTCTGCTTCCTAGGGATCCTGAGTTTTGCAGAAGACACATTTTGCGAATGCTGCCTCAGTAGCTCAGGGTTTTTAGCATCTCTCTTCTCGGAGATCTTGTCAATAACAAGTACTCCCTGTGTGCAACAAACAGGCGCTATCTCAGGCTCAGGGATCTTTTGATTTTGTTCTCTTTGTTCTTTTGATCTCTTTGTGATGTTGTCAGGCATGGGTGGTCCCTGCAGAAAAGTGTAAGGCTTCTGCTGCAGCAGCTCCTGCCTTAATGGCTCAGGGATCTTAAGTTTGGGCCTAGGTCCCATCTTGTCCTGCATGGGTGCTCCATCTGAGGAGTATGTGAGCACCTTTGAGGACGCCACTGGTGCCCTCTGTAGAGACTGGATGGGCATGGGTGGTCCCTGCAGAAAAGTGTAAGGCTTCTTCTGCAGCAGCTCCTGCCTTAATGGCTCAGGGATCTTAAGTTTGGGCCTAGGTCCCATCTTGTCCTGCATGGGTGCTCCATCTGAGGAGTATGTGAGCACCTTTGAGGACGCCACTGGTGCCCTCTGTAGAGACTGGATGGGCATGGGTGTTTCAAAAGAGGCATGTATCAGGTGTTTAGTCAAATGTAATGGGATCCTGAGTATTCCTCTTTGTTTGGACCCTATGGGCACAGGTGCTCCCTGTGTGGATCTGGCGGGCACAGGTGCTCCCTCTGTGGATCTGGCGGGCACAGGTGCTCCCTCTGTGGATCTGGCGGGCACAGGTGCTCTCTGTGTGGATCTGGCGGGCACAGGTGCTCTCTGTGTGGATCTGGCGGGCACAGGTGCTTCCTGTGTTGATCTGGCGGGCAAAGGTGCTTCCTGTGTTGATCTGGCGGGCACAGGTGCTTCCTGTGTTGATCTGGCGGGCACAGGTGCTCTCTGTGTGGATCTGGTGGGCACAGGTGCTTCCTGTGTGAATCTGGCGGGCACAGGTGCTCTCTGTGTTGATCTGGCGGGCACAGGTGCTCCCTGTGTTGATCTGGCGGGCACAGGTGCTTCCTGTGTGGATCTGGCGGGCACAGGTGCTTCCTGTGTGGATCTGGTGGGCACAGGTGCTTCCTGTGTGGATCTGGCGGGCACAGGTGCTTCCTGTGTGGATCTGGCGGGCACAGGTGCTCCCTGTGTTGATCTGGCGGGCACAGGTGCTTCCTGTGTGGATCTGGCGGGCACAGGTGCTTCCCGTGTTGATCTGGCGGGCACAGGTGCTTCCCGTGTTGATCTGGCGGGCACAGGTGCTTCCCGTGTTGATCTGGCGGGCACAGGTGCTTCCCGGGTTGATCTGGCAGGCACAGGTGCTCTCTGTGTGGATCTGGCGGGCACAGGTGCTTCCCGTGTGGCTCTGGCAGGCACAGGTGCTCTCTGTGTGGATCTGGCGGGCACAGGTGCTCTCTGTGTGGATCTGGCGGGCACAGGTGCTCCCTGTGTGGATCTGGAAGAGAAGGGTGCTCCCTGCGTCATCTTCTGCCTCCACTGCGGTGTGGTCTTCCGTGTTGCATCTGAGAAGCCCGAGTGCTGGAAATGAGGCTTCTCAGATGCATTACTGAAGACCAGGGATGAGGGACATGATGTTTCTCCCGCCTCCATTGTTTCCCCCCACTGGCCTGAGATGTCCCCGTACTCATAATCCTCAGGTATGGGGTCCGAAACCTCCATTATCGCCCACCACCGTCCCGCAGCAAGGGCCGTAGTAAGCTCATCTGAGTACTCAGTAGATGATGACTGCTCTGCACTCTCAAAAATGGTGGGCATGGTTGACAAACTCATATCGATGTTAGATATGTAGAAAATGAACTGGAACTGAACAATACTATTTGCAATGTATATCTGTGAAACACTATGAAAGAAAGAGAAAGGGAAGAGATGATTTGAGTAAACATACAGTACAAGAACCTGAAAGCTTGTTGTCTTAAGCCCAACGTAAACCCACATTCCGCATTTTGTCATCTGAAGTTCAACAGACATCCATGTGTAGGCCAATTTTTGTGTTCGCGCTAACGGTGTGTGCTCAACAACGCATACGGTAGGTGATTGTTAAGATAGAAGGATGTTGACACGACTCAGTACTGCTCTTTGACATCTGCTAAAGTATAAATAGGAAATTGTGAGTGTCACACTGGTCCACCAACTAATAGCTGTGCAGACAAGACTGTGCACAAGATGGAGCGGAACGCGGAAAATCAAGTAGGCCTTTAATTTTCTAAAAAATACAAATAAAAATGTATACAGTGTATGCCCAGTGGCGATCCATCAGAAGAGTCAAGTGAGGCTGAGAGCCTCCTTGAAATGTATTTAAAATGAACAATGAAGCTAAAAAAGTTAATTGTTATTTTTATCAATTTACCTACTAATGTGAATAACTCCGATGCACATAACGTAAATGTATATATTCATGTTTTATTTTGCCGGTTGTCGAGGCAAATTTGATTGATTTAAACAAATCAGCTTAAGGCAAATAAGCTTTCAGAATCACTTCAGTGTGTCATCAGATCTGCTATCATTTTGTCATTTGAATATAAATGATCTACAATTATATAAATAAAAAGATTTGATCATTATTGATTCACATATCATGCTCTCATTTCCACACAAACCAGTGTAGCCATGCCTATTTATTTATCTAAATGTAGCAACAGCTAATCTATACAATAACATTCCACAGTTTAAGCAGATTCTTCTGCAAATTATATAAAGATTCAAATTCAGATCCCCAAACCCAGTGTAAAAAGCATAGGCTACTCACTCAATCGCCGACTCGCTACAAGAAGAAAAAATCCGCTGCACTCATTATAACGTCACCGAGCGTTCTGAGGAATGCGGCGATCATTATGACGTACTCGACCGCGAGTTTGTGAGGGATGGGAGACCTAGGCTGTTTCGTTGTATTAAAAGTGAACATGCAATACAAACAAAGACTGACTTAGCATTTTTAATTCATGATTGTTGATACAAAAACTAACGCTGTTTATTTGTTAGCATTTGCAGCTGGTGCATAAACAAGACCAAGTAAAGCTGCGGATGGGTAGCCATATTTTATTATGAAGCATAACAGACCACTGAAACAAAATGAATCAACAGATATTACAATAAAAGCCCATTTCTGAAACAGAATACAATTCACAAAAAAGTTCCTCTAGGCTATCCTGGTTTTTTCCCCTTCTATTTCTAACAATAGCCTAAGTTAAGCAACATTATCAGATGAGGAAGAGTGCTGTCCCGAACATCAGTAGGACGTTGTTTAAAATAAACAAGTTGTTAATATTACATGACTTACATTTTGATCTATATCGCCAATGAAAATAGTTCCAAATAAATCTATAAATCGTTGCGCATCTTTGAGAAACGGTTTCCCTGACTGAACTTTCCATAAGTTTAGCGGCTTTAGATGCTCTCTGAAGCGCAGACAGAGAAGCGAAACATAACGACGTCTTTTATCCAAAAACCCCCCCCAAAAACAACAACAAAAAACTGCTTCTTTCAGGTTTTTAAATCATTATTTATGTTATAATGTATAGAGGGTTTCACGACGCGTCATCAAACCAGAAGTCGGCCATTTTGGAGGCACTGAACGTAAACAATGCCATTGAACTGAACGGACTCGCAAATTTGGCTGATTATTGCTGCTGAAAAATGGTCGAGTTTTGGTCTGTACTAATCGGTCGCATCGGGAAAAAACATTTCGAGTTCTATCTACTGCTAAAAGTTAAAGAGAAGAGTGTAAAAAACTGATGAAAGAAGGCGTTTGTGGTGAGGCACAGCATCAGCTCATCAACCACATGACATGTGTTAATGAAGCGTTGACTATGGCTAAAATGTTGACGTATTTAACTATGGCTACATTCACACTGTCAGTCCAAATCCGATTATCTTTGTATCCGATTGGAATCTGATCTAAAATGATGTCCACACTGTGTATCGCAACTGTTCAGATCCGATGTGTGTATCCATGCAGCTCTTGGGCAATATGGCACTGACATTGTGTTGATGGAGGGGTTTGCATTTGCAATCGAGATGTCGTCTTATTTAAATTTTACAACATGGGAATGTGTAGCCGCCGCGCTGGACTACTGCGTCTTGAGCTGCAGAACTGTATGAGGATATTATGCACTACAGCTTTTTTTCCGCGCTAGTTTCAAAATATGTTTCAGAAATAATAATGTTCTGCTCGTCCGGCACTTTGCAACAACACAGAATTGTTTCGACAGCGACTTTCAGCGTGTTTCCTCTAACAACGTCTGACGTTTACATTTAACGTGAGAGTCACATACCACGCGAAATCCGATCGTTCAGACTGAAGCCGATGCCCTGATATGTGATTTGAATAGGATTTCAAACCACATATGAATGTAGCTTGAAACGGATTTCATGTGCTTTTTTGGACTGGCAATCTGAACGTAGCCTGTGTCGGGATAAGAAATAGAAGGAAGAACTGCAGTACGGGCTAGAGAAGCTAGCTCGTTCGGACCTTTACCACATATTAACTTTAGTTTGTCAAAATGTTTCGCTCTCTCCTGCTTACTAAGTCCTTCTCTATATGATTTCGCACCTACTACGTGTTTTTACCATGGTTTATTAGTGTAACAATGTGTTCAGTAGTACGTAAACAGTGCAATCCATGCCGTTGTTTACATCCGAGTGCCTCCATAATGGCCGCGCATCCGGGTTACCGCCCAGAACATGACGTTGGTGACAACCCGCCGCATACTCAATGAGTAGGTACTTAATTTCAATGAGTACTTACTTAACGAATGTACTTAATTTAAAACAAACAAGTTTAAAGTTACATTTACATTTATTCATTTAGCAGACGCTTTTATCCAAAGCGACTTACAAATGAGAACAATAGAAGCAGTTAAATTAACAGTAGGACAAAAATACGCAAGTGCTATAACCCCTCTCAGTTTAATTTTAGTGCAGTTTTTTTTTTTTTTTTTTTAATAGAAGAGAAGAGAAAGTGTTAGTACTACTGAATCAAGTGCTGCCGGAAAAGATACGTCTTCAGCAGTTTCTTGAAAGTGGCTACTGACTCAGAAGCTCTGGTTGAGTTTGGCAGATCATTCCACCAGCAGGGAACAGTCATGGTAAAGGTCCGGGAAAGAGATTTTGTGCCTCTTTGAGATGGTACCACTAGACGACATTCGCTAGCAGAGCGCAAGTTTCTGGATGGCACATAAGTCTGAAGTAATGAGTTTAGGTAAGAGGGAGCAGTGCCAGTGGTTGTTCTGTATAGGCAAACGTCAGTGCCTTGAATTTAATGCGAGCGGCAACTGGCAACCAGTGCAATTGTGTGAGGAGAGGAGTGACGTGTGCTCTCTTCGGCTCATTAAAGACTACTGTGGCTGCAGCATTCTGGATCAGTTGCAGAGGTTTGACAGAGCAAGCTGGAAGACCAGCCAGGAGAGCATTACAATAGTCCAGTCTGGATAAAACAAGTGCTTGGACAAGGAGTTGTGTGGCATGCTCTGTTAGGAAAGGCCTGATCCTCCTAATGTTGTGCGAGGCAAATCTGCAGGACCGGGCAGTTCTAGCAATGTGGTCTGTGAATTTCAACTGATCATCAATTACAACCCCAAGGTTCCTAGCTGACCTTGATGGAGTTATGGATGACGAGCCTAGCTGAATGGAGAAGTTGTGACGAAGTGTTGGGTTGGCCGGGACCACAAGCAGCTCTGTCTTCGCAAGGTTTAGTTGAAGGTGGTGGTCCTTCATCCAGCCAGAAATGTCTGTCAGGCAGGCTGAGATACGAGCAGCTACCGTCGGATCTCAAGGTTCCTGAGTAATTTTGAGACAATGCCATCCATTAGTGACGACAGTACAGTGTTTGCTTTACTCCATATACAAATTGTCTATTTTTTCTCTATTTTCTATTGCTTTTTGTTTTCAGTTCATAGTGTTTACCAAGTCTGATTTTCATCTCTCTACAGTTTGAGTGATTGTGAAATCACAGAGAAAGATTGTGCTGCTCTGACTTCAGCTCTGAGATCAAACCCCTCACAACTGAGAGAACTGAATCTAGATAATAGAAACCTACGAGATCCGGGTGTGAAGCTTCTCTCTGTTGTACTGGAGGATCCTGACTGTAAACTGGAGAAACTCTGGTAAGATCATCTACGGTATATCATAGTCAGACATGTTATTGTCTTCTGTAAGACTAAATCAGGGTTCCACAAATCTGGCACTGGAGGGCCGCTGCCCTACGGAGTTTAGCTCAAACCCTGATAAACTCCCCTTCCTGTAACTCTGAGGACATGGATCAGCTTGTTCAGGGTCTTTAATTAGTGTTGGATCTAAACTCTGCAGGACGGCGGCACTTCAAAACCAGATTCGAGGAACCCTGGACTAAATGCTTATGTAAATTTTAGGACTACACTGCAGAAAATAAATGTATTTTTCAGTATTTTTGTCATCTTTTCTTTTTTGTATTCTTAATTGAAGATACATTTACTTGAGAAGCAAAATGACTTAAAATATTAAGTCTTGTATACTGAAAAATTGCTTGTGTATCTTGATTTAAGATACATAATTTTTAGATATTAGATATTTAGACTACGTCTGGATCAGATTCAGGACGATGAGTAGATCAAGTCCAACAACACCCCCAGCGCTTCACAGTCCTATACCTCGTCCTGCGTCGACATTTCATTAAGAAACATTATCAGTTTTGATTTTACATATGCATCTGCTTACATACGTGACCCATTCTGACAAAATGAGTCGCAATGAGCAAATTTTCATGACTGAGCTACACCTGTTTGAATTTTATAGTCAAAGTCAATTTTGAGAATAATCAAGTTAAAGTTTTCTGAAGGTTCCAAAACAAAATCCTCTACCAACCATACCTTAAAATCTCTGGTAATAACACCAAATTTGGCACACATCAAGTCAAAACCAAATATCTATAGGATCAATATATATTAAACTTTTTTCCCACAATTGTTTGATTAACATTAACGAAAAAGACAGCCTTACATTCGGACCTACTGTACTGCTGATCTAATATAATGTTACACATCAGATGTTTTTCTCCAACAGTTAACCAAATGTTCACTTAAGACATAGCAGATAATGTTTGCTTGAATACTCGCCAAGACAGATATTTTGAAATACTGTAATTCTGTGTAGGTATAAGTGTATATCGGGGTCACGTGCGGTCTGAGGCGGTCTTTGAGGCACGTTTCGAATGTGTCAGTCAATGTGAGTAAAATAATTTTGTTTAAATCAGTATGAGTCTGAAAATCACATTTCATTGGTTCAGACTCATGCCATCGAGAATTCGCTATGAATATTCACAAAGTTGGATTGCTACGCTTTAAAACAATACCAAACTTGTGCTGAGTGAAAGAACAGTCGTCGAGAAGCGAGCAGAGAAACTGCATTTTTCATGGACAAATGAAAGGTACTCCTATCAGAAAACGTACAAATAAAGATACTTTATATATAATTTCACTCCTCCCCCACTGTTTAACTCTTTCCGGGAATAAAAAAAAGTGCACACTTCTAGTCATCACCATGACTGAATAAATAGTTCAATGTTATGTATCATTTTTGAATCACAGAAGCAGGTATTGTAAATCATGTGTCTGAGTAGAAAAGGGGCCTAGTGACGCCACTGAGAAGTGCACACACAAGAAAAAGTGAGGGTACACCAAAGCTTAAAATATAGAAGTGCTGGTGCGTACCGGCCCACTTCGAGCACTGCTGGAGGCACATCATCACTACACACGGCTTATACACTAGAGAACTGTTGAGAGTACAGGAATATTACTGTGAAAACAACAAAAATCATTTAAAAAACATAAACTCAGTATAACAATGCACTGGAGAACCGGGGCCCGTTCTTCATACGTGGATTACTGTTATCTGGATTTTACTGTTGACGATTTTACATGATCCAGGATTGTTAGGTTCTTCAAAGCTCATCCTGGAGTTGCTGTCATAGCAACAGGTCCGTAAGCCCAACCCTATTTGGGAGCATCTTATTTCATGAAAACAGGATTAGATTGCATCTTTTCAAGCGCAGGCGATACTTAAAGTCTGTTCCAGCCACTGCTACTTTCTTACAAGAGTAGCCTAATGAACCAGGTACAATAATGACTTAAAATAATAATAATCATAGTAATAATAATTTAAAAACCCATTGAAAATACTATTTCAATGTTGTGTAGTTTATCAAGAAACAGTTTACTCACTGAGAGATTTATTTGTGAGGGAATAATTACCTAATAACTGTATTGGAGTCTTACATGATGTAGGCCTACAGTTAGTCTGAGCCGGACATTACAGGAGATGTAGTTTACTTGTGCATGCAGTTAAATGCTCTGCCATTAGAAACATGTTTTTGCCCCGTAAGAAACTTTAATCAATGCTGTCATTTAACAAATCTGTTTTACAGGTACAATTAAATGTATTGCTAATTACAACATTTAAATGAAAATGTAAAGTTCAAATACTGGAAATAGTGAAATTATGGAAATAATTGGGAATCATGTAGCAACCAGTATATTTAATTTATCTATTATAACTTTTTCTGTCATTTTGGTTGCTTGGCTGTTTCCTTATAAAGGTCCAGAAATGTTTCCGTCAGGTGTGTGATGTTCTTTTTTAATTTGATGCCATTGCGTTTCTCTCTTGCTGTCTGAAATCATTGAAAAAGTTTTTGTTTGTTTGAGCCTTCACAACATCAGTGGATCAATAATTAACAAACAACAAAAGAAGATTATCTTTCATCTGTGTTTCTCCTATTATTAAACTGCCAATATAAACTGGGATTTTTGGAGCACATGTGTTGAAAGCTTTTTGAATTTCTTTATTATTTGTTTATGACTGTTATAAATCTCCAATGTAAATTTAGACATTTAATAGTATGTGTAGAATTGTGGCTTGTAGTGTTGATCTGAACTGAGAGAGTGAAGAGTGTGTCATTGTTCTCTACAGGTTGAGGTATTGTGGAGTCACAGATGAAGGTTTTGCTGCTCTGACTTCAGCTCTGAGATCAAACCCCTCACACCTGAGACTACTGGATCTGTCTGTGAATAAACTAGGAGATTCAGTTCCTCTGCTCTCTGCTGTACTGGAGGATCCTCACTGTAAACTGGAGAATCTGGGGTAAGATTGTCTCTCTGATAGTCACACATGTCTTTGTCCTCATTTTACAAGCTAATTTTAGTCCTAAAATTCTTACTGTTCTATAAACACTAAATCTCAGCACAGAAATCACAGGTGTACTCAAATGTCTAATCTCATGATCTGGTATTAGTGTTCATTTTTACATTCTTTTTAAAATGTATCCATTAGATTTAGTCAGTATTTCATTATATTCATTATGTTCAATAATTTGAGTCTGTTTCACTCTGACTACAGTGACAATCCTGTTCCCCCACGTTTACTCACCAGTGTTTTCCCTAATGATGTTTCTGTGCAATAATAGTGGTTCCCAACCCTGATCCTATAGTTCCCTTATCGAGTCGGTCTCTCGACATTACGTATGGGGAAATCCATTTTCCTCGAATCATGAAGTCTGATAGAATAACTCTTTTGCTTGCAAATAGCCAATGGCGGTCCCGCCATCACCTGATTGGCTGACACTGCTCAATATAGGTGACGGCGGGCGCCAAAAACCTCAGAATCTTTTTTCTTCACTCGAGTCTGTTTTCACCGTTGATGTACGCATTCAGAGCGGAGTATATTAAGGAGTTTTAATTCCCCTCTCGCGTTCCGGTGGATTATATTATGTCTCTTTGTCGCCCGTGTGGTGGACCCATTGAATCCCCGGACGCACACAACTTGTGTGCTGTGCCTGGGTCGGGACCACGCAGAGGCGGCACTCGAGGGATCGGGATGTCCCGCCTGTGAGGAGCTTCCCATCAGATCCTTCGTGCAAGGCTGGCCGTTACACGTAGCGATGACCTTTTGTCTCCTGCCTCTCCCCAGTCTGCCGCCGTCGAGCCGCGGACCGGCAGACGGCAGAGATCTCCATTCGCGGGTTCTGTTGAGGCGCTGACGTCGGCCTAAGGTCCACGCCATCCTCACGTGGCAGAGCCCGTGAGTTACTCTTGAGGCCATTTACCGCCCTCTTGAGGAAGCACGGGAATTATCTCGTTCGGTTACGACGATGACGACGCCAATGGTCCGAGTCTCCGTCTGAAGGCGCCCTCGCCTCTTTGGATGCGGAGCTTATGGCCATTCTCACTGAGGCGGTGGCAGATATGGTGCTGGAGTGGACAGCGCCCAAAGGAGCTGCCGTCGGAAAGGTGGCCTCGGCGCGGGCCGTAAAGCTGAAGCGAGAGGCAGTTCAGGAAGTCGCAAAAAAAAAAAAAAAAAAAAAAAAAAAAAACAGCGCTCCTGATGTGCGTGTCAGGGAGGAAAGAGCACGGGACGTGTTTGTCGGACCGGTGCGAAGAGGGCGTGTTCCCGCCCAGAGTTCGACGAGAATGTGTTGTTTCTGAAACCGCTGTGTTCTGTTTCAATAACAAGGTACATTACATGTCTCAGCAAAAGAGCTTCTCTCCCCAACATTATTACCCGCCTCATAGATGGGAGACGCATCGCAGAGCGGAAGCTCGGGGAAACCCGAGGAGATGGCTATCTATGTCCCCGTGCATGATGCCGCGGACGAGCTATACCATTTCATATAGCAGTCAATGCTTTCCCGGTGGCTGGCGCCCAGCCCCCGCCGCAGCATTCATTGCCCTGTATGGCGATTCTGATTACTACACAGTGTGTATTCACAGTTGTTGCGGGATGCAACTGACGCTGTGTTACGTACACACCACACTGTTATGTGTAAGGATTTATGCCATTATATATTGCCCTGTGTCCTTCAGTGCAATGGCTATGCTGATTACTACAAGTACGTGTTCACAGTTGTTGTGCGATGCAACTGACGCTGTGTTACGTACTCACTACACACTGTTATGTGTAAGGATTTATGCCATTATATAATGCCCTGTGTCCTTCAGTGCAATGGCTATTCTGATTACTACACCGTAAGTATTCACAGTTGTTGCGCGATGTAACTGACGCTGCGTTACGTACTCACTACACACTGTTGTGTGTAATGATTTATGCCATATATTGCCCTGTGTCCTTCAGTGCAATGGCTATTCTGGTTACTACGCAGTACGTATTCACAGTTGTTGTGCGATGCAACTGATGCTGTGTTACGTACTCACTACACACTGTTGTGTGTAATGATTTATGCCATATATTTCCCTGTGTCCTTCAGTGCAATGGCTGTTCTGGTTACTACGCAGTACGTATTCACAGTTGTTGCGCGATGCAACTGACGCTGTACACACTGCACACTGATATGTGTAATGATTTATGCCTTATATATTGCCCTGTGTCATTCAGTGCAAATGGCTATTCTGATTACTACGTATTCACAGTTCGTGCGCGATGCATCTGACGCTGTGTTACGTACACACTGCACTCTGTTATGTGTAATGTTTTATGCCATTATATATTGCCCTGTGTCATTCAGTGCAAATGGCTATCCTGATTACTACGCAGTGCGTATTCATAGTTGTCGTGCGATGCAACTAACGCTGTGTTTGTGCACACTACACACTGATATGTGTTATGATTTATGCCTTATATATTGCCCTGTGTCATTCAGTGCAAATGGCTATTCTGATTACTACGTATTCATAGTTGTCGTGCGATGCAACTGACGCTGTGTTTGTGCACACCGCACTCTGTTATGTGTAATGATTTATGCCATTATATATTGCCCTGTGTCATTCAGTGCAAATGGCTATCCTGATTACTACGCAGTGCGTATTCATAGTTGTCGTGCGATGCAACTAACGCTGTGTTTGTGCACACTACACACTGATATGTGTTATGATCTATGCCGTCATATTTTGCCCTATCCTTCAGTGCAAATGGCTATTCTGATCACTACGTATTCACAATTGTTGTACGATGCAACTGACGCTGTGTACACACAACGCACTGATATGTGTAGCTATTACGCCGCTATATATTGCCCTGTATCCTTCAGTGCAACTGGCTACTCTTTTACTGTGTAGTCACAGTTGTTGCGCGATGCCACAGACGCTGTGTTATGTACATTGATATGTGTCTATGATTTATGCCGTTATATGTTGCCCTGTATCCTCAGTGCAGCCGGCTATTCCGATTAACTACGTATTTACAGTCGATGTCGCTATGCCTGTGACGCTGTGTTTTTTTTACACAAAAATGTAACTATGCTTGTGCATAGTCTCAGTCGTCGCTACGGCGACTTGCATTGCATCTGTGTAGATATTGAAGCGTTATGCTGCCCTTCAATGTAATGGACCATTGTGTACGCATATTCATGCAGTTTCGGTCGCTTCAGCAACTTGAGCTGCATTATACACACAGATGTTTAAAATGTGCACACTGATGTGTTATGCTGTTATGTTGCCCTCTATCATTCAGTGCAACAACCAGCTATCCTATCTAACTGCATATTCAGTTTGTCGCTACAGCGACTACACTGCACTTATGTACGTATAAGGACGCGTGTTGCTATTTTGTTGCTCTGTTTCTTTCAGTGCAAAACTAGCTATCTTAATCTACTGTGCATACTCACAGTTTCTGAATGTATGTACGTACACGGATGTGCAATTTACCACATTATGTTATGCTGTAATGCTGCCCCGTTTCCGTGCAGCTAGCCATCCTGACCGAACTGTACATCTCAGTTTCTGTCTCTACGCAGTTCTGTTGCTACGGCGACTTATGCTGCGTTATGTACATGCATGGATGCGCTACAGCGACCGATGCTGTTACGTACATGTGCTATGCTGTTATGTTGCCCCGTTTCCTTCAGTACAACTGGCTATTCTGTGCTAACTCGTCTACTCACAGTTGTAGCTACGGCTATGTGTTTGTTGTTTACTGAGGTGCTATGCTATTATGGGGCTATTATCTACTGCGTAAATTCATCAGAGCCCAGGTGGTTGCAATTCCAGCATTTTGCCCGGATGAGGTCAGTGTTTCAGAGTCTCAGAAGTACGCTTGTGCCCCATGCGTGCCCTGCGTGCTTATGTGAACAGAACTAGCCAGTTTCGAACTTCAGAGCAGCTCTTCGTCTGCTACGCGGGTGCTAAGAGGCGGCGCGCTGTCGAAACGGAGGCTATCTCACTGGATAGTGGAGGCTGTGCACTGGCTGGCTTATGCTCCACGGGAAGCCGTTTCCCTATAGGGGTGCACGCCCACTCCACTAGGAGTTTGGCGTCATCATGGGCGTGGGCGAAAGGCATGTCTATTCAAGACATTTGTTTCGCGGCAGGTTGGTCGTCTCGTAATACCTTCGGGAGATTCTATAACTTGAATATCCCTTCATTCGCACCACATGTCTGTCAGTGCAGGGAGAGAAAGCTGAGCTGTCGTTGGACTAGGCTAGACTGCCCCGATGGCGCGCGCTCTAGCCACGGTTCGACTAGTCGTCAGACAGTGCGAGTTATTATTAGCATAGCTATCATGTTCACTATATTGTGCCCTTTGTTATGTCCGCATTCATAGCCGGCAGTATTTTCCTAAGCACCAATCACTTGCTGCAATCTCCCTCCATTCAGTTCAGCGTGCTTAGCTTGATGGGAGGGGCCTTCGTTGGTGCAGATGCCGAGTTGGCTCTGTGCCAATAGATGTTTCAACCAGGTCCGGTGTCTGTTCCTGAGAGCTGGGCGGGGTTTCTCCCACGCGGCGGGGGTTTTATTGTTCCCCATACGTAATGTCGAGAGACCGACTCGATAAGGGAACGTCTCTGGTTACTCACGTAACCGTAGTTCCCTGAGAGGAGGGAACGAGACATTACGTAACCTGCCGTGTGGGAGGGACTCTCAGTCTCCTTACTCTCGTTCAGCTAAGATTCTGAGGTTTTTGGCGCCCGCCGTCACCTATATTGAGCAGTGTCAGCCAATCAGGTGATGGCGGGACCGCCATTGGCTATTTGCAAGCAAAAGAGTTATTCTATCAGACTTCATGATTCGAGGAAAATGGATTTCCCCATACGTAATGTCTCGTTCCCTCCTCTCAGGGAACTACGGTTACGTGAGTAACCAGAGACGTTCCCCCAGCACTGCACAATCCTTAATCGTTGAAGTTTCTGCTTTGAACAGCTCTTTCCGTAGCTACAAAAATACAATTCTTCAAAGTAGCTTTTCAAACACTACTAATGTACTAATATGAAAGATAATAAGCAAAAGAAATGTAATAACTTCATGCTGATCTTCATGGTCTTATATGCAGGGAAAACACCTGAACTTCTGTGGAGCAGTGATGAATAAAGTTACATGGTCAGTGTCGCGCTGGTGAGATTAGTTTGCGCTGTCCATTCGGTTTCGCTGGCAAACACGTCCTCTCTGCGATGTCGAGTCGGTCGCACAGCTCGGTCCATTGAGCCGCACCGATGATGTCAGCACGGCACGAGCTCTGTAACACCGCTCCGTTTCGTCCCACTGAAGGTGTGTTTGGCTTCCCATACAACTCGCTACAACTAACCGCCATTGCTTAAGAGTTTGTGAGACGCGCCACATTAAACAGAAGTGCGGACACACAACTTCTTTTTCAAGGGAAATTAGCCATCATCAACTACCGAAATATTTTCTTATTTCAGTAATGTGTATGAATGAATTTCACCAAGGTTGATCAATGTTTTTCGTTTCACTATAGTGTTTGAAATGCTTTTCAATAATTGTTGCCTATACGGCTCTTCATACTGGAGATCTCATATTTGTCTCCTCTAAAGTTTGGAAGAAATCTCAGAAACATCACACACTGTGCTCAGATTTTTTTCCTAAACTAAAGACCCTGGTGGTCTCATATTTGTCTCCTCCAAAGTTTCAGACAAGAATGAACATTGATCTAGTTCATTTGTACAGTATGGTGTACTGGCAGTATAGCAGTTTTGTATAATTAGTGTAGAAATATGTGAAATGCTTATAAATCATTAAATATTTAAGTTTTATAGACCACATTATTACACATTTTTCAAGTGTGTCCAGACATATATTGTTATCCATTTAATATGAAGAGACAATTTTATTAGTCTTTTTCATTATAATATATATTATAACATTTCTAAAGACACTTAATTACTGTTGTGGTAATAAACACTTACGTGTTAAACTTCAAGCATGAAATTATAAGGCAACGCAAATAATAGAAATTACTTTAATAAATTACATTTATTCGCTATACAAATAAATGTGAAATTCATTGAAAAGTTATGGAGGGTTTTGGGTAAGTGTATCCACAACGTTGGTGCCTACGTTCTGTTATTATGCATCATCATCATCATTGTTCCGCGTTCTCATTGGTTTGTTGGCATTTGGGGGATGTGAAAGGAAAGCTGACTGTGAATAGAGCTTCAGGGATGACATCAAAACCTGGAAGACTAATTCGCCACTGGTTGCCTCGAATTTATGGAAGCTTGTTTCTGCCACGGGATAAAACAATTTAAAAGATAATTGTGACTTTTTATCTCGCAATTCTGACTTTTTCTTGCAATTGTTATTTATGTCACTTAATTGTGAGTTTGGCCCTGTCACAAATGGCACCCTAAACACTCGCGGTCTTCCTCTGAGTCCGCACTTTCGTGACGTAACGCCGCTTTGACTGTCGGGAAGAAGTCTGCTGCGGAGCTCGCTTCAGTGTGGGCTCAGCAAAATTGTGCATGTAGGGCACATATCGACCGCTGAGCGGCGCTCGTGAGTCCCCTTCTGAAACCTAAAATTACTAAATGGACACCCTACAGTATCATGGACTTAACGGGACGCGGAAGCCATTGTAAGTCTACAAGACAGAAAGTGCATATGAAGTGTGCCATTTGGGACAGGGCCTTTAAATCTCGGTGAGTGGATTCTGACAAAATGAAACGCCTCTGATTGGCCACTGCGTTTAATAGACCAACAAACATGTCTGTGATTGGCTACATTTCTCACCGCTGTAAAAACACATTGTAAATAGAAACATTTGACGTTCTCCAGAGTTCAAACACAAAAACACACTTGAGAGTTTGCCAGTATGATATTATTACAGAATCAACTGAGGGTGCTCTTGCATTCATTTGAGAGTGCTTTTATTTAAATTTGACAAAAATTTGAATTTGTGATGTTTTTACCCATGTTTTAATTTAACAAAAAATTATTTGTGATCAAGCATTAATTGACAGACGCCCTGCAGTACGGCTGCGGACACTTGTGTTAAACTGATCTGAACTGAGAGAGTGAAGAGTGTGTCATTGTTCTCTACAGGTTGAGGTATTGTGGAGTCACAGATGAAGGTTTTGCTGCTCTGACTTCAGCTCTGAGATCAAACCCCTCACAACTGAGACTACTGGATCTGACTGGGAATAAACTAGGAGATTCAGTTCCTCTGCTCTCTGCTGTACTGGAGGATCCTCACTGTAAACTGGAGAATCTGTGGTAAGATCATATATGACTCACTCATAAAACACAGTGTAAAGCCTATATTTAAAATGTTCAGCCTTTTTCTGCTGCTGTTATTGAGCTTATTGAACTGTAAGTGATTGAACACTTGAGCTGCTCTTCAGTCACATGATTCTGCAGGACTGAGTCACTGAAATACAGTCACATCACAATCAACACTTCAGTCTCTTGATTTTAAACCGACTCGATCTCAACACATTCAGAATTTAGAAATTAAGAACATTCTGGATTTATTCTTGCAGTTCATCACGTTCATTTTTCTGCAGGGACTGTTTTTAAAATATTGTTTACACAATCAAAACAAATCATTACTCCATACGTACTGTATTAGTACAGATCAAAAAAAAAAAAAGACTAGATTTTTAGTAATCATGTTTTGAGCTCTGTGACATTTTAGATCTCAGTCCAATGATCCATCAAACATTTTGATTTGTGCTTTAAGTTTGTATTTTCTCTTTAATAATGAATTCACTGCTAAACTGATCTGAACTGAGAGAGTGAAGAGTGTGTCATTGTTCTCTACAGGTTGAGTTATTGTGGAGTCACAGATGAAGGTTTTGCTGCTCTGACTTCAGCTCTGAGATCAAACCCCTCACACCTGAGACTACTGGATCTGACTGGGAATAAACTAGGAGATTCAGTTCCTCTGCTCTCTGCTGTACTGGAGGATCCTCACTGTAAACTGGAGAAACTGTGGTAAGATGAACTCTCTGATAAACACATATATATTTGTCCTTGCTAAATATATTCTTTATTAGTAATGTAATAGTTTAAACTTTTTTACTCATTGATCACCAACTTTGCTTGTTTCGGGTCTGAAGAAGGAGTGCAACCAAACAATTACACATCCACACAACACAAATGAGAGACAATTGAATACATTTTATTGAGAGCTCATTTTCTGTACAATTATAGTTTTACCAGGAAAACCAAAACCAGTAGTTGTATGTGTGATTCATAGACGCTCAGTTAAACAATAAATTACAAGTGAGTGATACTTACATCAGTCCAAATGCACATTAAATAAATATTCAGTTAAATCAGTGAACATCACCGGTGAGCCAATGCTTGATTAAACATGCTAATCCTAAAACATTAATGTTATTCCCAGCATATATATATATATATATATATATATATATATATATATACATATATATATATATATATATATATATATACTCCACATCACAAACAAGACAAAACATTACACTAATACACAAAGTATAAATGTTATATTAAAACAACAGTGTTTTTGAACTGACAGTTACAACACCCATAGACTTCCATAGGAATCCAGGAATGCGGAAGTGTTTTATTGCAGTAAATACCATTACAATAAGGCAAAACAAAACTATAATACATGCTGTAAAGAACAAAGCACAAATCTATAAAAAAGGAAAAAGAAATAGAAAAAATAATATTATCAGGGACAAAAAGGCTTCAAGGCCGTCTAATAATTTACATTTCTTTAACAAATTGATTAATCTTCTACTTTTCAATGTTGACATTCTTAAGGTTTTACAGTAAATTTATTTATTTTTAAAACAGAACACAATGCACTGAAAAAGTGTGTTGGATTTAAATGATTTAATCATGCACATCATTTCACATGAACCAATCAAGTTAAACAAAGATAATTTGTTCACATAATGTCAACATCATGGAATCAAGTCATTTCCAAGTAACATAATTAAGAAGTTTTAAAGTGATTTTAATATGGTTCCCTAACTGGATTAATTCATTCAATTTTACTGCATGGTATTTGTCCCTCAGTTTTACCTCGAGAACACGGAAAACCGGCATCCTTTATAAAACAGTGTAGAATATAGTGGCATTGCTTGTCACTACATTCAAATCACATCACACATTGCAATCTTTAATAAAATGGTACTTTTACACACCGTTTACACAGTATCATTGTTCTCTACAGGTTGAGGGATTGTGGAGTCACAGATGAAGGTTTTGCTGCTCTGACTTTAGCTCTGAGATCAAACCCCTCACACCTGAGACTACTGGATCTGACTGGGAATAAACTAGGAGATTCAGACATCAAGCTTCTCTCTGATCTAAAGAATGATCCACATTATAAACTGGAGACACTATTGTAAGTAGATTATTTACTACAGATTACAAAATACAGTAATTTGTAACCGTTTTCGTTAGATTACACAAGCTTTGTAACCTAATCTAAATAATTTAGAATACTTTGGAATACTAATAAGGTTTGTAACACACAGGGTCCACCAAACATAGGACTTGGTTTTCCCCTGCATACTATTTTTAACAACATCAGTTTTACACAGTATTTCTTGAAGAGAAAAATATATATTTTTAGAAAAAAATAACTTAATTTTTTTTACTGATGCAACACAATGCATTTAAAGCTAAGGTGTGTAAACTTTTTAAATTGCATGAACAAGATAAATTGTAATTATTTTGTCTTCTGTGAAACAGGGAATTATTCGCTTCTGAAGGGCAGTACTAAATGAAAAAAAGATGATCTTTAAAAAATATGTACACACCATCATAATCCTGTTTAAAGTTTACACCACCTGCTCGTAATGCATTGTTTCCTTCTTGAGCATCAGTAAATGTTTTCACCTTTTGTAATAGTTGTGTATGAGTCACTCAATTGTCCTTGATGTAAAAAGATGAATCTCAAAATCATAGTCATTGTTGGAAAGGTGTCAAATATGCAGAAGATGCTGGAAAACCTATAAATGTGCAATACCTGGAGGATTTTTCTGAAGAACAGCGGGCAGTTTCACTGCTCAGTTATTTTCCTAGATCCTGTAATAAACAATATTTGTTCTCATTATTCTGAGAACAGACACAGTCTCTATGGAATGGACTACATGTGCTATTATCATTTAATCAGTACATAGATGATGTCCGACAGCAGGTCTGCTCTGACTCTGGGCTGCAGGCCATTCTCACAGAAGAATCTTACAATTACAAGATTACAATTAATTGAGAGAGTAGTTTCTGTTCATCACATCATTCATATAATGTGAATAATCTACTGAACCTTTGGTTTCCACGAGGGTAAGTGGGAAGTGTTCCTGACACGATGATCTTTTCACAATGCTCTTGACCAGAATCTCCGACTGTCGCAGCTTGTCGTTCCCCGCGTGCGGCACAACAGCTCTGATGTTCTCCTCACCTTTACATCTCTGGCTGTAATATTAATGTACTCTGTATGTATCTCTGCCTGTGTTTGTTCTGAAATGAATCTACTGGTGTGATGTGACCGCAGTAATGTCTCGTACTCCATATGTGACTGTCTGTGTGTTTAATTCTATTTTCCTCAGGGTGAGCTGATGGTGAATAAGGAGCCGCTACAGAGACGTCACAGTCACACAGACTGAAGACACAGAGACGTCACAGCGATCTCACTTTCGTGTGTGTGTGTGTGTGTGTGACTTCACAGCAGTTTCTTGTTTGGATCTTTTTGTGGGTCTGAATTTTTTTTTTTTAATCACAGATGACATCAGATTTCCACAATGATCTAATAGAGGATTTGAACTCACTAATAAATAATGTAAGATTCTTCTATTTGTGATGAACCATGAAAACTGCTGAAGACGCATCTTTTTGTAGACTAAACTGGGAATGGTTGTTCCATATTGTTGCCATATTGTTTTTTATTGCTTCTATTGCTCTCCTCATTTGTATGTCACTTTGGATAAAAGTGTCTGGTAAATGATCACATGTAAATTTAAAATGTGCTGAAAATTGCTTTGTTATTGATTAGATATTGCACTGCTTGATTACAATGTTGATGGTGTAACTTCCAATATTCAATGACAATTAGATTCTTTTAATCAACAAGATATAGATGGTGTATATTAGTAATTTATTATTTAGGAACAGGTGACAAGAATTTACAAGAATGTGATTACAGAAGAGTAATAGAAGTATTTTAAATGAATATGTCACCGGCAAATAGTGACGAAGAGGATTTCATCAAACATTATTTTCTGGGGCTGATTTTTTTTTTTAAATATAATGACCTATTAAATTTTATCCTTAAATCTCAGTTTTCCCTCATGTCTCAGTTTATCAGTAATTGCTACCACAATTCAAAATGTGACTTGTAATTCATTTAATCTGTTATTTTTCAGATTTACCTGATAATATTTTAATGAGCAAAATGGCCTAGTCTGCCCAGAGGGAGTTGAGGGAGTATCTCAGGACTTTTGACCCTTATAGCAAAAAGTAAACTGAAAAGGTTTGTCACTTAATGACTTAAATTACATTCAAAGTCTGATATTTAGATTGTATATGTGGAAACTTTTAATGCAGTCAATCAAGTCATACAACAAGGTTGTAATTTTTAGCACAGGCCTATAAGAAGTGTTAATGTTCAGACTCAACATATAATTTTTAAACAATATCGATCTTAGGCTATAGATGCCATATTTCCACAATTGAAAATATGGCTGAGAGACACACCAAAGGTCTTGCGGTCATGAGGCTATCTCGCTGGCTTATGAGTCTAAGGGCCTCCGTTGTCCCATAGGCATCAGAGCTCATTCCACGAGAGGCATGGCCTCGTCATGGGCATGGTCGAGTGGAATACCAATTGAAGATATTTGTGCGGCGGCCGGCTGGGCCTCACCGTCCACATTTTTGTGGTTTTATCATTTAGAAATTCCCGCTTTACAAGCAAGGGTTCTTTCCGTATAAATACAGTGTCTAACTGTTCCTCTGTTCAGGGCAGAACCCTCTAAATAGACTCTGAGAGCTCTCACAGGGCAGAGTAGATTCGCGTCTCTTTTGTCTTCTGACGAGGGAAGAGCTGACAGCGAAATGACCTGCGCTCTAAATGGAGTAGAGAGCACTTTAGGAACATACCCGTGCCTTGGCTTAAAGGTACACTATGTAGAAATTATGTTTTTGGAATACTTGCACTGTCGTAAATAGCTAGCTAGACATATGTGGAAATTATTGGACTGGTCTAATTATCAAAAATGGATGAATGAACAGCATCGTAAAAAAATGACATACTACAAGCAAGCGCAACAACATACAACATAGAACGCAAACAAGTTTAGAAATAAGAGATTTACTTAGTCCATCAACAAGATCGCCAGGTCAGCATCGCTGTTGCATCCAGTGCTGCTTTTTAGTTCGCGCCAACTATTGAAAGCCCGACCCTATGGCCCGACCGAGTGGGACTCTTTTCCGGTTCCTCTCGCGGTCAGATTATCTTTTCCTTTTCCAAGTCTCTTCCGACCACATTTTCTTTGCTTTTTCCATCGTCGAGTATCATGTCTGAAATGCGCGCAAGTGTCTTCGTACTTCATATGTTGTTGCTGATGTGTGTGACATCGTTGCCGTAAAGCATGTCGTGATTCTCGCGAGATTTGTCTGGGGCGCTCCTCTCAAACTTGCATTGCTGGTTTTTACAGCGGCGTCCCCCCCCAAGCTTTACTACCAGGATGATTCACCCTACTATGAGTTTGTTTACCACCGAAATGACTTTGAAGCTGTTATATTAAGGTACAATTCTTGCATAGTGTGCCTTTAAGGACGACTCTGGAGTCGCTGGGCCCGAATTCAAGACAGGTAGCGCTCACTGAGATGTTTGCAAATCACCCACTCGCTTGACTGATGCCAGTGCTAACAAGAGAGCAGTTTTGAGCGAAAGAGGCTTCAGGTCAGCAGACTGAAGCAGCTCGAAAGGGGCCCCTTTCATGGCCTCCAGGACCGTGGAGAGGTCCCAGATGGGTACAGGGGGGGGGGGTCGAGGCAGGTTTAGCCTTCTGGCCCCTTTGAGGAAGCACAAGACTAGGTCTTTCTTCCCAGTGATTGCCCGGCCACATGAGCGTGAAGTGCTGCTATAGCCATCACATATACTTTAAGCGTGGAGGGGATGCTACCCGCGTCCAAAAGCTCTTGTAGAAAGGAAAGTACCCTTGTCCGCATGAGTAGGGGTCTAGGCTCTGTGCTGTGCGACAGCCAGAGAACACTGACCATTTTAGAGCATATAGATGCGTGTTTGAAGGCGCTCTTTGCTTCAGAAATGGTATTTAGCACCCTTTCCAGGAGGTTCCCGGATACCTGTTGAGGGGCCATACATGGAGGGCCCACAAGTCGGAACGGGGATGCCAGATCGTCCCGTTCGGCTCCGTGAGGTCGTCTCTCCTCAGCGGTATTGGCCATGGGGCTATTTCCAGCAGCTGAGTCAACTCGGAGAACCCTAGCTGGTTCTTCCAGAGAGGGGCTATCAAGAGCACTGCACACTTCCTCTACCTGATCCGTTCGATGACCTGAGGTAGCATCGTGACTGGAGGGAATGCATACAGCGGGTGGCTTGGCCAGTCCTGGGCCAGCGCATCCCTGCCCTTGGAGAAAAATGTTTGGCAACGAGCGTTGTCTTCTGAGGCGAAGAGGTCGACCTCTGACTCGCCGAAGATGCTCCATATCAGCTGAACCGTTTGCGGGTGAAGAGACCATTCCCCCGGGGGGACATTGTCTCTGGATAGCATATCCGCACCCTGGTTCAGAATGCCTGGCACGTGCGCCGCTCTCAGCGAGCACAGGTTGAGCTGAGCCCATATCAAGAGGTGTTTGGCCATGGTGTGCAGGAGTCCACCTTGGCGATATTTATAGGAAACCATTAACATGTTGTCCATCCGGACCAAGACGTTGTGACCTTTTATGTATGGGAGGAAAGCTTTAAGTGATAGAGCGACCGCTCTCATCTCTAGACAGTTTATGTGTAGGCGCCTCTCCGGGCTCGACCAAAGGCCGGAGATGGGCCTCCCCTCGTATAGGGCCCCCCAACCTATGTTGGAAGTGTCTGTTAAGATCACTTTCCTCTTCGAAATCATGCCCATACTCACGCCGGACTGATACCAGCCGGCTGCTTTCCAAGGAACCAGGGCTCTGACACAGCCTTGGTTCACTTTGATGCGTAAGTGGCCAGATCGCCACGCGTAAGCCAGTACACAGGGTTTTAACCAGCGCTGGAGGGGACGCATATACAGTAGACCCAGTTGGAGTACTGATGATGCTGAGGCCATGACGCCTAACATCCTCTGAAATCTCTTGAGAGGCGTGCAAGATGCTGGATGGTGAGCACGCGCTCTGACGTAAGCTGCGCTCTCATCTGTATAGAATTTATGACTGTCCCCAGAAAAGATATACTCTGGCTGGGAGACTGTATAAAAGACTGTACGCTTTTAAAAGCATTGACCCTTAGACCTAGGCATTCTAGATGGATGAGGAGCCAGGATCTGTGAGTTATTAACTGTGACTTCGATTGGGCAATAACCAGCCAATCATCAAGGTAACTCAACACTCGCACTCCCCGTTGTCTCAGGGGGGTGAAAGCTGTGTCCATGCACTTCGTAAACGTACGGGGTGCTAGGGATAGACCGAATGGTAGGAGCGTGTACTGATAAGCCTGCCCCTTGAAGGCGAATCTCAAGAATGGCCTGTGATGGGGTGTTATCTGAATGTGAAAGTAAGCATCTTCCAGATCCACTGAGAAAAAACAATCCCCAGGGTGAATTTGAGCGAGGATTTGTTTGGTTGTCAGCATTCTGAACGGGCGTGTCAAAAGCGCTTTGTTCAGGTGTCTGAGATCTAAGATGGGCCTGAGGCCGCCATCTTTCTTTGGAACGAGGACGTAGCGACTGTAAAAGCCCGACTTGCTTAGTGATAAAGGGACTGGCTCTACAGCCCCTTTAACTAACAGTTTTGACACTTTGGTGCGAAGAACGTGAACCACGTTGCTTCTCACCTATGTCTCGACCACAGCTAGAAAGCGCGGGGGTCTGCGAGTAAACTGTAGCGAGTAGCTCCGTTTTATTATGTTCAACACTCATTTTGATATTCCGGAGATGGCTTCCCAGGCCTTGGCCCGCATAGCTAGGGGTTGAATGAAGTCTGGGGACGGGCCGCTTTGTGATAGGGACCCAGCTGTTTTCTGTTTGTGATACTGTGGGAACAGTGCTTATGTGCAGGGGTGCGTACTTTATAGTGGGCACACAGCCTACATTTATTACACTTCCAGCGCGAGCCGGAGAGAGAACTAATACTATGGGAACAGTGCTTATGTCCAGGGGTGCGTACTTTATCGTGGGCACACATTCCAAATTTATTACACCTCCAGCGCGAGCCGGAGGGAGAACAGACAGAAAAGTACTCTTTTCGTGTGTTATTTGCGTCGCTGTTTTGTTTGTTTGCATTTGTTTGCAGGCGTGCATGTGTCACCACAGACTCGTTGACTGCAATGTTGGCATCTCCAGCCGCCTGAACTAAAGAGGGGACTGGTAGATGTGTAAAAGGCTTTTTGGAGGGTGGTCTAGCCGCGGCGGGACTCAACCACTCTTTTTTCCTTCCTGTCATACAGGCTAGGAAGGCTTCCGAGGCTCGGCGTCCAACACAATCTTGGGTCGGGGTCCCAGGCGCTCTGGGAACTGCTGTCGTCTCGTTGAATGAGAGCAGTGACGGACTTCAGCCGCTGGGTGGGGCTACATTGCTTGCGACGCTTTCTGTGCCTCTGTGAAACGCTCCACGAAACCCTTTACCGCTGAACCCTCTACTGTTAAGTTCAACCAGAGATGTCGCTCTAGCACCGTCAAGTTCACCATGCTTCTACCAATCGCCTGGGCGGTTGATTTAGTGGCTCACAAAGCCAGGTCTGTTGCGCTGCTCAGGTCCCTGAAAGCTTCCGGGTCAAGACCAGACTCGTCCATCGAGCGGAGAAGTTTGGCCTGAAAAACCTGGAGGACCGCCATGGTGTGAATGGTGGCTCTCACGCCGCTGGTGCTGGCTTGTGTTGAGGGTGCGGGGTCGGTCATGGAGCTATAAGCCACGCCCATACTGGCGGGCTATGACGCGCCCTGGCGCAAAGCGACCTGATTGTTTCGCGCATCTTACCCGCCTCGTCATAGGTGCGTGCAGTTGCCGCATGCAGCACAGCCAATGAGTGTGCTAGACGCTCAACTATATGTCTGCTGTGCAGCGTGGTGTGTACCGCGTTTTAAAAAATTTGGCTTCAATATTCTCAGAAAAGGAGTTTTCCCATAGCGTAAGCTAACTTACGCAATACGAGAGACCTCTCGAAAGGGAACTTTTGAAATGTTTGTCAGAAAATCATGATCTTGACATATCGACACAAAATTACTTAGGGATCATCAACAGCATGTCCTGAAAGTACCTGAGAAGTTTGAACACACCATCACCATAGTGTTCCAGAGATATAAGGGATTTTTTTTTTTTAAAGGCTTATGAGTTTTTTGAAAACATTGTTGAAAATTTGTTTTCTTGGTGTCATTATGTTTCTTGGTTTATGCCAATTCAGACGGTACCTCATTTGTCATTTTCCATCATTTTGTTTGTCTGCTATTTTGAAGTAAATTAAAAACTAAATTTGGTCCAATTTTGTCCAAAATCTGATCAGAAGATCTTTGAAACGAGCAGCACAGAAATAACTGAACAGATTTTTGATATTCAAGAAATCGAAAAATACCTCTCCGAAGTTGACTGTGCCTGTGTTTGTTCTAAAAAAAAATTGTTGTCTGTTTTTACAAAACAGATTGTTTCAAAGCAGCTTTACAGTGATAACAGGAAAATAATGCAACAGAGTTTGTTTCAGCTGTAGCCTACAGTAGATCTAACATAAGGCAGTCTGTCTTCTGACCTGTAAAGCTGCCTGAATCATAATCATACACAATCATTCATTTGTCTGAGAAAATATATTGGCACAAATAATGATCAATAATGCACAATAAGGCCTATCTGTTTCCAATAAAAATATAAAGCAATTAAAATAGTATTTGGCCAGTGGAAAATATTGATAAAACTTTCTTTGAAATGTATTTTATATTATATTATTTTATTTATTTATTCAAAAACAAGGCAAGGATAGGCTACTAAATTATTTTTAGCAATGTAATGTGCCGGCACATCCGTATCTCATATTTTCCTAGTGTGGCTGGATCCCAAGAAGCACGCGCAAGCTCGCTTACCTCTCTGCCGCTTACCTCTCGTGCGCGTGCGCGGTTAGGAGCGCGCCGTTAGGAGCTCAACACATCTGTCTCGCATGCACGCTCGCTGTAGATTACGGGATATTTTAACTAATTTGCGGTAAAACTAGTCGATCACGAATGGCTCAACTGGTAGATCTATAGATAAACTCATCTTTCAGGCATTTGACCGACCGGGTTGACACTTCAGCGTGAGAAATCGGGGGTGTGGCGTGAGAGCGTGAGAATTGGCTCAATTGCGTGAGTCTCACGCTGAATGCGTGAGAGTTGGCAGCCCTGTAAAAAGACATAAATTTAGTTGGGAATTCGAATGCAAAATGAGTAAGTGTAGATCAATCATTTTATTTGATAAATAATAAAAATAAATAACTGTAATACCAGAAGCAACTTTTTTAGCAACTTCTGCGATGATAAAATATTTAATGGAAATGTTTGCCTTGCCTGATAACAGAATCAGGATAATTTTTTTTACTGTAAGAAACATTATGTACTTTAAAATGTGCAATACATTTAAAATTATTAATGTTTTTATTTTATTTAGATAGTTATTTGCATGATTTTTACAGTCAAATTTTAAATGCCAGGATGAAAATCCCTTTTCAGCAGTTGATCAACAGTTTACCTTGGGAAGTCTGCTCGTCTATTCTCTTGATTTGCTTTTGGTCGTAGTTTATCGTCTTCATATTTATAGTGATTTACAAAATGGGTGGGAGCATGTCTGTAAACACCCATGACATTATAAAACCTGTCTCATCACATGCATGCTGTAGGCTACTTACAGACTGAAAAAAAAAGAAGAAAAGTATTTGCCATATGCATAAAAATACCAAAGGTTACATGTTGTAATTCTTTATGATTTGTTCAGTGCCCATTATTACTTTACCTTTATTACAAAGCAGATCAAAACATCTAACACAAAAGAAAAACTTGTTCTAGCTGGTATAGCTGGTATATTTACCTTGTTCATAACCATCTGCACTCCCCAGACTGAGGTCAATAAAAATGTTAATGTTCATCTTTATATATCAGAAACATTCAATGTTGATTTTAATCGATTTTAAAATTCTATTGTTTGTTTTTAAGTCTATTCGTAATGAGGCACCACAGTACTTATCAGATCTGCTACAACCCTCAGTCAAGGTCACTTAGATCCACTAATTCTGCACTATTGCAAGTTCCCAGGACAAGACTAAAAAATAGAGGTGATCGTGCCTTTTCTTTTCTTTTTTTTCAACGGCCCAAAACTATGGAATAGTCGCCAGTTCATATCAGAACTGCCCCAACTTTATCTACTTTTAAGTCTTTTTAAGACTATTTTCTTTGGCGTGTAATATATCTTGACTTGTTGTTTTATGATTTTACTTTCGTGTGTTACACCTATTTTACAGCTTGTGTTTTCTTAACACAACACTTTTTTTTTTTTTTTTGTACAGCACTTTGGTCAACTTCGGTTGTTTTTAAATTGTGCTTTATAATTGTATTGTATTGTATTGTATTGTATTGTATTGTATTGTTCTAGGTATCACACATTTTGTTTGTCAGTGTAAACAATAATTGTATTTTCTAGATGTTAATAATAAATATTTAAAAAAAATCTTTGGCAACTAACATGCTAACATTAATTGAAATGTTTGGCTTACATTATCTGTCTGTAAACATAAGCAGTTGAAACATATCTACAGTGTGAAGAAACATTATGTAATTTTAAAGTGTAATAATAGGCTAATATAAATTATATATCAGTAGTGTTTAATATAGTTTTTCAAAATGGTTTAAACACAATTTCTGAAACTATGGCTATACATTTCTTTAAAACAGAACACCACAAAACATGCACATAACACGCAAAACACCATACATCTTTAACAAAAGCAAAATGCTATAGAAGTAAAAAAAAAAAAAAAAATTTGATTTCATAGGGACTTTAATAATTTTGTAGCACCTCCTTGTGAATACTTGTCATTAATCCAGCTAGATCTTCTGTGGCCTCCTGTGTATTCTATAACTGAGTCTTTTTTTTTTAGTTGGAAATAGGCCTATATATTGCTAAATGTATTTAGTTGAGTAAAAAAGAACGACTATGTACCTCATAATGTCCTGTGCCTTTCACCTGGACTGCTGTTTAATGAACAGATAATGGACTGGAGGTGGTTTCTGTGAGAGATGCTGGTTCAGAACGACAAAATATCCAGTAAAAGTATAAGTAGGCTTACTCCTTTTTATTGATATATATATTTTGATAGTGTAATAATTGTTATACTATATAAAGTTTTTATTGTTATTGTTTACAATAGGATCATTATTATATCGAACTATCGCACCTAACCGATTAATGACAAGTTGTGGGCCACCATGCCACGCCCAATTTAGTTTTCCCGCTTATTCTATTTCTAAAACGACACCCTCTTCAGCAGAACATCACGTGACAATAGCTTCCGGTTCATGCTGCGGTTCCGTAACGTGTCTTCACTGGGCATGTGCCGCTCTCTGTCGGGGCGTCATGGCGGTGCCGTGGAGCCTGTGCTGGAGGAGCAGTGCAGGAGCTGCTGTAGTGCTGGACTGGTGTTGTGGGCTCAGCAGAAGAGCTTTTACACACACGGCTTCAGCAGGCAGAAGAAGCGCGTCGTCCTCCGCTGTGACACAGGTAACGCGATCACACTGATGATGATGATGATGAAGGTCACCTGCGTGTGAGCCAATGAATGACAGATCACTGCCGTATATTATCACATTAGGTTTGAGATGAGTGCGAATGTCATAGTGTAAAAAGTCTTAGATCAGATGAATGCAGTCGTGTTTGTAAAGACCTCCTGCCTGACCTGTGTGTTAAAGGTCAAGAACTCATTCATTAGAGACTCACTGCTCGGTATTGCATGCCATTCAATGTCACTGGTGGACAAGAATGTTGCACAGGAAGTCTTGTGTTGTGCTTGTGTAAGTTGTGTTGGCAAATGTTAAGACACACTATATCCTGAGCACAGTTTGCACTATTGTTTTGATGGGTACTTTATGTTTTTCAGGTTTTATTCCGGCAGGGCCCTGTACATAATTTTAACAAACCAATGATCCTTGCAAGGTATGTCAATGTCATGGTGTAAATGTGTACCACTAGTTAGTACAAATGTGTATAGGTACACTGGGGCTAGTTGTCACTCAGGGAACGTGTAACATGGACTATTACAAAACTATTAGGTTCAAAGTCTAGTTGTATAATGTTATGAGTATAACTTATGACAGTTTCAGGTAGCCAAAGCAGTTGTGTGTTTAAAAATAATAATAATTTAAACAAAACTATTTAATTAGTTCAGAAGTTTGAGGTTAGCAGGATATATTTCTCTTTAAAGATATACATAGTTTGTTACAGTAAATGCATTTAAAATCTTACAAAAGATTTGTTTCATAATCATGTTTCCCACAAAAATTAAGCTGCACAACATTTCAATATTGATAGTAATTCAAAATGTTTCTTGAGCAGCAAATCAGCATATTAATTATTTTCTGAAGGATCATGTAAGACAGAAGACTGGAGTAATTAAATTAATTACATTCTACTGAAATATGTTCATTTATTATAAATATATATTCAAGTAGAATTTTTTTAATTATATACATAAAATAACTTCATATTATTATATAAATGATCTCTCTCCATATATACCCCCCCCCCCCCCCCCCAAAAAAAAAAAAATTTGCATATATATTATGTGCTGGGCATCCAAGATACAAGTTTGTGTTTACATATGTGTGTGTGCTGTGTGCAGGTATTTTGTATATATAAATGCACACGCATACCTCTGTATATATGTAAGAAATACTTGCACGTAAATACATACGTTTATACATAATTTATATTATAAATATTTTATATATAAATAATACATTTTTCAAAAATATATACATGCATGTGTGTGTATTTATATATATACAAAATAATTACACACAGTACACCCATATATTATTATGTAAACACAAACTTTTATTTTGGATACGATTATTCGCGATTAATCGTTGCCCAGCACTAATACAAATATATTTAAATGGGTGATTTGGTAAAATGTGTTTATACGACCCCATTCAAAGTTGCAAAGCCTTTAAACAGCCTTTAATATTACATATGTATAATATTAATATGTGATTTTAAGAACATTACATCATTTTAATTATACATTTTAAATACATAAATATATTGATTTTCAAAAATAAACCAAACCTAAGTGTCAATTTGTCAGCTAGCCCTGCTCTCCCTTATTTATAGATTCATTCATACATGCACTTTTTTTTTTTTTTTTTTTAATAACTAGAAAAATATGTGTTTTTATTGTGTTTATTGAATCTTTTTTCCATGTTTGTGTTTCAGGCACAGCTCTAGATGTCTGTTCTCAACTCCACGGGTCTGTTGCAGTATACACAGTGATGCAAAGTTAAAAGATCCTTTCTCACTTGCACAAAAGGACTTGCAAGATTTATATGAAGACATAAAAAAGGTACAGCAAGAATACTGCATAGTTCTACATAGCGTTTACCACTAAACATTGTTTTTCTTGTCCACTGTTGTTTTATGAAGTGTTATATTTAGTAATTATTAATGCCCAAACACTTTCCACCACTTCTCTGAGATGTTTTATGCTCTTCTATGCGCTCAAACTGACCTTGTTAAACGTGTGTTCAGCAGCTGCTCGTCTCTAAAGCAGAGCTCAAAGCACTCTGTGATTATTACTTTGATGGGAAGGGGAAAGCCTTTCGACCGATGATTGTGATCTTGATGGCTCGAGCTTGTAACGTCCACAGCAATAAAGAGGGGTGAGAAAGCACTTCAGTGCTGTGTGTGTGTGAATTCATAATGTGATGCATCAGTCAGTGTTAATAAGGCACATCTGATGTCCTCAGGGTTTTGCTGCCGGCGCAGCGCTCTATCGCTATGATCTCTGAGATGATCCACACTGCCAGCCTGGTGCACGATGACGTTATCGATGACTCGGACACAAGACGTGGGAAAAACACCATTAATAAATTGTGGGGAGAGAAAAAAGTGAGTAACTGATTTTCAGCTGTTGATCGCACATTTTGGTACTGTGTTGATGTCTAATTTGAAATCTGAAGGAAAATCAGTTGGAACTATGGAAGCTTGTTTCCGCCAGGCAATAATAATAATTGAAAAAAAACGTATTTGCGAAAGCGAATTTTTTTTTCTTCAAGATTGAAAGTTTAACACCTGTTTTCACAAACACGGTTTAAGTCTAGTCCCAGACTAAAATGCTTGTTTGAGCTGTTTTAACTGAAAGCAACTTGCACTGATATCTTAAAAAATGTCAGTTCCATTATTTTGTCTCAAGATGCACACAGGTAATGTTTTTTTTCTCAGGCACGTTTATAAAAGCTACTTAAATGTCTTAATTGAACTAAGGCCTAATCCTGGCTTAATCTAAGCACTGTCTGTGAAACTGGGCCTATATCTCACAATTCAGACTTTGTATAACTCGCAATGTGAGTTAATCTTACGATTCTGAGAGAAACAGTCGCATTTCATTCTGAGAAACAGTCGCATTTCTGTGATTGGCAGATCGGTGGTTTTCAACTGTTGGTCACACATTTTGGTTCTGTGTTGATGTCTAATTTGAAATCTGAAGGAAAATCATTTGAGAATATGGAAGCTTGTTTCCATCAGGCAATAAATAAAAAAACTAAACGTAATTGCGACTTTTTATCTCACGATTCTGACTTTCCTTCTTGCAATTGTGAGTTTATATCTCACAATTCTGACTCTTTTTTTTTTTTTTTTCAAAATTGAAAGTTTATATCTCGCAATTCGGACTTTATAACTCGCAATTGCGAGTTTCTCACAATTCTTAGAAATACAGTCGCAATTCTGAGAGGCATTCTGATTTAATTTTTTAAAAATCTTTTTTAAATCTCTCAATTTCTAGAAAAGCGAGCATTGCGAGATATGAAAACACAATTCTGACTTTTTTCTTGCAGGTGTGTTTATATCTCACAGTTGGCTTTTTCTCCCTCATAATTGTGAAATATAAACTCTCAGTTGAGAGAGAAAAAGTTCAGAATTGTCAAAAAAGTTGCACTTACCTTTATTTTTTACATTTCTTGGCAGAAACAAGCTTCTATAGAGAATTGAATAATGTTGTCATGAAATGAAAATAATAATATTTGTATCTGTAATTGTTAGGCTATCCTGGCTGGAGATTTCATTCTGTCTGCGGCCTCCATGGCATTAGCGCGTATTGGGAACAATACAGTAGTTTCTGTGCTGTCACAAGTTATAGAAGACCTCGTACGAGGTAAGCCTCTACAGATTTATGAATGAGACTTGTTTTATACAGTGGACCTGCTATTTATATTTTTCATTGATCAATTCCAGGTGAATTCATGCAGCTAGGGTCTAAAGAGAATGAAAACGAGAGATTCAAGCACTACCTTGAGAAAACCTTCAAGAAGACTGCAAGTCTCATTGCAAACAGTTGTAAGGCAGTATGTACGTTCCCTTTTAACAATAATAAGATGAAGTTCAGAGCTGGAAGAGAAGTGGAACACCAGCATTATTTCTTTTGAATTTTAGGTGTCAATTTTGGTGAATTCTGATCCTGAGGTGCATGAGATAGCCTATCAATATGGACGAAACGTTGGCATTGCATTCCAGGTAATTTTTTCATTTATATGTTTTCACTTGGTTTAAATAGCATCTAGTCTATCACTATTCACACTTGCTATAATAGCATTTATAAAGCATTCAATCTACACAGTGTAAATCGAATCTGTCGTTGTTTGCATGTTATTTGTAATGCAGTGGTCTGTGATCACCAAGTTAACAATGGTTCTTTTGTTTCAGTTACAAATGCAGGAAGTAATTGTAGTTAATTATTAATTATAACAGAAACTTCAGCAGTAGAAGTATCTTCTGGTTAGTGATGCACCAGAATGAAAATTCTGGGCCAAAACTGAAAATTCACGATGCACTTGGCAACATTTAAAAAAAAAAATGGACAGAATTAGAAAATCGAGAAACTGAAAATTGCTGTTTCGTTTGGTTCTTCCAGTTAAAGCTGCAGTGTGTCATTTCTTTCACTAGCAACACTACAAATAAAGGCATATAAGTCTCACTTCACCCTGTCATTGCTCGCTCAAACATCTAGTCTGATAGATTGCAGTTCTGTTAATAGTACAAAAGTTTTATGCTGCAACTTAAAGCAGTGAAAATATGGGCCAAACTTTTAGGTTGTGGCCGCATATTTTAATAAATCTGTGCTGTTATAGTTGAATTCTTTCATTACAAATGATTCATTACAGGCCACATTGGTTTTATCTTGAATTCTTATGTTTAAAGTTAGGTAAAATAGAAGTTGGTTGTCTTTTTCAGCTTGTGGATGACGTTCTGGACTTCACGTCCTGCGCAAACCGCCTGGGGAAGCCGTCAGCTGCCGATCTCAAACTGGGTCTGGCCACCGGGCCCGTTCTGTTTGCTTGCCAACAGGTACGACAGCTGAACGCATCTGTGCTCTCACAATATGATGTCACTTCCCTGAAGTGCAGAAAGGGGACTCAGGTCTAATGGTTGACTTGGTTTATTACAGCCATAAACGTAATTGTAAAACAGTTTGGATTTTCTAAAGATCTCCCAACCAGTTTCACTCTTTTATCACTGTTTAGTTTCCTGAGCTGCATGCAATGATAATGAGGCGCTTCAGCTCTGATGGAGATGTGGATCGAGCCTGGCAATATGTCCTGAAGGTGAGGAGGATTTGTGTTGTATACAGACAGGTGAATCTCATGAAAACATGTCCTGGGGCTGCTTTCATAAAACACTAAGACTAGTCTTACAATCTTTTGTAAGTATCCATTACACAATCCATTTTTTTTCTCTTAGACTGTTCATACAAGTCTGTTACATAAAACGTAGATTTATCTAATTTGATACCAAAAAGTAAGACTCGATTACCCCTAACTAACTCCTAGTTGGTCATACTAGTTCTTAAGACACAGTTAATGGCTGTTTATGCAACTGGCCCCAGGTCACATTTCTATGGAAGCTTGTTTCCGCCACGGAATCAAATTTTAGAAAAGACAATTGCAACTTTTTAAATCACAATTCTGACTTTTTTTCTTACAATTGTGCGATATAAAGTAATAAAGAGTTTTGAGTTAGAAAGTCAGAATCGTGAGATATAAACTGACAATTCTGAGAGAAAAATACTTTATATCATGCAATTCTGACTTCATAACTCGCAATTGCAACTTTATATCTCACAATTTTAAGGAAAAAAGTCAGAATTGTGAGATAAAAAGTCGCAATGACATTTAACATTTTTATTCCAAGGCGGAAACAAGCTTCCATACATTTCATCCCAATATTACAAGAAAAAAGGCAGTATATCAAACCTGTAAGAATTTTATGATATTTTTATAATGTGACATTTTTTTTGTATGACATTTTCCCCCCAAAAGTCTCATTAACTCTAACAGATGTTTTACTTTAGCGTTTCTTGTTATTCTTCTTGAGATCATTACTGTAATGCTGTAATTTTTACCATATTCAGAATCAGGGATGCAAACTTGTCACCTTGCCACCGAATAGGTCATTTGTGTGATTTGTGTAGATCCGATGGGTTTTTAAAATTGCTTTCAAACAGTCCTGCGTATATTTGTGTGTGAGCTCTTGGTTTCTATCACAAAGGTTTCCATACAACGTGTTTTTGCAGCGCTGAATATTGTAGCCAATCACAGGTAGGGTTGTGACGGTTAACCGTGAAACCGATGGTTATAGTTGAACACTGTCATTAGAACTCAATAACCGCCAAAACCGTGCTATTACAATTTTTTTTTTTTAAACATTTTTTTATCATAGAGAATGTTTAAATACTAATATCAGCTTACGAGGGAAACGGAGGCGGAGTTAGTGGTGCTTCGGAGGCTGCTACTGCTGGAGATGATTCAGGAGAGGTCTGTGCACCTTTACCGATCAGAGCGTGCACTGACACGGAGTAAAGCCTTGTTTATCCTCGACGCGTCCGCACGAGCACGAACGTGCGCCCAGTAAAAATGATGCGTTGGGTGCGCAAGACCCCATTTCGCTTGGCTGTGTGCACGGCTATTTTTGTAACAGCGCGTGCGACGCCGCATCCGAGGATGAACGACTTAAAGCCGAATCTGTCCGAGCATGTAGGCTACTACGTCTCACCGCACTGGCACCCAGTTTGCGCATCTAAATTGCAAAGTTTTTTTGTTAAGGTTTTGTTTACTGTGTGTGATTTATTTAAAGGTGCTATATGCATTTTTTAGCGGCCTCTATCGGTGATGTTTCAGATTGCAACCAATTATTACACCGGCACACCCCTAATCTCAGGCATGTCTGTGTAACGCAATGACCAATAAGAGGTGTTTACTGTTTACTGTAAGTTAGTCAGAATCTGCTCAATACCCTTCAAAACACTGTTTAACTATGTTCTACGCTCTTGCAAATCATCTCATTATAACAAAGCGTAGACATTATGTAAATAAGAGATTTATATATAATTTTTACAAAATAATTTTGAGACTGCATAAGTCATTAAAAGTTGCATTTTCAGTTGAATTTCGGGAAAACACTTGAAACGTTTGTTGTGTTGAGCTATTTCTATGACTTTTGTTTGATTTGTTCATTGCAAACAGCTGAAAGTCTGTACATTTTGCTAATAAACCTGATTTGTATTATATACAGTGTGTATTTAGATTCATTGATAATAACAGGAGTTTTTGCGTGAGTGAGCAAAGTTAGCCGCGTTATAAAGGGAGCGCTTGGTTTTTAAGATTTAAAAACATAATTGAATGATTTCTATATTTAAAATGTTATGCAATCAAGGGGAACCACCAAAGAGCTTTGACACAAATCAAACACTTCTTCTTGATATATATCATAGTAATGTGCAGTTACATTCTGCAACTTTTTCATGCATTCTGATTCATTCATATATTGTTTCTTTTGCAGGGCCATGCATCAGAAAGTCAGTTTATGTAAATATATGGCATAAACGAAATAAATACTTGTGAAGTACAATTTCCAGAAAAACTGAATCTTTAAGTATACATAGCAAAAGCGAATCTAGTGAAACATGCACCAAATAAATGCACCAGAAGCTTCCTAAAATATATGTATTTTTTTTGTATACAAAAATTCCACTGATAAAAGTAAAGTATAGTAAAAGTCTTTGGACTTAAATCTGTCATAAAAATAAAACAAACCTTTATCTGATGATGTCAGGCTATTGTTGCAAGAAAATGTATACTGAAATAGTGAATCAGTTGTATTACACAGCCATTGTCTTTAGCCATAAATTGTGGTAAATATGAATATATGTTGTTACAATGCTATTCTTTGGCTTAGTGTGTGAATTTAATCAGCCCAGTGACAGCAGATGAAAATGATCTGTTTATATAACACTAATTAATGTGTGTTGTCATTGACAAATAAATAAATAAATACACAGTTTGTATATATATATATATATATATATTATTATACTGTCTGTATGTATTCACATAAGACATGTACTCATATACAATTACAATATTAAATATTGGAAATTACACAAAATTTAGCAAATATGCTACATAAATAGTCCATTTGGTCTAAGCTGCCTGGATTCGACTGTTGATTGTTGACTTTGATAGCCGTCCGCTGCTTTTTTTGTGGGGCTGATCTGTCCACTCCTGCACTGTCCTGTTGAAGGAACAGACATAATCATGTAACGCTGACCAGATTTAATGAGTGATTCTTAAAGAAAATCTAAAGAAAAGTTGCTTCTACCAATTCGATATGAGGGGTCTGAAGTGAAAAGGATTTGATATGATATGAAATGATTCGCATGATCATCCTAGATTAAGTAAAGTATTTAGTTACTAAATCTTAGTAAAATTGAGAGATAGGAGGGTCTAATCAATGCTCTTTTACGGGTCGGCTGGGACCTGGGCTGAAGTCTGTTCCGAGTTCTCCGGTTCGGTTGTGAAGTGGTTACCTGAGGGGCTGGATGGTTGTAGCGCCTCAGTTCCACACAACTCTTTTGTGGAGGTGCCTGACACAGACCTGCGTTGTCCTGTTGAGAGAACAGATATAATCTTGCAATGCTGGGCAGGTTTAATGGGTGCTTCTTAGACTACATCTAAAGGCGTATCTTTTTTTATCATTTTTAAATATAAAAGGATTTAAAATTGAGGACCTTGAAAACATAGTAGCATAGTTAAAGGTAACATTTACTTGTTTGAATACATTTTAAAATAAGTAAAAACTAGCGATATAAGGGACTTACAGAAGCTTCTGTGCTCCATAGACACACGCTCTTACTCCATCTGGACATGGGTGCTCCCTCGGGAGACCTGGGTGGTTGCTGTGGGGAAGACGGTGGAGCAAGTGTTCTCTGTGGGGTCTTGGCAGGCACAGACACTCCCTTTTGCACATTCTTCTGCTGATGCCCCCACCAATCCCTCAACTTCTCCCTCTGCTTCCTAGGGATCCTGAGTTTTGCGGAAGACACATTTTGCGAATGCTGCCTCAGTAGCTCAGGGTTTTTAGCATCTCTCTTCTCGGAGATCTTGCCAATATCAAGTACTCCCTGTGTGCAACAAACAGGCGCTTTCTCAGGCTCAGGGATCTTTTGATTTTGCCTCTTTGTGATGTTGTCAGGCATGGGTGGTCCCTGCAGAAAAGTGTAAGGCTTCTTCTGCAGCAGCTCCTGCCTTAATGGCTCAGGGATCTTAAGTTTGGGCCTAGGTCCCATCTTGTCCGGCATGGGTGCTCCATCTGAGGAGTATGTGAGCACCTTTGAGGACGCCACTGGTGCCCTCTGTAGAGACTGGATGGGCATGGGTGTTTCAAAAGAGGCATGTATCAGGTGTTTAGTCAAATGTAATGGGATCCTGAGTATTCCTCTTTGTTTGGACCCTATGGGCACAGGTGCTCCCTGTGTGGATCTGACAGGCACAGGTGCTCCCTCTGTGGATCTGACGGGCACTGGTTCTCCCTCTGTGGATCTGACAGGCACAGGTGCTCCCTCTGTGGATCTGACGGGCACTGGTTCTCCCTCTGTGGATCTGGCGGGCACAGGTGCTCTCTGTGTGGCTCTGGCGGGCACAGGTGCTCCCTCTGTGGATCTGACAGGCACAGGTGCTCCCTGTGTTGATCTGGCGGGCACAGGTGCTCTCTGTGTGGCTCTGGCGGGCACAGGTGCTTCCTGTGTTGATCTGGCGGGCACAGGTGCTCTCTGTGTGGCTCTGGCGGGCACAGGTGCTTCCTGTGTTGATCTGGCGGGCACAGGTGCTCTCTGTGTGGCTCTGGCGGGCACAGGTGCTTCCTGTGTTGATCTGGCGGGCACAGGTGCTCTCTGTGTGGATCTGGTGGGCACAGGTGCTTCCTGTGTTGATCTGGCGGGCACAGGTGCTCTCTGTGTGGCTCTGGCGGGCACAGGTGCTTCCTGTGTTGATCTGGCGGGCACAGGTGCTCTCTGTGTTGATCTGGCGGGCACAGGTGCTTCCTGTTTGGATCTGGCGGGCACAGGTGCTTCCCGTGTGGCTCTGGCAGGCACAGGTGCTCTCTGTGTGGATCTGGCGGGCACAGGTGCTTCCTGTGTTGATCTGGCGGGCACAGGTGCTTCCCGTGTGGCTCTGGCGGGCACAGGTGCTCTCTGTGTTGATCTGGCGGGCACAGGTGCTTCCTGTGTTGATCTGGCGGGCACAGGTGCTTCCTGTGTTGATCTGGCGGGCACAGGTGCTTCCCGTGTGGATCTGGCGGGCACAGGTGCTTCCCGTGTGGATCTGGCGGGCACAGGTGCTTCCTGTGTTGATCTGGCGGGCACAGGTACTCCCTGTGTGGATCTGGAAGAGAAGGGTGCTCCCTGCATCATCTTCTGCCTCCACTGTGGTGTGGTCTTCCGTGTTGCATCTGAGAAGCCCGAGTGCTGGAAATGAGGCTTCTCAGATGCATTACTGAAGACCAGGGATGAGGGACATGATGTTTCTCCCGCCTCCATTGTTTCCCCCCACTGGCCTGAGATGTCCCCGTACTCATAATCCTCAGGTATGGGGTCCGAAACCTCCATTATCGCCCACCACCGTCCCGCAGCAAGGGCCGTAGTAAGCTCATCTGAGTACTCAGTAGATGATGACTGCTCTGCACTCTCAAAAATGGTGGGCATGGTTGACAAACTCATATCGATGAACTGGAAGTGAACAATACTATTTGCAATATACTATCTGTGAAACACTATGAAAGAAAGAGAAAGGGAAGAGATGATTTGAGTAAACATACAGTACAAGAACCTGAAAGCTTGTTGTCTTAAGCCCAACGTAAACTTCTGTCGTCCACATTCCGCATTTTGTCATCTGAAGTTCAACAGACATGTCCGTGTGTAGCCCAATTTTTGTGTTTGCGCTAACGGTGTGTGCTCAACAACGCATACGGTAGGTGATTGTTAAGATAGAAGAATGTTGACACGACTCAGCACTGCTCTTTGACATCTGCTAAAGTATAAATAAGAAATTGTGCGGTGTCACACTGGTCCACCAACTAATAGCTGTGTGGACACGACTGTGCGTGAGATGGAGTGGAACGTGGAAAATGTAGTAGGCCTTTAATTTTCTTAAAAATAAAAATGTATACAGTGTATGCCCAGTGGCGATCCATCAGAAGAGGCAAGTGAGGCTGAGAGCCTCCTTGAAATGTATTTAAAATGAAAAATGAAGCTAAAAAAGTTAATTGTTATTTTTATCAATTTACCTACTAATGTGAATATCTCCGATGCACATAACGTAAATGTATATAGTCATGTTTTATTTTGCCGGTTGTCAAGGCAAATTTGATTGATTTAAACAAATCAGCTTAAGGCAAATAAGCTTTCAGTATCACTTCAGTGTGTCATCAGATCTGCTATCGTTTTGTCCTTTGAATATAAATGATCTACAATTATATATATAAAAAGATTTGATCATTAGTGATTCACATATCATGCTCTCATTTCCACACAAACCAGTGTAGTCATGCCTATTTATTTATCTAAATGTAGCTACAGCAAATCTATACAATAACATTCCACAGTTTAAGCAAATTCTTCTGGAAATTATATAAAGATTAAAATTCAGATCCCCAAACCCAGTGTAAAAAGCATAGGCTACTCACTCAATCGCCGACTCGCTACAAGAAGAAAAAATCCGCTGCACTCATTATAACGTCACCGAGCGTTCTGAGGAATGCGGCGATCATTATGACGTACTCGACCGCGAGTTTGTGAGGGATGGGAGACCTAGGCTGTTTCGTTGTATTAAAAGTGAACATGCAATACAAACAAAGACTGACTTAGCATTTTTAATTCATGATTGTTGATACAAAAACTAACGCTGTTTATTTGTTAGCATTTGCAGCTGGTGCATAAACAAGACCAAGTAGGCTAAAGCTGCAGATGGGTAACACAACAGACCACTGAAACAAAATTAATCAACAGATATTACAATAAAAGCCCATTTCTGAAACAGAATATAATTCACAAAAAAGTTCCTCTAGGCTATCCTTGTTTTTTTTTCTTTTTCTATTTCTAACAATAGCCTATAGTTAAGCAACATTATCAGATGAGGAAGAGTGCTGTCCCGAACATCAGTAGGACGTTGCTAATATTACATGACTTACATTTTGCTCTATATCGCCAATGAAAATAGTTCCAAATAAATCTATAAATCGTTGCGCATCTTTGAGAAACGGTTTCCCTGACTGAAAACTTTCCATAAGTTTAGCGGCTTTAGATGCTCTCTGAAGCGCAGACAGAGAAGCGAAACATAACGATGTCTTTTATCCAAAAAACAACACAAAAAACGGCTTCTTTCGGGTTTTTAAACCATTATTTATGTTATAATGTATTGATTGAAAAACGTAAAATAATAAAATTCTGATTTAAAACGCAACGCCGAGTTTATGAAACCGATATGGGAAGTTTAGAGAAGTATGGGCTGTTAGTGGTGCTCGAGACTAATTTGTCACTTTGTGTTTCTGTGAAAAATACTAACAATAATGAGGCTAAAAATACGCTAAAAGATAGGCTACTAGGCTAAATGTAAAATGTTTTTATTTAAAGAAAGACGCCTTCCCTTTTCACCAGGTAGAGATTGCATGTCTTTGTGTGACTGGATTGTTGACAATAGTACGTAACGTTCATCCAATCTTGCTGAAATATAAACGCAGACTGTGAAAGGGAATTGCCGCTATAGTTCTGATCAGCGATCAGCCGACAAGGGATTCTGCTTGGTGTAAAGCCTTCCGCGAACAGAAGTGTTGATATTACTTAGCCTATCTCTCATATTCAGGTGGCCATACGCAAAATCCATTTAAAGCTGTATTCATATTCCTGCGTATACCATACATACTATTGACTTTACCGGACAATTTGGGTTTAATAAGGGACGTTTTTGATGTCTTATACGGTAGGATTTCGTATACAGAACGGTGCAACCCGACAAACTTATTTAAAAATGCCTCCTGTAACGGCAACATTGACAAACACAAGAAAAACAAGGCATGTAATGTAGCCTATTATTTAATTATTATAATTAGCGTTAATAGGAATCTTATAATTAATAATAGTGTATATAATCAACTAATAATCTTATCAACTAATAATTAATATTTTGTATTTTCAATTAGTTAACTTTAAATACTCAAATAATTAGCCTGTTCAGGCTGTTGGGATCTAGGGTTATTTATAGGCCTATAGCCTATTTGAAATATTCTCTTTATTTAAATAGCATGAGGCTTTTCCTACACTTGCTATCGCCTACTACTTCATACTTACAAATACAATTTGTTTTAAAAGTCAGTTTATAAAGGCAAAAGCAAAACAGGAAGTGGAAATGAGCTAATGAGGGGTAATCTGCTGCCATCTACTGGTTAAAGTGGTTATTTTATTGTCATTTGAAAAGTCTAATAAGTTCCCTAATCCTCTAATAAAGCATGAGAAATTGTCCATGTGTTTAAAAATTATTTTAAAAATATTTTATTGAGGGGAAGGAGGAGGAGAATAATATCGTAAAAAAATGTTTTTATTTAAATTATGAAGATGGTGGAACAAATACTACACAAATATGCATAACTGTAAATATTTACATATCATTTTACTATACTATAGTACTATAATACTTTTGTAATATATATTTTTTGCCTTAAATTATTGAGAATGGGATTATTTATTATTATTATGATATTGAGTTGGAAAGTTTTGGTGTGGAAATGTTCTATGAGGAAAATAATGTCATAATGACACTTTTTTTTTTTTTTTTTTTTAAATCTTCCTAAAAATAGGCTTCATTTTCTTAAAGCAAAATACAATATCAGTTTTATTTGTGGTGAAATATATGGAGAAAGTAAAACATTTAAAAATATGAATGAAACATTTTAAATGTCAATTTATTTTTCAGTTTAGAAATATTTTTTTATTTATGTATTTGCTTCTTAAATACATGAATAAAAATAGTTCATAAAAAAAAAAAAGAGATTTCTTTTCCAGATTTATTGGAATTAATAAATGTATAACTTATCCCGTCATTTTATATTTAAGTGTTACTCCTAGTTGAAAAAATCTGAACCAGTGAAGTTTCTTGTGATTCCTCCAGCTTGAAGAGTTCCAGAAGTGTGTGTAGTTGTTAACCTCCTTGTGTTGTGTGTTGTGTTTCTCAGAGTGACGGTGTGGAACAGACTAACTACCTCGCTCAACACTACTGTCAAGAGGCCATCCGTCAGATCAGCCGTCTGAGGCCGTCGACAGAACGAGACGCTCTCATCCGACTGACCGAGCTGATGCTGCGCAGAGACAAGTGAAGCTGCACACACACACACAGAGCTCCACCTCTGCAGGGCCCGGGGACGCGCTACCGTACTGTAATCGCAGAGCCCAGACCTCCGGTGACCTCCGCGAGAGGGCTTTCACTGGTACAGGAGGACTAACTCTGCGAGATCATTGTAATTCCAGGTGTAGCACAGATGTGCTACTGTCACGTGTGTGTGTGTGTGTGTGTCTCCATTACAGACGCTCACTTCAACATCCGTCCACACTACAAAAGGCCGAATGTCTTTGATTCCACTGTAAGTGCTCAATAACAACCAAAGGCCTTAAACCTCACTGGCTATTTACGTAAATTAAAGAAGCTATTTTTTAAAGTAGACAGCCTCTTCGACTCATTATTATTATTTTTTTTGATGCAAAAAGAAGTCTCTTACACTCACCAAGACAGCATTTATTTGATCAAAAATACAATCACAATCTGTGATCAAAGCTGCATTTTCAGCATCATTACTCCAGTCTTCAGTGTCACATGATCCTTCAGAAATCAGTCTAATATGATGGTCAAGAAACATTTTTAATAATTATCAATGAAATAAGCAGAGACTTTTATGTTGTTATAAAATACTGTCACTTTTGATCAATTTAATGCATCCTTGCTTGATTAAAAGTATACATTTCTAAACAAAAAACTGCTGACACCAAACTTTAGTTTGGCACGGAAAAATTTTAAATAAAGGTGATTGACTTTTTTTTAATAGAAACTCAGAATGCGAGGAAAGTCAGAATTGCGAGATATAAACTTAAGAGAAGAAAAAAAAGTAAGATAAGGACACTCACAATTCTTACTTTTTCCTAGCAATTCCAAGTTTCAATTGAAAAAGCCACAATTACCTTTATTTTTTTAATTCCATGGCGGAAACAAGTGTCAAGTATCCGTTAAAATTTCCACAAAAAAGGTTTAAATAATTATATTTCATGTTTTTTGACAATTAGATCATGTCTAATCCATCTAGAGCTGCAGAATCACCACCAGTTTACAATGCAATGCTTGTCTGTGACATTGATGGGTTAGTTCATCGCTATAGCAGATTCAACATTAATCCAAAACCTGTAAATCTCTGAAAACAGCATATTTAGTTTGACCTCCTGAGGTCATGAACATTTTTTACCCTTATGTTGTAAAGACAATTATTTAGCTCTATTTTGTAGCATTTTATGAAATTCTGTGCATGTATGATATGATATACAATACATCCTTGTAAAAAAGTAACAAATAACCCAAAAATGTTCAATAAATAGACCAAGGTTTTACATAGAATGATTTATTATAAAAGACTGTACAATTAAATTTCAATTAACATTATAAATACAAATTCTGGGCTGAGACGAGCTTCAGCGCAGATGGAATTCAGTTGAACACTTCAAATGTTTCAGTATGACATAAAAAGTCTCAAGGCATTCGCTTTAAACTCCTGAAATGACTGACAGTGGTCAGACGCAGCTGAATGAAATCTCAGACAGAACGACTCCTGAAACAGCTCAAAGAGTGAAAAACAGATGAAGAGAGGTGTGATTAATGCCAGACCCGAGGCGAGTGACCAGTCCAGACCCAACGCGCCGGTTACTCGATACAGACCACGGCACAACTAAATGAGTCCAGCATTGTAAGAATTGTGATTTGTACTGATTAGAGACCTTTAGATACTTTACAGCTTACATATTCAAGCTATCTACATAGAATTCATGTTTGTTCATTGTAGCAAATACTCTAGTCATTTTGGCATTAACTAAAAACATGAACATGGAGGGAGACGTCGTTGAAACAAATGGAAGAGTTCTGTGCTTCGCATTCATTGACCAAATTAATGAAGAAATCTATATCGACGTTTCACTAAAAATTAGAGCATAAACATAAGTAGTCTACAAATGCCTATATTTAAAATAAAGTGTTCTGTAAATAATACAAAGATGGAAGCTGAATGGAATTGAACGTTTAGGTTACAATACATATTTCAATTTTGTATGCATGCTTTACGTTAACATTTTGATACACTTTGGGGCGATGACGTGGTGCTTTAAAATTAATTAGTTTATAAGATCGACTTTCAGTTGGAAATGTCAAAAGAAAAAATGGTGACAATCATCTACTTTACATGGTCACATGTTGTATTGACTGTTGAAGATAATGTGATTGACATTCACTACGGAAACCCCACAGGCTAACTTTCATTTTATGTACACCGACTTCCTCCGAACAGTTGCTCCCTCCCGTTCTCCCACATCCACCCATCACCACAAAGTAAAGTTCATAGATTTCCATGATCCGCCGTTTGTCAGGAACACACATGTATCTTTGCACACGGTTTACACTGTTCACGATTTCACTGTTTGGGTATATATGATTCTCAGTCGGCATAGTGCATGATGGACTCCACGTAGTTCCCGGGAAACAGACCGGTGACGCCGCTGCTCACTCCCTCGAACCAGCCGTCGTCATTCTTCTTGATGATGTAGATGATGGCTCCTTCCATGAAGGACAACTCATCGTCCTTATCCTTGATGTAGTCGTAGATGGCAACCACTGCGAAGAGGAGCGGTATTAGTTATTAAACAATAAGCCACATCAGGGGTGTTATTAGGCAACTATACGATCAAAGACGCTAGTGTTTAATAAATAGCTGTTTTAATACGAGTGTTATGAACAATATAAAAAAAAAAATACAAATGGTTACGTATGTTAATAAAATAACAATAAAAATAAAACAATGTCACTACTACTAATAATAAAAATGATTACGTGTTCACTTCAAAATATAAATGTTACATACATAAAATAAACAAAACAATGGTAAACAAATAATTGTTAACCAATACAAATAAACATCATACAAATATTATTAATAATAATAAAAAATATATAAATCATTGCATGTTGATTATTTAAAAAATATAAATGTTACATAATTTATGTTAATAAATAAAATAAACAAAAAATGGTAAATAATAATAGTAATTCTAATAAAACAATAAAGGTTATTATGTTACATTATTAAAAACATAACATCCCTAGTTGACTATTATAAACAATATTTTATTAACATATGTAACTATTTCAATTTTTTATAATGTCACTACTACTACTAATAATAGTTGATTTCAACTCAATAATAAATGTTGAGTTCAAAATATAAATGTGACATGTATAAAATAAACAAAACAATAGTAAAAATAATTGTTAACCAATAAAAATAAACAATGAAAAATTATAACTAATAAAAAATATTTAAATCATTGCATTGTGATGTTAATAAATAAAATAAACAACAAATGCTACATAATAATACTAATTCTAATAATAAAACAATATAGGTTGTTACGTTACATGAATAAACATTTGTTGCAGATTAATAAGGTAGATGAAAACCTTCACCTTTCTCCATGTAGATCTTGGGGGCCCACTGAGGGTCTCCGTCTGCATAGGGGTCGCTGTACTGCACTACAGCTGCCTCTTCATCTCCATAGTCCACTGGAGGAGGAGGAGGAGGAGGAGGGGGCGGAGCCTCGTCGAACATGGGGATGTCATCAGGGGGAGGGGGGGGCGGAGGAGTCGGGGTCTCTGCAACTGGACACCCGTCACACATCAGTCAGATTAACGCATTAATAACACGGCTCCAGAGCGGGCACATGCGCTTCATGCAGTTCTAGTCATACATGTTAGTAGACATGCAAATCACGAACAACGGTGAATCTGCAGAAACACTCATGTCTGCTGGAGACACTCATGACGGCCGCTGGATTACACACACACACACACATATCTAGGGATATAGGGAGATTATTGTGTATGTATGAAGGAACACACGGATATGAATACTTACCAGATTTAAATGGAACAGAAGTTAAATTCAACAGTCAAAAGATTGCATTATGGAATATTACACATAATAAATAGTACACGCACACACACACACCATACATTCAAACTAGAACACCACTAAAGGGGGGGGACTTACAGAATAATTAAAATAAGAGTTCTTATTTAAACTTCTTCGTTTATTACAATCATTCGAATACATTTTGTATTTCGATTTCAGTTCGCTTTTAAACGTCTGGTTAGAAATAATGAAATTAATTTTATTCTATTGACAGAAGAGTTGGTATTGTTAACTAAAGCTAAAGGATTTAAAATTGTATTTATGAATTGGGGGGGAAAAGTATTAGATAAAAAACTTGAATGAAAATTAGAAATGTTGTCTTGGCCACAAACTGAAATAAGATTAAGTTGAAGAACTAAAATTACAGACAAAATAAAATACAAATTCTGAAATTAAAGTAAAGTAAATGAAAAAAAAAAAGGCACTAAAAATAAAATGAAAACAAAAGGATAAAAATAAAAGCGATTTAAAAGACTAATAAATACTATAATAGTGTATAAATAATACTAAAATTAAAATTAAAAGTAGGTAGAAAGAAATGTTGTCAGCTTAATAGAAATTAAATATTTTCCAGATAATATTTCATTAATTTTATTTGGCTTTAGTACAGAGACTTAAAATCTATTATATATATAAAAAAAAAAAAAAAAGTTAAATTATTTAACAAATTATATGCATATCATGTGATTGATGAGATTTCTTTAAATAATAATAATAAAATATTACTTATGACACCTAATATTTTTCTAAAACATAAATATTTCTTTAAAATATAAAGGTAAAAAGCTATATATTTTCATTTATAGTGAAATCATCATATTTTAGGGTCCTTGTTTCAAAAGTGGTTGACCATTCCCTCCCTGAATTTGCTTTTTACACTATTATGTTTTATATAATTTATTTTATACATTTAAGATAAACATGCACTTGCATGGCACATGAAACCAATATGAACTATACTTCAAAAAATACTTCCATTTTCCAAACGATCACTTGGATACAAAAAAAATATCACACTGACCAGACGTTGTGCTCATAGTCAACATTCTGGCTTTGTGAGACTAGTCCCAGAATGCATCATGAGAGGGCAGCAAAAACCACTCTGTGGGCGCTTTCAGACAAAACCTACAATGACAACTTCATCAAGCTACAGTATCCTCCTTTCTGAAAAATACAGTGCACTCAAACTAAACGTCTGTCAGCAGTGTGTGAGTTAACCGATGCTGCCGCTCTGATGACTGGCGGAGGTTTCAATCCTTCCCATGGTGCATCAGTGTGCTTCAGCCCTACCTTAAGCTTGCTGGGTACAAATCAAACAAAAAGCCATACACAAAAGTAGCCCATTAAACAGTGTCCAATATCACACACAGGGCGAGTGCATATATATATATGAGGCATGCTTTATCGCCGTTGAATATAACCCAATGTAAAACAAACCGTAGAGCACACGTAAAACAGACTAAAAACAAGAAACGCCTTTCAAGTACAAAACGTTCAATTCTTGCCCCAAACAGCCTAGTAAGCCTCTTTAAGGTTACGTAAAGCAATAGACACTTATGTAAATGTGTGACACACTTTTTGTATTCAGAAAACGCAGGCTTTAGGCGTTAGCTAAGGCTTTATTTCGATCTGTTGTAGTGTACTGAATTATACAATGGCAATACGCATGCACTCTTTGACCTGCAGTCGCCACGCAGAACGAGCAGTGACTGCTTCACAAACAGATGATGATGATGATGATGATGGAGATGAAGGCATGCAGTGAACCTCTAACACATCCACATGCTAGGGTGAGAAACGTGGCCGTCAGACTTACTGTTTTCCTGAACTCTGGCCACAAAGCCTGTGAGTGGGATCTGTGGGGTGAGCTGGGGCATGGGTGGAGGAGGAGGGGCCATACACACTGAACACCACACACACACACACACACACACACACAAACACAAAGAGCAGGAGACACCAAGAGGAAAGAGGAAAAAAAAAAAGCAGGAAGAGAAAAGAAAACATCAGTCCCACATAATAAAGGTGGGGAAGAGTGGTCCCATAGGAATAGGAATCCTATATAGTTATAGAAAGACTGAACATGACACTCTCTCTGGTAATCTGATATCAAATAACAAATCGGCAGCGTTCTCATAGCGATTCTTGCTCTTCAGTAACACTTTAAGGTGGAGTTATATCAATATCAAAATTCTCATTTAAGATTGTATTAATCTCCATGTTCTTTTCCACGACTGAATGTATCAATTTAAAACATTTAAAAAAATAAATGTCCAGATATTTTTAGGTTTTTCAGATAAAATAGCATTTGAATAATTTTTGCAAAAAAATGTTTAATTGCAAAGTAGTATTCAGATGGAAAAAAAAGACAAAAGGCCTTTACTTTGCAGTGGAAAAGTAAGAAGAAAAAACATAAGTATTGTATATCATAATAAACCCTACTGTTCAAAAGTTTGGGTCGTAAGATTTTTCGCTTATGCTCATCAAGTCTGCATTTATTTGATCAAAATAATAATAATTATAAAAGAAATATTATAATAATATTAGTAGAATTTTTTTTGTATTTTAGTATCTTAAAATGTAATTTATTCTTGCAATGCAAAGCATCATTACTCCAGTCTTCAGAGTCACATGATCCTTCAGAAATCATTCTAATATGCCGATTTGTTGCTCAAGGACCATTTCTTATTATTATTTACCAATGTTGAAAACAATTGCGCTATTTAATATGTTTGCGATACATTGTGATTCAGTATTCTTTGGTGAATAGAACATTCAGAAGAACAGCATTTATTTGAAAATCTTTTGTAACAAATGTCCTTACTGTCATTTTTTTATTACATTTAATCCTTGTTAATTAAAAGTATTAATTTCTTTAAAAAATTATAATAATCGTACTGACCTCAAACTTTTGGAACCGTGGTGAATATCATCATCAACCAAAATATAAAAAGTTGTGATAATTGTTCTTAACACTTGTTAAACAAAAAAACTAAACGTTGCACAGTTAGGGGAAAGTAACATAAAACTAAACCCACTGTCCACATTGTGACGAATGAGTGTGATCAGATAGTGGCCAGTTAGTTACACGAGTAGGATTTCCCACTGAATGCATGAATGATGTGTGATTAATTCACGTCTGACGAGATTTAACCGCCATTCACTCTAATGCTCATGGACATCTGACAGTGGGCTTTCAAATCTCATCTTGAATGCGTAGAAGACAATAAATCTCCATTCATAAACAGGTGGCCACGGGCCCTGTGCTCTCACGAATCATAAATCTGAGGCTTTTCTGGTCTTAATGACATTAGTGTGTACGGCCGCACACCTGTGGGAAGAGAAAGGCTGTTCCCTTCTCCACAGACGGGACGAGCATTAAAATAACTGCCTTTATGATGCATGGATATGGCTTTCCACTAGCTATTGCTGCATTTAAATTTGACAGGATTTAAACTGATTCAATTTGATGTGAGTTTGAACGTGTCTGTATATTCGTGCGGCGTTTGAACGTGTCTTACTTGCGTTTGTGCCCCCGTTAACGTGCGGCTGCTGCAGGGAGAACTGGGAAGACACGGACGGGGCTCGGCGGTATGTTCCCGTGGCGGAAACCATGGAGACGGAGGACGAGGTGTTGGAGTTGTGTCGGGAGACCTGCCGAGATATCGTGCCGAACTGGGACATGGGGATTGGCCCGAGACCCGGCCCAGCAGCCACAGCTGTTAGTGCCCACAGGAGAGGGTACAAAGACAGGAGAAAGTCCAGGAGTGGCCAGTGAATTACATACAGCAGGCAAGACAAGCTTCCCAAGATTGGAAAATAACTAATAGGCAGAAGAGTGACTAATGAAACACGTCAAGCACATTTCCAGGTCATATTTGATACTTTTCATACTTTTTATAGTGCCGTCAAATCGATTAATCGAGATTAAAGGGATAGTTCACCCAAATAAAAAAAATTCTGTCATGATTTACTCTCAAGTTCAAAAGAGGCCTGTCAACAGTTTGGTTAACCATATTGTTCAATATATATATATTAGGGCTGTCAAATGATTAATCACGATTAATCACATCCAAAATAAAAGTTTTTTTTACATAATATATGTGGGTGCACTGTGTATAATTATTTTGTATATATATATAAATACACAAACATGCATGTATATTTAAGAAAAAAATATTTATATATAAAATATTTATATTTATATATAATATAAATTATATCTAAATCTATATACAGTATATACATGAAAATATTTCTTAAATATATACAAGCATGTGTGTGTATTTATATATATAAAATAATTATACACAGTGCACCCACATATATTATGTAAAAAAATATATATATTTTGGATGTGATTAATCACGATTAATCATTTGACAGCCCTAATATATATATATATTGTTTGTGTTGAGCATTTTCCAGTGAAAATTCTTATAATGGTCATACTTCCAAAAAGTAGAATCTGTGATTCTGAATGCCAGAATCCACACCGCACGACGACTGACAGCCGCACATTATCCACAATCCACAACATTGGATTCATAAAGGTACAACTCACATAAAGTTGATAATTCCGCGAATAACTGCAATTGCAGATTTCGAACAGAGATGGCGACAAAGAGGAAAAACTACAGACTGCAGCTTTAAATATATATATATATATATATTGTATCACAAACTTATGGTAGATGCGATTAATCGATTTGAACGCACTACTTTTTAAGCAGAAAAATAAAGTGAAGCCTGATTTTGCCGTTATTTTCACAAATATTAAGCAAATACTTAATGTAAGGCAAGAAAACAAACAAAAAAGTAGATTTATAAAACATACTAATTGAAATAGTTTTGAAAAGTTTTTTTTTTTTTTACTATGATACAGTACATGTTACAGTATGAGAATTTAATGAGAATCTTCATAGAAATCAATGAGAAACTCAAAAGTAATTATTTTTTATATAATATTTCTTTTGATTATGGGTTTAAATATGACCAGGACATGTTTCATCAGAATCACAAAAAAAGCCTTGGGCTTGAGAAACCCAACATCAGATGAAAACTCAGAAAAGTCACAGCCATTTTACTTTAATAACTACAAACAATGGCAATGTAATTATACAACACTACAACAGAACCTGCAATAAAATGTGCAAAGTTAGAAAAGGCCCTGAGAAAGAGTACCATGTTGTAGTTGTATTTGTAATAATATAGTCCTTGGTGTGTTTACACTGCAGATGGGATTTCCTCTATAGGGACATTTCCTGTTGACAGTGTCAGATTACAGATTGCAGGGAAACCCTAGAGAGACACGCTGTCCCTGATAGTGATGGCCAGAACGAAGCGAACAACAAACACAGTGGACAAACATCACTGTGGCACCACAAGCCTTCACCAGTGACATATGATATGAACACAATACAAATATCTCATTTAAGGATGAACCTCTCATTCCAAATGTGTCCTTGTGGAGCCAGTGAAAACCCGTTCTAATGAACAGAATTATGGGATATTATGTTTACATCTTACATTTAAGCATTTAGCTTTTATCCAAAGCACTTACAAAAGCAATTAGTTAATTCGTCATGCACTGGCTAACATGATCTTTCAAAAGAGTCTGCAGTGAGGAAGTCTCTGACAACTCACCAACACAATGCTAGCTTGTTTAAGGTGGTTGCTAAGGCATTGCTATGCAGTCTGGCATGAGTCAAGAGAGCCCACCCTCAAGATTTTACGATATTTTGGTTTCTAGATACAGCTTGAGTTTCTCCATGTCAAGGTAATGAGGTAACATTAGTGAAACTTCAGTGAAATTAAGCTTTATATTGGTAAATGTGGTAAATTTGCATGTTCAAAGTTCAACAAGCTTAAATCCAATGGTAAATCCACATGGGGAAATGTTTCATGAAATTCCCAATGATGCAGATTCCTAATGAGAGGATTGCATTTCGCCATACAACAGTATCTGACCGCAACTTAAGGGGTAAGTACACCCAAAAATGAAAATTCAGTCATCATTTACACACCCTCATGTTGTTCCAAAATTTTTGTCATCATCATGACACAAATGAAGATCTTTGATGAAATCTGAGAGATTTCTGTCCCTGATAGCTTAGCTACGCAACTACCAATTTGTTGCTTCAAAAAGTTCATAAAGAGATCGTAAACTAATCCATATGAATTGAACGGTTTATAATGATTTTTCTGAAGAGATTCGATCGCTTTATTTGATGAACAGATTGAATTTAGGCTTTTATTCACATTCAGGATTCATCAACTCACACAACAGTTGTGGTGAACGGAAGCTCAAGCATGTTCACTTGACGTGCGAGAACCAATGAGGATCATTCTTGTTTTACGCATCACGTTTGAGCTTCCACAAGAACCAATGAGGTTCATTCTCGTGTTACGCATCACGTTTGAGCTTCCACAAGAACCAATGAGGATCATTCTCGTGTTACGCATCACGTTTGAGCTTCAGCAAGAACCAATGAGGTTCATTCTCGTGTTACGCATCACGTTTGAGCTTCAGCAAGAACCAATGAGGATCATTCTTGTTTTACGCATCACGTTTGAGCTTCAGCAAGAACCAATGAGGATCATTCTTGTTTTACGCATCACGTTTGAGCTTCCACAAGAACCAATGAGGTTCATTCTCGTGTTACGCATCACGTTTGAGCTTCCACAAGAACCAATGAGGATCATTCTCGTGTTACGCATCACGTTTGAGCTTCCACAAGAACCAATGAGGATCATTATCGTGTTACGCATCACGTTTGAGCTTCCACAAGAACCAATGAGGATCATTCTCGTGTTACGCATCACGTTTGAGCTTCCACAAGAACCAATGAGGATCATTCTCGTGTTACGCATCACGTTTGAGCTTCAGCAAGAACCAATGAGGATCATTCTTGTTTTACGCATCACGTTTGAGCTTCAGCAAGAACCAATGAGGATCATTCTTGTTTTACGCATCACGTTTGAGCTTCCACAAGAACCAATGAGGTTCATTCTCGTGTTACGCATCACGTTTGAGCTTCCACAAGAACCAATGAGGATCATTCTCGTGTTACGCATCACGTTTGAGCTTCCACAAGAACCAATGAGGATCATTCTCGTGTTACGCATCACGTTTGAGCTTCCACAAGAACCAATGAGGATCATTCTCGTGTTACGCATCACGTTTGAGCTTCCACAAGAACCAATGAGGATCATTATCGTGTTACGCATCACGTTTGAGCTTCCACAAGAACCAATGAGGATCATTCTCGTGTTACGCATCACGTTTGAGCTTCCACAAGAACCAATGAGGATCATTCTCGTGTTACGCATCACGTTTGAGCTTCAGCAAGAACCAATGAGGATCATTCTTGTTTTACGCATCACGTTTGAGCTTCAGCAAGAACCAATGAGGATCATTCTTGTTTTACGCATCACGTTTGAGCTTCCACAAGAACCAATGAGGTTCATTCTCGTGTTACGCATCACGTTTGAGCTTCCACAAGAACCAATAAGGATCATTCTCGTGTTACGCATCACGTTTGAGCTTCCACAAGAACCAATGAGGATCATTCTCGTGTTACGCATCACGTTTGAGCTTCCACAAGAACCAATGAGGATCATTCTCGTGTTACGCATCACGTTTGAGCTTCCACAAGAACCAACGAGGATTGTTCTCGCGCATCAAGCAGGTTCTTTTGAGCTTCTATTCATGTTCGCTGATCAATGTTTATATGTGAATAAAAACCTAAATTAAATCTGTTCATCATATAAAGTGATCATGTTTCTTCAGAAAATTTGGACTAAACAGCTCAATATATATGGATTAGTTTTACAATTTCTTTATGAACTTTTTGAAGCGTCAAAGTGGTAGTTGTGTAGCTGATTTCATCAAAAAGATCTTCATTTGTGTTCCGAAGATGAACGAAAGTCGTACGGGTTTAAAACAACATGAGGGTGAGTAAATGATGACAATTTTCTTTTTTGGTTGAACTAACCCCAATAACCCATTAAAAGGCCCATCCACACCAAGAACAATAACTATAAAGACAATTATAACAACAGCTATATTAGCGTCCACACCAATGGACAATAGTGTTCTGTTTATTTAAGCGTGCTCTGCAGTTTTATCATCTGCCACTTTAAATGCTTAAGCTTTTCAAAGTCCGATGGATTCTGATTAGCTGTCAATGTTTTTATTGTTACTCAGCTAAAAACAATCGTTCTGTAAGTGATTCCAACAATATTGTTCCTCTTTGACATTATCATTATAGTTTATCTAATTTAATAATTAGAATGATTATTAAAACATTATAGTTATTGTCCTTGGTATGAATAGCCATTAAGTCTACTGGATTTTTTACAATGAATTATGTGAAATTCCTTTAGGCAGTTCAGAGACTTCTCCACAGTGCATTGATTTAAATTGGTTGATTAAGCACAAATCCACCACCCAAAATAACAATTATCACCACCACCACCAAAAGTGACCCCTTCTGACACCCACAGACAGACAGGTGGATGGCGGGACGGTAACGCCGGTGTCGCCTGGAACAGATTTTGTGCAGTTGGCGATGGGATTGGGGGAGGGGCTCACCTATAGCAGCGGCTGGCATTGGTGGACCCTGACCGGGGAGGGGGGGTGGAGGAGGAGGGGCTGGGGGGGGAGCAGCCCATGAGGGTTCGACTGCGGGTCAGAACGTCATATCAGAGAAAACACACCTTGAGCGCGATTCATTCATTAATAGCGCACAAAAAACTAAGCTCTGTTCCAAAACCCAGTGAGCTACATTGCTGTCTACATAGACAGGCCGCATCCTAACCATCCTATATCCTCGTAAGTTGACTGATTTGAAATGTTCCACATGGGAAGCAACTTTTCGTGGCACACAAATATCACTTGATACATGAAGCACATGGGAGACTCGACTCTAAATGGACTCCAGTAGATTTTGATGTTAGAAATGATGCTAAGCTAACAACACAATGCTAAAAACATAGCACAACACAAACACTGGGTAAATAGATGTATTATATAGAGAACTGCAGTGACGACATTTGACAACCACCCTGGATGTTTGCATCACCCCGGTTCCCTAGACAAAAACTCAACGGGATTTTTCCATTGGCTTTTGTATTATTGTAGAAAAAAGCTCTCTGACCAACAAAAGCTTATAATTCTCACACGTTTTGTTTACCATTATAATCTTCACAATTGCGGAACTTGGAAGCATAAATACAATCGCCATAAACGAACTATGCCACAGTAGTATGACATCATCTCTAGCTTCTCACAACTCTTTCAATCTTTATTTAAAATCTACAAGCTATAATAGTTTGCAAGAGTGCGTTTATAAACACAATGAGGCAGTAAAAGGAGACTAGTGAGTAGATGAATTTCCTGTGAATTTCCTTTATCAAGGCACATAAAAGCTTAAAAATATCACAGAGGGGTTTTACTGATATTTTTTTTTTTGTAGAATGAAACTTGAGAATATCTAGAGCTTTTGTTAACCACAGACCTTATTTCAGGCATTTAAAAGCAATGATAAAAACCCATTAAAACACATTGACTTCTGGACAATGGAGCCGGAAGGGTGAAAAGGCTAACTTGTTTCCGCGTTTTAAGACTCACTCCAGCAGTCCTCAGGACCAAAAAACTGTTTTTTAAAATACTTACAATAGACTGAAAACACAGTTTTTATTTAGACAGAACTCATCTGAACTGATATTTTTGATGAACCCGTTTATTATATAAACTATTTTGTGTTTATCAAATATTCAGAACTGAATGATGCAAGTATAATCAACATTCTTTTTGTAATGCAACGGTCTTCTCCATAAAGGGTACAACTGATGCTGTCTAACGAGAGCTAAAACGAGGGGTCTCGGCTTGAAAGTTTAGAATAGCCAAAATGTGTTTAAGATGCCTTAAAATGCTGCCTAAGTAGGTAGCTCACTAGGTTTTGGGAGCCAAAATAGTCCTTCATCAAAGCCTAGAGGAAACCCTAGATGAAAAACCTTACATTTTATTATGCAAATACCCAAACAGATAAACAAAAGGGTACAAGGACAGAGAAGCTGCATTCAAAAGTCCAGTCAGCACTAAATAACCTTAATCCAGGAAAATGAAATCAGAGGTGCTGATGCAGTGTTGCTATGGTGACTTTAAGGATTCGGAAGGGGGGGCAGGACAGCGACCTCTTTTCTCACTAAACTCTTTTCTTTTCTCCTGTTCTCTGCAGACAGACCACCCTTTCCTCTCTATTTCTACCTGTCCTTGTTTTGTGTAGTGGCCTACTTTGACAAACCTTTATCTGGAAGAATCAGGCCATGGACAACTAATCCTGCTTCTCACTCTAGAGAACAGGAAATACTGCAGTGTTAAATACCCACATGTGAAGAGTAAGTCTAATTCTCCAGTTGGCCCTAACCTAGGGCATTGTGCTATAGCAGCAGCTGTATGTGGGCTGCAGCTCACCTGGGACTGAGTTGGGAATGGAGGGAGTCGGCACAGCGATGGGAATGCCGATGCTGCTGCCGCCACTGTTCTCTCGACTGCCGCTTCCCCCGCTGCTGCCACTACAGAGAGAGAGAGAACAAGTCAGATACAGCTCTCAGCATACATATCATATCGTTTCTGAAGTATGCATACTGTGTATAGTATGTGGATTTTCCACACCAGGATGACCTACTACATCAACCAAAACAGAGAATACTTTGAGGATTAAAATAATAAATATTGCTATTGTAATATTTCACTGTAAAATAAAAACGACTATTTAAGAAAAATATAATTCGTTTAATTCAACAGTACAACTGTCTGCCTTAATTTATCTATTCTCAAGTGTTAAACCATGAAGCTTTTAATTTGACAGAAAACCAGAGCCAACATTAAAACATCTCTTTTGTTGACAACAGATAGCTTTCTAAGCGCTTTTCATTACAAGTTGGAGAAGATAGTTGCCAGATTTTGCATTCCCAAATACATAAGTAACCCAAACTCAATACTGGATCATGCATGCATATTGTTCCACATACTATTTTAAAAGAACAGTACGCAGAACGTCGTATACGGTGTAGTATTCGGTAAGAAGTAAGCTAGTGCTTCGTTCTGAGCATCACAGGCTCACATGGTAAAGTGACCTAGATACACACTTGGCTTTGAGACACATTGTACTACGTTTAGCCATACGTAGTTACACGTACGTTCAACACAGATCAATTGATGGATTATTCAACACTGTGGAGCTACGAGCATCATTGCATCAGCGTTACACCCCCACACGATCCCCTGTGTGTCCATGTAGAAGCCAGAGCAGCAGGGCTTCCCATGCTGCACTGCAAGAGATCTCATTATCGCAGCACAGGCTTTATTGCTCCATTATCGAAACGGAGATCGAGTTAAATGATCTGATTTTAACTAGAGATGTGCAAATCTTTTCCAATTTAATAATTTTCTAATTATTCTGTAGGTTGTCTGAAAGACTAGTGCAGGCATTTAGAGAAGATCATAGAAGCTAGGTTCCGCCATTGCATAAACAAAAAACTTGTTAAAATAAATCTGACTTGTATCCCAGAAAATGTTGTTGCAATTGCGAGCTTATATTTCACAATGTTTGATTTTTAAAAAATATAATTGATTTAACTGTCTATATCTCGCAATTGTGACTTTCTCGCAATTAAAAATTTAACTAATAAGCAGTGTTAAATGTAAATTATATTATCACCCATTGATATATTAAAAATGATACATTACATCCTACATACAGTATACTCATGTAAAGCAATTAACACAATATAGCACATCTCAGCAGTGTGATTGTTTATATCGTTATATATAGGCTATATCACATTTAACCTTATCTACAATACATACACTACTCACATAAAGCAATACAAACTATAGTGCAAATCTCATTTGCCTGATTTTTTTTATCTGGTCTCAAAATGTAACTTATTGCCCAGCTCTTTATATAAAGTTGAATTTTTAAGTATGTCCAACTTTATCCGCATGCATATAGCATTCTCGTAAAGGGTGATATATCCTGTGTAGCATATTTTTAACTGCTTCATTACTTGTATTGTCGCAAAATGTAACTACATCATCGCCCAGCTCTAATATGATATTATAAACATTATATGAAACAATGTGTATTGTGAAAAGCACTATACAAATCAATTTGACTTCTGGTCATCTGACCATCCACAACTGTTTTGTGAAAAAAAGAAATCACTACTCATCATCACCAGATTACTAGATCCATTTGTAAATGTAACCTTAGAGAAACTAAATGGTGAATGCATCGGGTTCGCAAAGAACTTTGGATGAAGGCATAATAAACAGAGCTGAATAAGCAGCAGTGAAGGCTTCTGGAGAGCAGATAATGGCTCAGGTGGAGTCAAGGATTCATACTTCATCTTAATCACACAAGAAGTGCATATACAAATAGCTGACGCTGCAACAATCACATCGATTGATAAACACTGTCAGTAATCGAGAACAGCATTCAAAGATTACTCAATAAAAATATATTGAAGTGAAAACAATGAATCTCTGTTCTCGTATGTCGCTCTTTTTCATACATTACAGTGACCAAAGACTGAGGCTGTCAAGAGTGATTATCGGTCAAAAGGTTGGAGTTTTTTGTTTTTGAACTAGATGTACTTACTTTAGGGTTAGGAGTAGGGGTTGGTTTAGGGTTAGTTGTATGTATTTATGCACAATTTATGGTAATTACTATAGTAACTACATGTAACCTGTGTAAGGACACTGTAAAATAAAGTTACCCAATATTGTGTGTAGTCAAATTGCAGTGCGCTTTCATGGTGATTTCCACATCTTTTTAGAAGCTTGAACGACTAAGTTTACATTCATTGTTATTTTACCAGTACAATTCTTCAAAATGTCTACTTTGTGTTTTTATGGAGGAAGGTAAAAAGCACAATCCTTTCTTCCCTTTAAGAGAAGTAATGTGATGGATTCAGAAGGCCACACTCACAAGACCTGGCGTTGTGGTGCCACTATTTACACAAATTAAAAGTTGTGTATTATTTATGGCATCACAGTCAGCATTAACTAATGAGGCCACTTCATTCAGTCATTCTGAGCCTGAACGCTGCAGTGCTGATTGTGTTTAGTGAGCGTGGGGAGTGGGATGAGGGGTTATTCCCTCTGGTCTGGAGTGCGTTTGAGGTGTGGGCTGGTGTGATGACATTATTTACAGATGTTAGACGAGTGGGTGTGAAGAGTACTGATCGCACACTGGAAACCCCCCGATCATCGTCATTTAGACATTAGCAACATGAGCGAAAATGTTATACCCCCAGAGGATGTCAAATATGCGCTGACATTCCGAAATGAAACTGTGGAGGCTGATGGAAAAGTGTGGGAGAGGACTAGTGGAAAAAGCCAAATGAAGAGAGAAAATGAGATATCGGATTCATTAGTAAAGCCCTTGCACGCATCACATACACAAGTGTGTCTTCAGGCACAAAGGCAAATAAGAAATACAAAATTACTCAAATTAAATGAATAAACTATAAATTTATTCATTTCATGAAAAAAAAATTTATTCATGAAAAAAATAATAGCAATAATAATAAAATATAATATTCATTAAAAATGGGGAAAAACAATTTGATAGATAAAATGATAGGTATAACAATAGAATGATACAGTAGATATAATGACAGACAGAACGATAGATAGATAGATAGATAGATAGATAGATAGAGAGACAGACAGATAGACCAATAGACAGATAAAACAAATAAACATAACAACAGACAGAACAATAGATGGATAGACCGGCAGATTGATTGACTGACAGACAGACAGACAGACAGATAGATATAGACAGACAGATAGATAGACAGACAGATAGATAGACAGATAGATAGATAGACAGACAGACAGATAGACAGACAGATAGACAGACAGATAGAGAGACAGACAGATAGACAGACAGATAGAGAGACAGACAGACAGATAGATAGATATAGACAGACAGACAGACAGATAGACAGACAGACAGATAGACAGACAGATAGATAGACAGACAGACGTGTGTTACCTGTGGGTTCTGGGTCTCTGGTTGAGAGATGCGGTGCGTCCTGGACTGTGTTGGCTGCCCAAGCGAGCTGGACTCGTCATGTAGTCATTGGGAACGGTTGGAGGTTTCACCGGCTCGAGAGTTTTATAAGGATTGTTACGCCTGCATTCGCATTTGAAACAAACAGGCATATGCGATTTATGATGCATGATTTCCGACTTTGCTACCGAAAATTGCCGTCAGTGTCAAAGTATTGTCTGATAGCTTTATCAATCTGCTCAGTAACGTTTTCACTCTTTTCACACTGAAGTATATAATAAGATCTTACCCAAGAGTGCCTCGTCCTGTCAAGGGTGGGCTGGGAGGTTTCTGTGTTGGGGGATTGGTCCTGGACAGAGTTCCTCCTCTGACTGACTGATTGTTGCCGTGCTGCTGATTGGACAAGCAAAACATCAGTTTAAGTATTCGACCAGAGCTCGACCATCAGGTTACATAAATAAGACTAAAGGAATGGAGCCGAGAAGGTGACTTTACCAGACAAAACTATAGGTTTCATCCAAACGTTCAGTTTTCTACTGCAATAAAAGAGCCTCATTCATGAATATATAATACATAAACAAGTAATTTGTGTGTAAAATGGACCTTCCTGAAAACTGTTTTTCAAAAATGATTTGTAATCCTCGGATTTGATAGTTAAAAGTGTGTATGTTAATGAAATAATTCATAAATAAGCTATGCATGCAGGCTCCTTCACAATTAGCATAATCTCAAATCACAACTACTTGAACAACATGTAATGTGGAAACTCCCTTCTCAGCTTTGGCTCCGGTGTAATAGAGATCTATAATAAAAAGGAAAATGGACTACATATCTGTTACTTTTGTTTTACCGAATTAACTTATTTTCATTTTTACCTAATTAATTTAGTCACTATATCTATAATTATTGTAAATAGTGTTATCAAAATACAGTCTTACCATCTCAAAGAACACAAAATGTTTGGATATTTTATGCACCATTTATGTATGTATGGTTGGGAGCAGGTGTACATTTTTTGATAATACACTTTCATGAATCCATTAATTGACCTGAACCGGATTTACATACGATTTACACATAAAAATCACTCTGCTCATGTTTCATGAATGAGGACCATTGATTCAAAATGAAAAGACAATTAGTGGTCGATCATTTGCCTATTTCTAAACAACAAGATAGCAGAAATAATCAATAATATTTCAATAATATTAGCAAATAGGAATATTTAATTGCATTTCATTTTAATTTTACTCAATATGCCCAATATGTTTATTATCCAATAACAATTATTAGCAGATTTGAATACATACACAATGGGAAACTAACACTTATCAACATTCTCTTCTACAATCTCAAAATGCTCAGATATCAGTTGACGTACTGGCCTTGTCGATACATATCAGTCTATCACTATCATATAGACTAAAAACCTGACATTGACAGTCAATAAATTACAAACAAAATAATAGAAGCCCAAATACTTCAATTACATAGGCAACTGTGTGTTCAGCCACATATGAACCTGATTTAGTGTTGAAACATGTAATAATCTTTAAATAATACAGCTATGATGGATCACTTTGGAATGGGATTGCTCTACAACTACAGCACAAGATGAGGTTATGAGTAGGCCTGTCACAATCATACATTTGTGTGAATAAATGTAATAAAAAATTGCAATTAACAATATGTTATGATTCCAAGTTAAATGTATATATACACTGTATAATATAATATAAAATATAGTCAAATATAATAAATAACCGTGATCTATATATATATATAATCGATAATAAATAACCGTAATATGATCTGATCTCCCTTATTTGGATGGTAAAATGTGCTTGAAATTTAAAAATCGCACAATTCTCACATAATTGTGATTAGGTTGAATAACCAAACCAGATGAATTATCGTGACAGGCCTATCTGAGGTAAGGATGAATGCAGGAATATGAATATGTAATTGGATAACAGGGGAGATTGAATCAGTTGATCAGTAATAGACTACAGCAAAACGGGTTCATGGGACAAGTACACTTACCTTGGCTTTAAGCCACTAGCGAGGGCAGGAAAAGAGAGAGTGTGATTTATAGAACAAGAGAGAAAGACAAAAAGAGGGAGAGAAAGAGAGATATGAACGTCAAAAATCGGCATGTCTCAGTTCAGAGCTCTTGAAGCAGGACAAAATCACTTTAAATCTCCAAACCTACATCTGACTGCATTAGAGCGGAGAGTGGCGCTGCTAAAATGCATTTCCCTCTTTTCACACTGTCTTCGATTGAGTAGTCTGAAGCAGACATTAATTCCATCCCTTCGTCTCATTTCATAATGTGTTATTTGGGTCTGAACTACAGTGTGATTATAGGAACTAACTCTTGAAAACGTGAAAAAGTATTCATCCCTTTGGATTTACCACCAAACCTTTTCATGCACACAAAAGCATTTGCGTTTGTCTGCCGCATATGCATGTATATGAGCTTTTCTATGAGCGTAACTTAGTTATGCACTTATTAAATACTGTATAAAAATGTCCACATTGCAGAAACTGCCGTGACAAAACCGACTCATCACAACAAAGGCTGCAAGTGTAGTGACTGTTCTGCACTACATGCAAAGTGTGGCATTATTAATGTGCTGTCCCGCATGAGCAATGAGGGCCACAGTAACCGAGACAATGCTCATACATTAGGCAGAAAAAAAGAAATAGTGTAGACCTGAGAGTTAACAATAGTGTATTTCAGCAATAAGGCACTTGAGGTCAGTCTATATTGTGAGGATATAAAGGATGATGTTAGGGAGAGCGTGTTGTGAAGCACCTGCAACCCTTCAACTGTCACTATATTCACAATATAACAGGAACTGATGAGTCTTATTGCTTTTATAAAACAAGTTAACATAAAAAGACAACATAAAACCAAATAAACCGACAAATAAATAAGCAAAAATACATAAACTGTCCCACCCCCCTCTCTCTCCCACTTCCCTTCCTGTCTCCTATCTCAAAACAAAGCCAAAAACGGCAAAATTTTAAAAAAATAAATAAATGAACCAAACAAAAATAAACAAAAAACAAATGAAATAAATGAATTGAATGATAAATAAATAATTAAAATAAAACAAATAAATAAATGGCAAATAAAAACAAACAAAATAATAAATGATTAATCAAATAATAGTAAATAAACCAAATTAAAAAAAGAATAAATAAACCAAATGAAAACGCATAGCAAAAAACTTATAAATAAAATAAAAAATACATAAATATCCCAAATAAAAATAATAATTATTATATAAATATCCTAGAAGTATGCTAAGCCAGTAGTTTAACCGGTTAGACTGCAGTCTAACTGAAAATACAAAGTAGAAACATCTAATTTGACTATTTCGACCTTTGGTTATATATTAGGAAAGAATTTTAAAAATAGACTGAACACGTAATACGCAAGCGCAAGATATCCCCATTTTCACAAATTCGCGTTTTTGTAATTTACACGAAGACGTCTTCAAAAACCTGTTTTTTTAATCCTCAAAAGTTTGCATTTTCAGGCCCCCGAAACGCCGGTTTTGTGTAGAACGGTAATGCATAAAAGGTATTCAGATTTTAGTAGAAAACAGTGTTGTGTAAACGGCCCCTAAATCTTGCACAACATCAGTTTCCAGGATCAGATCCATCCCATCAGGCAAACACACACGCGGTGTTCATCTAGATCTCAGTGGAATCAGTCGAGAGCAACAATCCTGCCTCAGCCAGACAGAAATACGGCTCAATGTTTCATACTCTGACAGCGCCAGAATCCTCTGCGTTTAAGACTGCGAAAGCGCTTCATGTTCACCGAAACAGGCAAACAAAAGGATCCTAATATTTTTCCTGAACAGGGAAAGGAAGTAAAATAAACTAGTCAAAAAACGTCGGAGAACTCCCCTGCATTCCTGCGGCCGCTGACTAGATTAAATGTCAACTGACATTGAAAATAAATCTCATCTTCTTTTGCAAACACAGTAAATGTGTCTGAAGACGCTGTAATCCCCGTCAGGTGACTCAAGGTGACGGCTTCTCTCACTGAACGCCTGATGAGGTGTAACACAACACTGCCAGATTCTGTGACAGCCGGGTCAGGGTGAGATCAACATCTTGGCTTTAGTTAGTATACAAACTCTGGAACTTTGGTATAGATGACAAATGTAAACTTTTAAGGAATAGTTCACCAAACAATGTTCATTGTATGGACACAAATAAATACATACAAATAAAACAAAGTATTTTGTGTTCTGCAGAGGAAAGTCTGGAATAATTGGGTGAGGAAATATAATTTTGACTTTTGTATGATTGAACTACCGGTATAAATAGAAACGGTATAAATACTGATAAATAAAATAAATAAATAATTGTGGAGGAAACCAATAACGATTAACTGCACATATCCCTTATGTTCTGTGAGCTTCACAAAAAAACATAAAAATAATAATTAATTAAATAAAAAATACACTACAGTGTAAGTTGAGTCAGTAAAATCCAACCTTTTTATTTATTTAAAGAAATTATTAATACTTGTGTTCATCAAGGATGCATGAAATTGATCAAAAATGACAGGAGTAATGATGCTGAAAATTCAGCTTTGCATCACAGGAATTAATTACTTTTTCTTTCTTTTTTTTTTAACCATTACAATCTAAAATAACTTTTTTACATTTTAAAATTTAAAATAAACTTTTTTTCTACTTTAATATATTTTATTAGCTTTAACCCCAATAAATGTAAACAACACATACATTAATATTGATTATATGAGGCTCATTCTATAAACGCTCGTAATCGATTGGCTGTTGGCTCGCAGGCGTCACTTAAGCCCTAATCCCCTGTGAAGGCCCACGCTCACAATCCTGCCAGATGAACCACAGATGGAGGGTCACGCTGTCACTAGGTCAAATGTTTTTACATTTCAGCACATCAGATAACACAGACGCATGCTGTCAACACTAGGGCTGGAATGTGCACTGCATTGCTGGATTTAAAATAAATAAAATAATGTCAGGTTTTTTAAAACTCCAGCCCCTATTGCAATGCCTTCCTCTATAAACTAGAACAGAGGCAGGAGTAACTGATAACTTTCATACTCAATTTTAATAGACATAAGGTATCAGAAAGCCTACTTTAGATACCCTAACCCATAGGTTCTCAAAGTGCGGCCTGCGGGCCAATGGCGGCCCGCCAAAACATTTCTGGCGGCCCGCGATAACATCTGTAAAACTGTTAAAACTATTGCTTTGAAAAAATGAATATCTCCGTTTAGTGGTGTTTAGCGGCATCCATAGGCATAAGCGGTAATTACATGGTCCGACCGACCGATCGCACTTGACCTCACTCCCAAGGCCACCAGGAACAGTGGTTGTCTACACAGGAATAGGAATCGTGGCCAACCGAAACCAGCACCACAAAACCCATTGCAATTTAAAAGGGTATGTTGACCAAGTAATCAATATTCAATATGACTTAATAATAATCTTAACAATGTCAAGCTTATTAATGGCCGCGTTTCCATTACCTTTCAAAATGTTCGCGGGCGCGAACACTTGCATTTTCCTATCAACAGTGGAAACAACTTAAACTAGTCTATCATTTCTGGTCACAGAAAATAATAATGCATTATTCGCAACTACTTTTATTTGTGTAAACTCATAACAAGAAAACGTGCTTTTGTAAAATAAAATAAAACAATCAGTAGCCTAGGCTACTACGCGCTTTCATGATCTCCGTGAACTGGAGCGCGAGAACTGAAACAAAATATAGCCTATGTAGGCTAAAGCTTAAAATGTGCACTTTTAAACAAACAAACTCGAATCGAAAGCAAATACCTGATTATGTAATCCGTATGAAAGGTGGATTTCTCTCTAAAAGCGCATCTGCTTAACAGCGGAGATGGAGATATTTTTAGCCGACACTTAGAAAACAATAGTTTATTAATAAACAATTAAAATGCCTCGCTGTTTTTTCAGACGCATTTATTATCATTAGCCTATAACTCACCTATAAATCAGGCTAGATCAGACACGTACAGGCTATATGGCTCTTCTCATTCATCACTGCGGGAAAAATATAAATTCCAGGTTCTAATTTGGCCTTAGAAAACCAGTAAAATCGACATGTTTTCCATATTAATTTCTGAATATTTAAAATGTTTAATAAAGGGGCAAAAAGTCATTTAAACAAAAATCTGAAAAAGTCTGTCGATATTTACTTTTTTTGCGCAGCAGTTGGTGAAGCCAGTTCAAATTAAAATTGTGTTCAACTTTGCGTTTTAAAAAGACAACAACCGTTCATTTTTCGTTTTTCAGTTACGGGTTAAAAAAGATAGATAATAATATGCAAATCTGCAATAATGGAAACGCGACTGACAAGCAATGATAGAAATGAATGATGATGATGACTTGTTTGGTAAGCTTCTATTTTAAAAGTTTCTTTCTCTCCCCCCCAAAATTTTCACAAGTTTTGCCAGGTTTAGCCTCAGTTATGAATTAAAATGTGTTTATTGCAACTAATGTAAACTGTAGAGATGCAACCTGGTCATTAAAATAATTTCAAATGGGATTTTCTTTTCAGTTTTTTTTTCTTCGTTTGCTCCCCCGCCACTTTGGCGGCCCTCAGTTCAATGTTGGGTTCCTAAATTGGCCCTCACCTATCAAAACTTTGAGAACCCCTGCCCTAACCCCAAGCGCAGTCTCAGTAACAAAAACAATGCTAAATGCTACTAACTAGTGGTGGACCAATATGGATTTTGATGGCAGATAGCTTAGAGAGCGGGGTGGCCGATGGCCAATATAAAGCCGATTAGGGTGCAACGGATCACAGAACTCACGGATCGGATCAAATCATGGTTATTGAGTCACGGATCAGTTAATTTTTCAAATGGTGGGAGACACATATAACTTTGGTTGTGAAGTACTTAAAAGTGTTCTTTAAATAATAAACCATAGTATTTATGAGGACACTTGAAGAGACGGATATTTTGACATAATTTTGTGTGCAGGGCTCAATGCGAAGGATTTTTCCTATTGGCC